AACAGAGGGCGCTCTCAGAACACCCTCTGATGGGGGGCAATTGTTGGGCATGTGACTCGGACCTAGCTGTGCAAGGCAAGACGCGCCGACAGAAGGCGCGCACGAGGGTCCAAGGCGCGCATGAAGGCCTAAGGGCGCGCCACTATGCGTGCGCGAGTGGAGAGAACCAACGCGCGAGGACCCAGAGCCCCTCACGAGCTGCGCAAGAGTGAAGTATCAAGGCGCGGAGGCTCAGGCGCGTCGTAAGCCTCGAAGCCATAAGGAGCTCACTTCACACTTCCCGAGGGTCGGCCGCATAGGGATCAGTGACACAGTCGTAGGTACACCCCTGACATGTCCTAGGTAGGGGGATGGCCGAAATCCCCAACGTGTCAGTGGTCACATCAGAGCCTAGGTCCCATCATGTAATCCAACCACTCACCCACCACCATGTAGCCTATAAATATGGCATTTACTCCGGTGGGTGAGGGGATCGCATTTTTCACCACTCTCTCTCTACAACAACAACTTATCTCTCTAAAATCTCTCCTCTTGTTCTCCCTCAACTCTCTAGTCTGTGACTTCCCGATCAATCCCGTTACTTGCACTTCTTCTTGACCCCAACTCTTACTCGAATCTAACTCCTACACTCAGTTAGGCTCAAACAATTATTATTATCACAAATTGCAAAAATTAATTAATTAATGAATGAATGGGTTGGGCAAGATACATAATCTTCAACGGAAGAATCGAATCAAGAAAAAAAAAACATATCTCCGTATAATATCCACCACCAGCAAGTGCTATTATGAGATTAGTGCCTACCTCGTCCATCATTAAGCCCAAATGTCAAATCTGTTTAGTTATTAATCATACTTTAGGGCAGCCCTACATAGAGCGATCCAAGTCATCCTATAAACGATTAAGAAATTTAATTCATTTGGTTGAAATTAAATCCCATTTCGAAGACAAAATTAATGATGCCTGGCCAAACTAGTTAAGAATAATTGCATATTAATTAAATTATTATTCCCAGAAGACCCCGCAACGACAGAAACTTATCATCGGCACGCGTAATGCAGATCTCTTTTTTCCTAAGGGATACGTAATGTGGTTTCAACTTCCATTCATCAATTTTGTTATACAATTTAGTTGGCTGTTCTTACTATGATATGATCATATTAGTGATGGTATATATCAAAAGTGGTATGACACGAGATTTGTAGGATTACTATGATATGATTACATTTTCATCTTTAGTTGAACCTTGTTAAACAACTCGAATTACTGAAAAACTGATTCTAGACATTGTATCAGAGTCTTTGATCTGGAAAATGTTGTAATTGAATATAATTCTCACAATCCTCTCAACGGTTAATTCGAAAACAAGGTATAACATGTATGTGTAAATCTCAAGCTTATATTAAGAAATTCTAAGAGAAGGCATCATGATGAGAAACTACTGCAAAGGGGCTCTTGCCCACATAGGGCAAGAATTAAGGGGTCGTTTGCTTCAAGGAATTTATAATGAGGGTTTTGTCATGGATTTGCTAATTAAAAACCTTGGGATTTATTAGGGATTTTGGGCATTATGGATTTGAGGAAATCTTTTGTTTGTTGAGCTATTTTTATCATGGATTTGATGGTTTTTCAACTTGTCTCCAAATCCCAGGGTATGAGGTGGGATTTACAAATTCGTGGGGCCCACGTATTTGGAGCCCCAAATCAGTGGACCCCACGGATTTGGTACCCTCCATTTTGGCTCAACAAACAATGGCTTTTGGACAAATCCTTCATGTGTTGGATTTGAGAACCAAATCCCACGTCCAAATCCTTGAAGCAAACGACCCCTAAGTGACTAATTACTCTTACAACGGTACGCTTCGGTCTCTGTTGACATAAACAATTTCGGGTCAACGCGTTCTAAAAGCGTCGCTCGAACATGGTTTGAACTTCGAATCCTCCATTAATCATCATACGTGTTGGCTTAAAATACTACAAGACTCGATTTTAAACCTCTTCCACCCAACTCGAGTTATTAAAAGTCAATATGAAGAGATCTTCTTAAGCAAAGCTGAGAGTCGTGCCCAACTTTCATTTGGTTTATTGAAAGCTACGAGACAAAAGTTTTTCCCAAGTCTTTCTTCTTGAACCAAATTAAACGTGGGGGTGATAGTAACACCTTCGCATACAGTCGGGTCGGGTCAACTCAACTCCCACGTTTTGCTGAAATTTCTCTGGTCCGCCGTATATCATCGTTGACAAATGAACTGCGTGGAACCGAATTTCTCCAAGCGACTGGGCAACATTATTGTTTCTCTCTTCCGAGCTTACATACCGTCCAGGTTACGCAATTACTACGTTGATGGCAACTTTCAGTCAGCTAATTTGAAAAAGCATGCAAGCTAATTAATATAGACTGTTTTTCGGTGAACTAACTACGTACCCAAAAGAGTTTCCCTTTCGCAGAAGAATTTGACCATGAACAAGAAGGTTCATAATTCCAACATGAACCGATCGTAGTTATGAGGTACGACCCCATAAACGTTCGAGGTTATAGTAAGACGTGGATTTTACATGGTGAGGTCGAATTTAATTTATGTAGTCTTCAGATACAATAAACATTGATTATTATTATATAAAGGATGACGTACAAGACAGATCCTTGCTAGGGATGATAAATGGGTGAGACGAGGCGGGTATCTCGATATTTACATACCCGTCTTGGGTTGAGCGCGAATTAGGTCGGATAGTACTCATGTCAATGCAGGACGAAGCGACCTATTCTCATATATGTTACTTGAAGGAAAAAAAAATATTTTACGATAAAACAAAGGAAACACATTCCATGAATGATAAATAGTGATTGTAGAATGAATATATAATTGAGTCTAAATAATTAAAATATCTAATTTTGCACCTATTTAAAGTCTCACTGTGTTAAAATATTATTAAAAAAAGTCACAAGAGAAATACAAATAGGTATTCAATAGAATTGAGATGATAGAGGTTAAGAATGGAGCAAGACGAGACAGCAAGCTCCTTGGCTCAATATGAAACTTGGAGCCACGTGTCGGGCAAATAAACACTTAGGGCTCGTTTGCTTGTTGGATTTGAAAATGAAGGTTTTGAGTTTTGAAAACCTTTGGATTTATGATGGATTTATTGCATTTGGTATTTGAAAGATAACATTGTTTGCTTAGTTGAATTTTTATCAAGGATTTAGTTCATTTGGTATTTGGGTCTCAAAAATTTGCCTTCCATAGTGTGGTATTTGCAAATACCAAATGAAATGTGGTATTTGCAAATACGTGGGGTTCACGGATTTGGAACTAAAAATAAGATCCAAATCCGTGGGCCCCACGGATTTGTATACCTCAACAAACAATGTTTTTACATCAAATACATAATGTTTAATATTTGGGTGCCAAATACAACACCCAAATCCCACAAGCAAACGACCCCTTAAAACAGTCGCTCCACTTCGAGGTTCTGGACCAGAGGGGAAAGTCGTAGTCAACCCTCAGTGCTGCACTGGTAGCCGAACGATTAGTCATGGGAGATCGGACGGTTGTGGGAAGCGTTCACCGGCAACAAGCGGTGGTCCATGAAGAAAGCAAAGCTGGTCAACAAAGATTAAAAAAAACAAGGAAAAAAGAAAGAAAAAAAACTTAAATTGTTGAGAAAATTAAAGAAGAAAATCCTCCACGTGAACCCCACTCCCATAGTCAGCTTTGCTTTCTTTCTTCGTTCTTGTCCTGCCTCCACATTTTATTTAACCATTGATTAAAAAATGTGATTATTGACAAATACAATACAACTTTTTTAATTAATTCGCCAATCGACTGTTTTTTGGCTTTTTTTCCGAAACAGCTTAATTACTACCAATTGTCTCAAGTGGAGACCTTCGTTCTTTGTTTACTCCAATAGTGTTTCCTTTTTTTTCTTTGTTTTTTTTTTGTTGCTATTTTTATTTGGATTGCGGAATCCACTTTATAATATCTATTTTTCCCCCTTATGTTTATATTACTTCTTTGGTTTTAGCAACTTTTTTTTTTTTGAATACTTTGTTTTGATACTCCAAATGAGTGGCAACAAAAGGAAGGATTTATCAGTCCTTCGGGGGACATCTGATTAAAACGAGGGATTCGTTGCAAGAACCAAAAAAAAAAGGAATTTAAAAGGTAATTATGTTTGTTTCGGTTAGGAATATGGTGAAATCAATGATGTACAAAACTATTATGTGGACTTAAATAGGATGGTAAAAATATTACGCAAAAAAAAAACACACAAGTTAGGAGATGACAATGAAATTGAAAATTGAACTCAATATTACCATTGTTGGCCCAAGTGGTAAGACATGTGAGTTGGTTTTCCAAATCGATTCTTAAGGCTCACCTTTCAAGAGAAAAATTTTATAGGCCACAATCATCTACCTTGTCGATGAATCTCATATTTCATGCACAAGCGATGATACTAGATTATACTCGAGTCCATGTAATCCATGACCCGCGTTTAAAATATCTTTGGAAATTTTATGGGATAATCTCCTTCTTGGTTGTAGGGAGGACAAGAAAATATGATTGAACTTAAAGTAAAACTTAAAGTGATCTGTTTTTCTTTTCCCTGTAATTTAAGTGATCTGTTTGCAACTATTAAAATTATGTGGATTATATGCATCCAAAATTAAAACTTAAAGGACTGCCCGTGATATTTACTTGGCCCCACGAACTAACGTTTACTAATATTTTATTCACCCCGTCCGGCTGTGTCCCCCATTTTTGTTATTTGTCTCCCTTCTTTATTTCTTTAATCCTCCTCCTCCTTGGTTCTCCCCGTAGAAAATTTCAAACTCATCTCAGCCGTCCGATCACAACCGCTCTGTTGACTAAAACAAAAACAAAAAAACCTTTTAATTTTTTCTCTCTCTCTTCCCCCTCCCTCCACCCGGTCATCCGGTCACTCCAACCCATTCCCAATTCTTATATCTACCTCCTTGTTCCCATCGTCTCCAGAGTCCAGCTCCTCTCCACTTTACTCCTTTCCCTCCAATGGTTTCTTGTTGACTTCCGCCTCACCTTTCCCCTTTTCCCTCTCTATCCGGCCACTCAATTCTCTTCCCAATCTCTCTGAATCCGAAGAAAATCGAAGGAGGAAAGCAACAAATGGCGGTTGACCTAATGAGTTTCAGGAAGGTCGACGATCAGATTGCGATCCAGGAAGCAGCCGCTCAAGGCCTGCAGAGCATGGAGCACCTCATCCGCGTCATGTCCCGTCACCAACAGCAGTCCAACAACAGCCACACCACCGCCGCCGATTGTACGGATCTCACGGAAGTCACCGTCTCCAGGTTCAAGAAGGTCATCTCCCTCCTCAACCGCACCGGCCACGCCCGCTTCCGCCGCGCTCCCCTCCACCCTAATTCCTCCTCTTCCTCCTCCTCCTCCGCCGCTGCCGCCGGATCGCCGCCGCTTTCGTCGCCTTCTTTCCCGACACCTCCAGCTCAATCGATCGCTGCGCATCGCGTTGCGGCCGTGCAGCCGAGGCCGGCGGTCATCCAATTGACGCCTACTCCTCCTCCGCCTCCTCCACCGGTGGTGTCTTCGAGCTTCGTGCAGTCGCAATCGCAGAGTTTGACTCTTGACTTCACGAAACCTAACATTTTCGGCTCGAATTCCAAGAGCGTGGAGCTGGAGTTCGCCAAGGACAGCTTCAGCTGCTCGTCTAATTCGTCCTTCATGTCCTCCGCGATTACCGGCGACGGAAGCGTCTCGAACGGGAAGCTAGGGTCGTCGATCTTCCTGTCCCCGCCGACGGCTTCCGCCGGGAAGCCGCCTCTCTCGTCGGCGCCTTACAGCAAGAAGCGGTGCCGCGAGCACGATCACTCCGAAGATCTGTCCGGGAGATTCTCCGGCTCCACCACCACCAGCGGCGGCAAGTGCCATTGCTCCAAGAGACGGTAAGCTTTGTTTCTCTGCTACACGCGCCCTCTGTTTTTCAATCCATTAATCAATTCTCGGCCGTATTAGGAAAGTGATTAGATCATTAATTACCGCAATTAAGCTAGAATCCGAACTTTGACAGTCAATGAAAATGAACTACCGTGAAGTCAACGGAAGGTGAAAGAAGGGATTAATTTGGCGGAAGCGGTGAGAACGCGAAAAAGAAGGGAGACATGATTTGAACTTTGTTATTAATAAACTAATTCATAATTTAAACACCGATTAATTGTCGCGGAGTGGGTTAGGTTGCATAGTGGAAACATCTTTGTTTAATCCTCCAAAAACAAGAGCTTTGACCGGGGAAGAATAAAATTATATTATATTCATGATTATTTTGTACTGAATTAGGCATTACGTTTAAACATGGGAAACGATTTCTTAATTCGTATATCCCAATATAAAACAGTGATAATAATATTGTTTAATTGAATAGTACTTAAAATCTAATTTTTGCTATTGGACCGACGTATTGCAGAAAAAATCGGGTGAAGAAAACAATTCGGGTCCCGGCGATTAGCTCGAAGATCGCTGATATCCCGCCGGACGAGCATTCTTGGAGAAAGTACGGCCAGAAGCCGATCAAGGGCTCACCTTACCCAAGGTAATAACTAATTACTAAAACTAAGCCTTCGATCAGATTGGTCCACCCATTAACCGATGAACCGGTCTGAAGGTTCAAATTTCGGGTCTGAAAGTTAAAGACTGTTTTTGGTTCGTGTTTCAGGGGTTATTACAAATGCAGCACGATGAGGGGGTGTCCGGCGAGGAAGCACGTAGAGAGGGCGACCGACGATCCGTCGATGCTGATCGTAACCTACGAAGGCGAGCACCGGCACGTGCAGCCCGCCGCGGTGGTGGCTGGTTCCGGCGGAGTAGGACTGGTGTTTGAGTCGACGTAATAGGGCACTGCAGAGCTGAGATTTTAATGTTAGGTTAGGAAAAGTTAGTTCGGAAAGGAAAGCAAAATGGCAAGGGGAAAAGATGAAGGGCTCGTCGGAGTTGTTGTTTTGTGTATTATTTTGAAGGAGGTGGGAGGGTGGTTGACTGGTTTGTTGAGTTGGATGTACATTTTTTTTCTTCTTCTTCCTCCTTTTGTTTCTTGTGGTGGTGAGAGAGATGAATCTGGCAAAAGAGATATGTCCAGAAATGTGAATTGATTGGAAACCAGAAACCGTCCGGATTTTAATTTTAGGAGGTGCGTGCTCTTATGTCGGGATGGGTGTTGGTTGTGCGTCATTTTCCCAATCTCCTCGGCTTGGTTAGGTGAAAGATTTTAATTTGACAAATGATTCGCAAATGCATCAAACAATTTTTTTTTTTTATAAATGGATGCAGCGCATCTAACTTTCATTCACAACCAAACGAGTCTCAAAAAGACCTTGACAGTCATACAAAAGAATATGATGGAAATCAGGGATAGAACAAGATACATTGTTGCAAGGAAGTCCGCTCCCTTGTTGCCCTCTCGGTATATATGATGAATGGTGACATCCCAGTCACGGTGAAGCAGTTCCTGGAACCGATGAATGATAGCTGCATGTGGGTGGTCAGGAGCATCTTGATTACGCAGAAGCTGCACAGCACACTGCGAATCAATCTCCACTATAATTCGCAGCAGTCCCAAGTTCCAAGCCAGCTGAAGACCTTCCATAGCGCCCCTCAACTCTGCTCGGGTAATAGAACATACACCCAAGTTCATCGCGAATGCTGCTAAGCAGCATCCTGAGTGATCTCTAATCAGGCCGCCTGCCGCTGCACGACCTGATTCCTGAATGACAGAGCCGTCTGTGTTGAGGGTAACCCACTCGGGAGGTGGCGGCTGCCAAGAGATCTCAACCTCCGTTCTAATGGGCAGACGAGGCATATGGACGAGCCTGTCTTTCTCCATGGCATTCTGCACTACATTAATCCATGCCAGGATTCGCTGTAGGAAGGCTTCAGCTGTAACGACCTTGTCAGCAAAAATGCGGTCGTTCCTGGTCTTCCAAAGAGACCAACAGGTCAGGCCAAAAGTAAGGCTAGTATCTTCACGGCAGAGGTTCGAGATAATCCAATCCTGTAGATGACTGTCAAAGAAAGCATGATGATCAGAAAGCGGGATGAGATGCATCCAAGTTAACCTGGCAAACTGGCAGTCCCGCAACACATGCAGGACTGTCTCTGGGTGTTCCTGGCAGAGGCTGCAATGTGGGCTCGTCGTGAGATGTCTCCGGGTGCGCTCCTGGTTCGTGAGTAGTCTCTCTCTTGCCGCCAACCAGAGAACATGTGGTACTCTAGATGGTCCTCTCCAACGCCAGATAGCCTTCCAGACACGGTGATTCTGCTCCACGGTGGGTGAGGTTGCTATCGCGTACGTCGTTCTTACTCTAAATCTTCCATCTTTCTCGGGTCCCCATGTCGGAGTATCCTCCCCCAACTCCTTACATGGAGGTTGCACGCCCATTACCTGCAAAACTGCATCATCGGTCAAGAAAGAGCAAAGTAAGGGCCGATTCCACTCACCTTCCTGTGTGGTGAAGTCTGCCACGGCAGCCGTAGGCTCGATGGGGGGGCTGTCCGCCTTCGCGAGATCAAGCAGAAGATCCCCTGAGTCCAGCCACTGATCCGTCCAAAAGGAAGTACTCTGTCCATTTTTTATGCTCATCTGCGTACCCTCAACTGCTATCGGCCAGGCTTTCATGATTCCCCGCCATATATTTGACCACCGCTTGGAAGTTTTGGCTCTCATCGTGTCGTTGACAGTCTTGAAGTACTTCGCTTGGAGCACCCTCACCCAGAGCTCGTCCGGGGATTTTAGGAAGGCCCAGGCTAGCTTGGCAAGAAAGGCCAGGTTGAGTTCATGGGCCTTTCGGAGTCCGAGTCCCCCTTCAGTCTTCGGTCGACATACCCGTTCCCAGTGTACGAGGTGAACCTTGCGAGTGGTCGCCGTTGACCCCCAAATGAAGCTTCGTATTCGCTTATCGATGAGATCGCAGATCGATATCGGCAGCAGGGTTGTTTGCATGGCATAGGTCGGCAAAGAGTTCAGCACTGAGGCCGCCAGTGTCACCCGTCCTGCAAAACTGAGAGACTCGGCTTTCCAGCCAGACAATTTATTGTCAAGTCGATCTATGATATACCTGTAAGTGTCTTTCGTGACTCTTCTGTGGATGACCGGGACCCCGAGATAGAGGCCCAGGTCCTGGGTTGCTGGAATGCCCATAAGACGAATGATCTCCGCACTTACGTTTCTCGGGGTATTGTCAGAGAAGAAAAGAACTGACTTCTCTTTACTGACCAGCTGGCCCGAGGCGTGGCAGAATCTATCTAGGCACTCAAGGATGACGCGTCCTTGGTTCTCAGTGGCCTCTGCAAAAATAATAAGATCGTCAGCGAAAAAAATGTGGGAGAGAGGGGGACCTCCCGGGGAAGTCTGGATCGGTTTCCACCTCCCGGGGAAGTCCGGATCGGTTTCCACCTCCCCTCGTTCACTGCCTCGTCAATAGTATGGCTCAATCGCTCCATGCAGAGTGTAAATAGATATGGCGAAAGAGGGCACCCCTGCCTCAAGCCTCTGGAGGGCTTGAAAGATTCAGTCCTGCTGCCATTCCAAAGTACTTGCATGGTAGGGGAGCAGACACATTTCATGATGCCTCTATCAATTGGGCCGAGAAGTGAACGGCCTCTAGAGTCTCTCGAATGAAACTCCAGCTGAGTCTGTCGTAAGCTTTGGCCAAGTCTATCTTTATCACAAACTGCCCCTTCCTCCCCTTCTTCTGCCCCATGGAGTGGACTACTTCCTGCAAAATAATTATATTATCTGTGATATGACGCCCCGGGACAAAGCTGGTCTGAGTCGGATGTACCAGTTGCTTCATCAGTGGTTTAATGCGGTTCGCCAGGCATTTGGTGAATGCTTTGTACGAGACATTGCAGAGGCCAATGGGTCTGAATTGAGATATCAGCTCCGGACTCTCCTTCTTGGGAATCAAAACAATCAGTGTCTCATTCACTGCTTCTATGCTGCTCGGGTTATAGAGACAACTCGCCACAAAATCAGAGAAGGAGCTGCCTATGATGTTCCAACTTTTTTGGAAGAAAACCGGGTGGAAGCCGTCCGTGCCAGGCGCCTTGAGGCCCCCCATCCCTTTGATCGCCCACCAAACCTCCTCCTGCAAGATGGGGCGGCTCAGAACTTGGAGTGTCGTCTCATCGATCCTCTCGAAATTGGCTGGAACATATTGTGCTACCCCAGCCTCCGCCGTGAATAATTCTATATAATACGACCGGGCTAGCTCCTTCAGCGCTTCGTCATCCTCCACCCATTCACCCGACGAGTTCTTCAGGCTCGCAATTTTGTTGAATTTGCGGCGCTTAAGTGTTGATAAATGGTAGAATCTGGTATTTCTATCCCCTTCAACAATCCAAAGCGCCCGAGATCTCTGCAGCCATAGGAGATTCTCCTGCCATAGAGTAGATTCCAGCTCCGCCCGCGTTATCCTTTCCTCGTCAAGCGAGGCCGTCGTCGCTCTTGCTTCATTCTGTAGTTCCAGTTTCCTCAGCCGCTGAATGAGCTTCCTCTTTCTTTTAATGATGTGCCCGAACACCTCCAAATTCCATTTCTGTAAGTCGAGTCCCAGTTGGTGCAGCTGTGCTGGTAGGCCATAGGATTTCCTCCACGCCTCCTCCACCACCGATTGAAACTGCTCGTGTCCGAGCCATGCAGCAAGGAACCTGAAGGGTTTTTCCTGCTGACGCCGGTTTTCTGATCTTCCCTGGACAAAGATGGGTATGTGATCGGAGCCTATTCTTTCCAAGTGCCTGGTTACATTTTCCGGAAATTTTAGCATCCAGGCTCTGTTGCATAGCGCTCTGTCTAGCCGTTGATACAGATTTCCGCGCTTCCAAGTGAACCGCGGCCCCGAAAAGTCCACCGTGAACAGGCCGGTCTCATCAAGGCACTATCTGAATGGTCTGACTCGTGCCTCCTGGAATCCCGCTCCCCCCATGCGATCCGTCGGGCTTAAGATGGAGTTGAAGTCTCCGGCTAGGAGCCATGGCAAGGAGCATGAATCCGCAATCCGCCTCAGCTCATTCCAGAGGTCCAGGCGTAGGGCAGTATTGGGGCTGCCATACACCGCTGAGAGTAGAACTTCCGAGTTGGGCGAGCTTTGACGGGCACATTTGAAGTGTATCATTTGTTCCCACTGACAGACAGGCGTAATCCGAACCTCCTGCGTATGCCAGAGAACCCAAATGCCTCCTGCGAATCCCACTGAGTCAACCTTTAACACCCCATCGAAGCCCGTTCGTGCGATAACACTTCGAGCCCTGTCCCCACTTATCCGGGGTTCCAAGATAAACACAATATCTGGCCGTCGCGCCTGGCAATACGAGAGAAGAAAAGGAACAAAATGGTCACTACCTGCCCCTTGGCAGTTCCAAGCAAGAATGTCAATCATTAAAACGGAAAACAAAAGATTGGGATCAGAAGACTCCCCTGTACAACCGGCGAGAACCCGGTGCTTAAGACACGATCATATCCCGGGGGTTAGGTTCCCCCGAGGTTGGCAACTCTGGACCTGTAGGTCCCAAGGGCTCTGTCTCCTTGTTTCCTGCCGGTGCTTGGCCTGGCGGTTGTGGCGGTTGGGACGATCCACCCGTACTGGGAGTAATAACCTCCCCTGGTCTCAAGGATCCTGTCGCCAAGAGAGGACCCGGATTTTTGCTTGTAGTCTCTTTAGTTCGCATGGGTTGGGTGAGCAGGTTGGTCTGCGAGGCTACCATAGTGATCGGCACATCGACGAGGTCGTCATCCATTGCCTTTTGTCGGGTAGGTTGCACTGCCGCGCTCTTAGCCACGCCGGTCACCTCTTGTGGGCCCTTTTGGGTACTCTGTGGTTTCTGCCCAGCAGGGGGTTGGGTAGAGCTCCTGGGTTTGGGGCCAACCGATTGTGCCTCCTTGACAGGGGGTTCCGGGGACTCTGTTTGTGTTTCCATCATTTCAACACCAGAATCTTCCTCGAGAACTGCAAACCGAGACCCGGACGGAGTACCGCCGCCCTTACCAGCCTCATGCTTTGTTTCCGGGTGCTGTTTCTTCTTGCCTCGTGGTTTTGCCACCATCCACTCGCCATACGTGGACCTTGGTTCCTGTTCCCGACCCTTTTGGGCTGTGGTGGGAATCGGTTCAGCTGTTTGATCAGCTCGTGCATGGGCGAGTGATGGGCACGTAGTTTTTGCATGGCCATATCGTTTGCATTCAGTGCAAATGTTATACAGACTCTCGTATTCGATGTAGTACGTCACGCCTTCGATACGATACTGTGATAGCAACGGCTTTGTTAGGTCAACTTCAACGCATACTCGAGCAAACTGGGTTCGCTCACATGTCAGCGTAGCGCGGTCCACTCGAACAGGTCTCCCTATCCTCTGTGCAATGCGCTCAACCGCTTCGCTGTCAAAGAAGTCTAAGGGTAGACCCGGTAGGCGAACCCAGGCTAGGGTTGAGGCAACTTCCGCCGAGCTAGGGTTAAAACCTTTCCTCCAGTTACGCACCGTCAGGTAGTGTCCCCCAATCAGCCATGGCCCTCCTGCAGCAGCTTGTTCATAGTCGAACTGACTCATAAAACGAACCACGTAGAAGCCATGTGAGAGGCTTGAGATTTGGAGGCCACCATGTTTACCCCAGATTGACTCCAGACGCTTCGACAGGACCAGGAATGGGAACGTACGTCCCAGGACCTTCACAATAAGGGCTGAGCGCCATTTACGTCGGTAGCGCTGCTTTTCCATTGTCGTGAAGGGAATTGTAGGGCACCGAGGGTTATCCTCTTCGGGGATCACATCGTCCTGGTCGTCCTCGCGCATCCTCTCTGCGATATCTTCCGAATCCGATTCCGCGACATACCAGGCATCGCTAGTTAACATCTCACTGAAAGTCTTCTGTCCCGTCCACGCCGCCTTGGGCGAGAGAGCTTCCGGGGTTCGGATAGGCGACCCCGATACATCCTCCACCATGATTTCGTCAGTACCGAACAGTTGTCCAGCTACCGACGATTTGGCCCTCTTTCGTACCTGCTGTGATTCTTTCTCCGCTTTGTTGTTCGGCGATGAGGTCACCGACGGGGGCCGGCGAGCCCCCACAGAATGGTCCTGGGGACGGCTGGCCGAGGGGTGAGCCCCCGGCGCCGGCGAGGGCATGGGCGAACGCAGCTCCGCCAACGAGGTTCGCTCCGAAAAGTACGGAGAAAACCCTTATTAGAGATTTGGGGCAAGGTTAATGCATCAAACAATTCATTTGTAGCATTGACGAACTATTTTGCAGAAATCAATCAAGTCCCGGACTACACTACACATGGAATGCATAGAAGTATCACAGACGGACACATTCTTTTTTTCCATCTCGTGATAAACCGCAATTAAAATTAAAATAAATATAAAATTTAAACAAATAAAATAAAACGGGTTATATTTGTAACACCAATGATACGATTATATATATGAATGCTAATTTCAAAAAAAGTACAGGCTTCTACAAATGAGCAAAAATCTTGCAAGTTGCAACTCTGTTACTCAGAATTTACACTACTCAGTTTATTCAAATTTTGGTTCCTAAGGAAACATTTCAAAAGGAAATTTGTAAGAGAATGGAACTTATATTATTCAAGTGTGCTCACTAAAAGGTCGCCAAGTCGGCCTGGGAAGTGGGAACCGATGGTGCGGAGTGCAACTCCATGCATCTCCGCAGCAGCAGAGGTTCGAATCCCAGAGCCAACATAAACGGCATCGGATTCGGTGGTGGTGGTGGTGGTGATGGTATATGAGAGAGCAGAATTGAGGTATTCTAAAATACCTTCCTTTTTTACCCCACCTCCAGCAAGCCTGCATCTATTCTACTGGAATACAGCAACAGAACTTTGAATGGCAATTCTATAACGCCAGTGACTGTGCCAGTTCAGAGACCACTAAAGCTGAATCGTCGATTGATATCAGAAGCACTATAAAGACTAAGCATGAAGGGCTTTTTTTTTTAACCATTGCAGTGGCTTCAGTTTCTCCTGTTAAAGTCGTGGCTGGTTGGAGGAGCTGATGCAATAAACAAATACCACTCGTATTATAACGACAAGTAAGGGGGAATCGAGAAACAAAGCACATTGAATTGAATACAAATGGCAAGGAGAGAAATCTTACCGTAAAGTTCAAAACCTCCTGCGATTTTCCCTTCAGGAGGGTATCAACATGTTTTAGCAAGTTGCTACTGAGACAAATGTCCAAGAATCCCAACTTTAGCCGATCAAGTCATTTACTGAAAGCAAGCAAATGAGCCCAGCCGGTGGCAGATGAGTGCACGAGCATTCATATTCTTGAACAACTCCATTTTTCTCTCTCACGAGACCACCTTCTCTGCAAGTTGTAAAAGCACATCAGTGAAGGCAGCTTATCAGATTCCATCCCATTACTGCAGCAGCTAAAATCAGAACTGTCTTAGTAATAGGATTCTGTTCCTTCATAATATGGAGTGCTTTGAGCGAGCTTTGAACTCTCCCACATTTTCCGTGCATATCTACCATATCATTGCTAACAAACTAGATACACAGAAAGCACTAAACTTTGTCTTAATAGAGAACATGGATAGTACTTTCCCAAGGAAAGCATGCAACGCTAACTGGGTCTGGGTGCACTTGCTCAGAAGACTAATACAGGTGTAGTTATGTGGATGGTTTTTAAGTTTTAACCATAAGCGTGTGTCCATAAAGCTCAATTACCTTCTCTGTAATGACCATCACAAGGACAGGGAGCAATGCCAATATTCCAAGATACATAATCTGACTCTTCAAGCTGAGAAAGAAACTTTATTGATTCGTGGTATTGGCCTGATCTGTTCCAAATTTCAGCAATAATATAAGAAAGAACAGTAGCTAGTGTTCCAAATTCGATGAGTAATGCTCTTGCTTCATGGGTGGGATATCATAGCAGCCAATGGGGACACTGATCAAATTTTCATTCTTCTCATAGACCATCTTCATTATCAAACAGTAAACTTGGAGTAGCTCAAACGCTAATAACGATTGAAGTATGGCATAAAAAGAAAAGCGCATTAGAAAGGGCACCAAACCGAAGCATCTCTTTAAGCAAAGGCATAGAAATTGTGAAGCTTTCACTATAGCAGTCCGAAAACCGGGGTCACCCTTAGTCCCTTATATTGTTTATCAGACCTGAATAATGAGAAACTGACAGACATTACATTACACATGAGAAAATGACTCAAACCTTCAGATATCCTCCGATTTGTCAAAACCTTAATCTTTCGTTGTATCCGATTGGACTTTGCGCTTAACCTTCGGGTCGCTACCAGGTAGTCTACATAGTAATTTGTGGGAAACAAACTATATCAATATAGTATATGAGGCAGCACTGCAACTGATATAGTCTATAGAATAAGGTTGTATAAAAAAATGGCCAAACTTACGAAGCATAAGGAAATGGCTGGACTGCCGCCTCCTTCTCATAGCTAGATGCATCCGTCGCTTTTCTCTTGCGATCTTTGAAAGATACGTTTTCAAACCCTTTAGGATCTGTTGAAAGTGTTCAATCCCTAAACCAATAGAGACCTTGAATGAAGCCACAATTCTAACATACTATTGAACTCGAGCCAATTTCATGATCTCTTAAAAGTAAATGGTACCTAATCTTGGTGTTGGCTTGCTCTGCCTAACATGACTTTCAGAAGCACTCCCATCGCTGGAATCACTATCCGAAGAAGAACAATGATCTACAGAACCTGCAAGTTAATGTATTTAGTATTTACTGTCTTTGTTTCTTGTAAGTTTCAGAAACAACAGACTCAGATGATATCGTAAATTCAGTGTACTCCGCGGATCAGACACCATAACAGATACCTGAACTCTTTTTCCTTGACTGATGAAGAGCCTCTACCACTGTTTTATCTTTTCTATCCATCTCCAGGCATCAAGATGAGAAGCTATACCAACATGGAAGAGTACATTACAACCTACAACCAGGGAATCGAGGTTAACAAAACAGCACATCAAATCCACACAGTCGAAACAACAGCCCTCTCAAGTTCCCAGCGATCCAGTGGTTCGTTTTCGTCATCTTAACCTTACATACGAAACTCAGGGCCTCTGGTTCGACTCTTAACATCAACCCTAAACAGGATCAACAATATGAAGCATTCACGGTTGAAATTGGTCGAAGCTAGGAACTAAAAACCGCACCTTGTTTGTGGTAGAGCATACGATCGAGTGGCATTCCACACTCGTCGATTACATGGCGATGAAAAGATAAAGTCGGCAGCTTGATTAAGCGATCTGCTAAGGGTCATAAATACTGAGGCGAGAAGGTTCCTACGAATCAAACCATCAGCAATCTTGGGAGGAGGCAGAGTACCCAGTAAAAAAGGAACAGGGGAATTCAACGGTTGCTGAAGTGGTGAAAACTGAATAGCTAACTGCCCAATAATGCGGACGCGGTTCAGTGATATTTAACCCTGAAACTCCACCGGCGGTGAAGACTGGCCGGACTGAAAGAGAACGACGTGGTGACGAAGAGGGGATCGGTATGGCTCGCGATTGATTAGTTTTTCAAGAACCCTAATCTTATTGATTTTTGTGTGTTGTGTTAACTTTACTGATTGAGTTGTGATTGTGCACAATTAAAACGCCATACTTAGACGGACGCTGCTTAATAATTTGGGATAATATTCTGAACATAGCCTGAACACTAACTCTTTATCCAAATATGACCTGAATTTTAAAAAACGCCAAAATGACCATATTTTCAAATTCTTGAGACAAAATGGACGAAACATATAATGTTTACCGTTAAATTTGACAGTCCCTCTATCTGTTAACCAGATTCATCCAAACATATTGATGTGGCAATCATGTGTCAATGAAGTATCTGCTCGTCAATCCCACGACATCACCACCACCCAGTTAAGGTGTACAATGATAACGAGATTTGTGAACATTACACAACTGACCAATGTGTATAGCATGGTTTTAAGGTGTACGTCACATACTGATCTAAACACATTGCGTTTTTTGTGTGGCCAAATGTTATAATTAACATGTACAATAAGAAGTCGTCACCCTAATGGACCAATGAGTCTTTACAAATCCATTACGTAAAATTGTCCAACATGGCCAATGTCATCAAAGGTGTACAGTATAACAAAGCCAATGTGGTACCACATACACATTCAAATATGGAGTTGTACAACACAGACAAGGTGCCCCAGCGTTGATGACATAAATGAGTTATACAATGTGTACGAGATTTCAATTCATGAGTATATAAGTAGGGGTGGGCAACGGGAAACGAGTATTTGGGTATACCCGTATCCGTCCCATTTTTTAAGGGTTATGGGTACCCATATTATCCATAATATTATAAACGGATGGGACTTGGGATTGAACATTCTTAATATGGGTACCCACGGGTTACCCGCGAATACCCGTTTGGGTAATATGGGTACCCGTTAATCGTTATACCCATTCAATACAAATGCAGAAATTTAATTCACACCAACCCAATTCAAAACCCATTGGCCATTTCGGCCCTTACCCTTTCAATTTCAATTCCATTTGGGCCCTTACCCTTTCACTCTTTCACTGACATGTTTGATGAAACTTTTTTTTTTTATAATTTGATACTTGGAATGATTTATTTCAATGTGTTGTGATTGTTCATGAATGTGTAATTTGCAAACCAAGTATTTGTGATTGGGATGTATTTTGTGTCTTGTGATTGTTAAGCAAATACAAGTTAAGTTTAAACTTTTGTTAAAATTTTAGTGGTTTAAACTTTGGGTATTTATGGGTAGTATGGGTACCCGTTATCCGTCCCGTACGGGTAATGGGTACCCGTTTCCCATATGGGTTTGGGATATGGGATGAACTTTGGTCTCCAAATGGGACTGAGTACCCGTTTAAAACGGAACGGGTATCCCGTCCCGTCCCGTTGCCCACCCCTATATATAAGACATGCATATTAAAATTTATGTTACCCCTCATGAGAGATATCCAACTCCACATATATGCTCCACATTGCCAAAATGATGGAAGTAAAAATATACCGATATAGTGCAACGTAATGATTTCACATGAATACTTATGAATGCCTGGAAATAAGTCTACAATGTAAAACCAAAAAACATGTACGCAAAATTCTTTCAAAGTGACTACAACATTTGTAGTAGACCCTTATAGAAAATAGTTCTTCATAAGAATAAAACGAAGTGAATATGACATCACAAGATCAAGCATCAAAATTTTGTTTGGAAAAGATCGAACTCTAATTGATTTCCTCCCTTAAAATCCGAGCAGATTTAAGGAACACAATAAATTAGGCAAAACTCAACGGCTAAATAAGCCATTTTGCTATAAAGTTCACATTCAAGTGAGACACTTTTGGTAATTAGCCAGTGAGGTGGGGACTTCAGTTGGGAGTGCCGGAAACAGAGACGCAGAGAGAAAGAGAGAAAGAGAGCCCAACTGTCCAGCATTTTGAGCATTACGTTACTCCTCTTGTCGTTCTTGCATTGCAATTTGCAACAACACTGTAAAAAGCTGAAAACTTTACTAATTTTTTTTTAATAATATTCCTCTCTAGACACCATAGAAGCTCTCTCTCTCTCTCTCATCCCCTCTCTGCAAAATCAATCAGTCTCAATCGGGGATTTTGGTCTAGGGTTTCACTCACACAGTCACACTCTCTTCTCCTCCCTTTCCCCATAGCCGTTTCTCTTCTTCCCTCTGTGCTCTGTTCTCCATCTGGGTTCTAAAAAGGAATTGACTTTGAGCCAGCTAGCTCGCCCACCGACTCAGTCAACACGCTTGATTAACCCAAACACCCCTGGCCTCTCTTGCTTTTTTTCCTTAACTAGAGTGAGTTCCTTTTTTCCACATCCGATTCCAATTATTCTGCCTTATCATTCCCAACTTTTTTCTCATCTACTTTCCCACCAAACTTTTAGCTCTCCCTTGGTTGTGGGTTTCCTCTCTCTGACTCTCTGTGGGCTTGCCGATTTGAGATTGCTCTGTTTTTTCTGGTGTGATTTTGGTGAAATTGTTGGGGTAGGAGAAAGGGAGAAGGAAAGAAGGAGAATCATGAAGATTTGCTCAAGTAAAGCTCCTGGTTGATCCGATAACGTGTTAATCCAGCTGCCCATCTCATTTCCTAGCTCCCTTCCCTAATCCACCATTAGTTTCCTCAGACAGTAAGCTCCCAAGTTGGTTTCTTTCTTTCTTTCCATTCAGCTCGAAATTTCCTGGATTGGGGACTTTTCTTGTAGATTTGGGGACCGGAATGGCGGAATCCGGGAAAGGCGCTTCCAGTGACAAGGATAAGATTCAGAATCTGATTGCTGCGAGGAAGTCACTGAAGCTGAGCTTGGAGAAGTCTAAATCACTGGGGCTTGCTCTAGGTAAAGCTGGGCCTAGATTGGACGAGATTAATCAGCGGCTGCCTTCTCTAGAAGCTTCAGTGCGCCCAATTCGTGCAGATAAAGACGCACTTGTTGCAGTTGGAGGTCACATTAACCGTGCTGTGGGTCCTGCTGCTGCGGTGCTCAAGGTGTTTGATGCTGTTCACGGGCTGGAAAAATCGCTGCTTTCGGATCCTAGGAATGATCTGCCTGGTTATTTGTCTGTGCTGAAGCGTTTGGAAGAGGCATTGAAGTTTCTTGGGGAGAATTGTGGTTTGGCAATACAGTGGTTGGAGGATATAGTGGAGTATTTGGAGGATAATTCGGTTGCTGATGAGAAGTACCTCTCCAATTTGAAGAAGAGTCTTAGGGATTTGCAGAACGATGATGAAAGGTCGCGTCTTGATGGCGGGTTGCTGGATGCCGCATTGGATAAGTTGGAAGGAGAGTTCAGGCGGCTGTTGGTGGACCACAGTGTTCCACTAGAAATGTCATCCTCATCAGCTGGTGAACAGGCGGCGGCCATTGCACCCTCGCAATTGCCTGTAGCGGTAATTCAGAAGTTGCAGGCAATTCTTGGTAGGCTTATTGCGAATAACAGACTTGAGAAATGCATTTCCATATATGTTGAAGTCCGTAGTTCAAATGTTAGGTCTAGCTTGCAGGCACTCGATTTGGACTACCTTGAAATTTCCATAGCTGAGTTCAATGATGTGCAGAGCATTGAGGGTTATATTGCTCAATGGGGCAAGCATTTAGAGTTTGCCGTCAAGCATTTGTTTGAAGCAGAGTACAAGCTTTGTAATGATGTCTTTGAGAGAATAGGGTTAGATGTGTGGATGGGGTGCTTTGCTAAAATTGCTGCTCAGGCTGGCATTCTAGCATTCTTACAATTTGGGAAAACCGTTTCAGAGAGTAAAAATGATCCCATTAAGCTTCTCAAGTTGCTGGACATTTTTGCATCTCTCAACAAATTGAGACTGGATTTCAATAGGCTCTTTGGTGGGGCAGCCTGTGCAGAGATTCAAAACCTTACTAGGGATCTCATAAAGAGCGTTGTTGATGGAGCAGCCGAGATCTTCTGGGAGCTTCTGGTTCAGGTGGAATTACAAAGGAAGATTCCACCTCCACCTGACGGAGGTGTTCCCAGACCAGTGAGCTTTGTAACCGAGTACTGTAACAAGCTTCTTGGGAATGATTACAAGCCTATACTGACCCATGTCCTGCATATTCACCGAAGTTGGAAGCATCAGAAGTTCCAAGATAAGCTTCTTATTAAGGAGATGTTGAGCATAATTAAGGCTATCGAGCTCAATTTGGAAACATGGATGAAGGCTTATGAAGACAATACCCTATCCAACTTCTTTGCCATGAATAACCATTATCATTTGTACAAGCATTTGAAGGGGACACAACTTGGAGAAATCTTGGGAGATTCTTGGTTGAGAGAACATGAACAATACAAGGACTACTATGCTGCAATCTTCTTGAGAGACAGTTGGGGGAAGCTTCCTAGTCATTTGAGCAGGGAGGGTTTGATTCTATTCTCAGGTGGGCGTGCCACTGCTCGAGACCTTGTCAAGAAAAGGCTGAAGACTTTCAATGAAGCTTTTGATGAGATGTATAACAAGCAGTCAAACTGGGTTGTGCCAGACCGAGATCTGCGAGAGAAGACGAGCCAGCTGATTGTGCAGTCCGTTGTGCCTGTTTACAGAAGCTACATGCAGAACTATGGGCCTTTAGTTGAGCAGGAAGGAAGTTCCTCCAGTAAGTATGCGAAATACTCGGTGCAGGCTTTGGAGCAAATGCTTAGCTCATTGTTTCTGCCTAAACCTGGGAGGTATGGAAGCTTTAAAGTTTCTAGGAGGGCCAGCGACAAATTCGATAACGGGGTAGCGAGTCTTCATCGTACTGCCTCTGCAATTGTGTGATTGTCATCTGGTCACGTGTGTTGATTTGTTTGGTTGTCCTCTCAAATTCTAGACGATCAACCCTTTTCTGTACATAAGGGATGGAGGTCCTTACGGGCCTTAAATCATGTCATATAATCCTATCCAGCAAAGTGGCTCCTCCGAGTGCTGCTGCCCAAGTTTTCCTCCATCAGCTGAACTTCCATAATCACCCGAGAAAGTGTTCGCCTCTAATGCCTGGAAGGATTCTGGCAAGCTTTGTTGATCTGAGCAGCTCTGGGCATATGCAATATGTTCCTTATTACTGGAACAGTAGATAATACTTTTGAGGTATAGCTTTATCTCATTTTATTACCCATTGATTCAATATTTGCCATAATATGGCTGCGTTAAAGCCTCTGTACTTGCGACCGTTTAGATTGTCTAGCAGGGATTAACTTAAACATGTCACTTGAGCAGTAGTCATTGCACTAATGTACCCTTTAAAGGGGGGTTTTTACCTATTAATGATGGGATGGATGCTAGAGGCCTTAAGATTCAGCCATGAGTTTACTACTGAAAGCACTTTTCACAATAAGATGTCTTTCCATTTCTCTTTTGGATCGCAGTAGCTTCCCATTTGCTCGATATTCTCTCGTATTCATGATTGGATCTGTTGCTGCAAAAACAACGTTATTTGCGTTCATTCCATCTCTCTGCTTTGAGAACATCTGTGGCCCGTTGTGGATCTTTGAGTCTTTCTAAGGAACTGTTGCTACTTCATCTTGGTCTCTTTGGGAAATCATTAGCTTCGGTCTGACCTGCCCGCCTTGATCTATCCCGTTCGCGTATTTCCTGCTTGTGGGGCGGAGTTACAATCTTCCTGCTGCCTCATCCTGTCCAGTTCTTGCTCTGATGTAGGGCTATGTGCGAGCCTTCGACACTCGAATAATTAGGCTTCATTAACTGTTCTCTCCCTATTAATTGAGAAAGTTTTATTGGTTACAATTGCTGTTGGTATACTATACTTTACTACTCTTATAGTCTCATGTATGTCGTGCAACTACTATTGCAAGAGCTATTAACAAGGTAACCAGTAGGCGCTTGTTTGTGTATCATGAAAAATCACCAATCTTCTGCAAGCTTGTCTCTGATTCCATCCAGCTCCACTGCAATATCACTGATCCTCATCCGCTCTCCGGGAGACTCCACAGAAGCAGCTATGCCGATCCCAAGTATAGAAACCACACATTCTTGAACCATAGTAGTCGTGGCGAAGGATATCGATGCTCCTTCAATCTCGTCGACCAGCACTACGTCCAGTATCTCTCTCGCTTCCGTCCAGGAACCCACTTCTGCGTGACGGTGAAGGTTCAGGCCATCCTTGAACATCTCGTCCGTGGGTCTCTTCCCGGTGAACATCTCCAGCAGCAACATCCCGTAGCTGTACACATCTCCGCTCGTAGAAACCTCATTCCCCATTCCATATTCTGCAAAATTCAATAAACTAAGTTAGATACTGTTAATTCTGAATCACCATAACTAATAGGGCTGGAATCAGGGAAGCTGCAACAAGCAATGGCTCTCACCTGGAGCTGTGTAACCTATAGTTCCCCTGACACCAAAGCTACTAGACAGGCTGCTACTAAGATTGGCTGCTATTGCTTCTGGGAAAAGTCGGGCCAACCCGAAATCGCCCACCAGTCCTGTCATTTCATGGTTGACAAGAACATTGCTCGGCTTCAGATCACAATGAGCTATCGGAGTCTTCAGGCCATGGTGAAGATACTCCAAAGCACTTGCGACGTCAGTCGCAATATTCAACCTCTGTAACAAATTCAGCTGCTTCCTCCTCGGTGGGAACTCGAGATCCGGGTCAGTTTCGATTTCAGGATCTTGATGCAGCCATTCATCCAGGCTTCCGTTTGCCATGAATTCATATACCAAGGCCATGAATTCGTTACCTTTACCGTCAACGCTCGAGCACGAAGTCAGTAGCTTGACGAGATTTCTGTGCCTGACTTCCCTCAAAACCTCGCATTCAGCTCTGAAGCTCTTCGCAGCTGCTGGGTGAAGAAGATTTAAAACTTTAACGGCTATGATTTTGTCACCGTCGTTTGGGTCTATCCCTTTGTATACGCAACCGAAACTTCCGGTTCCGATCAAATTTTGAGGAGAGAAATCTTCAGTCGCCTTCCGCAGGCTGTGGTAACTCATTTGGGGGAGGCGATTCGGTGAAGCTTCTTCATCTGGTTCCACTCTCTTCTTCCTTTTGATACAGAGTAGAAACAGGGGAGATAAAAACAGAGCAAGCAAGGCCAAGCTGGAAGCTCCAATTATCATGGCTTTCTCGGCGGTGGAGAATCTCTTTGCTTTACTCTTCTCCTTCAATTTGCTGCAAACAGGCAGTCGGAATTCAGAAATTCCGCCGCATAGCTCACCATTCCCCGAAATGGAAGCCGCCGTCGAGTTTCTGAACACGCCTTCATTCGGTACTCTGCCATGGAATCCGTTGAACGACAGATTCAAGCTCGTCAGCGACTGGAAGCTCCCGATGAACTCCGGGATTTCCCCAGTCAAATTGTTGTTCGCAAAGTTCAAGACTTGAATACCCTTTAACGAACTGAGAGACGAGGGGATGGATCCCTGGAAAGAATTGTTCTGCAGCAGAAGCGTCTCCAGTCTAACGCAGCTTCCCAAGCTCGCCGGAATTTCGCCGGATAACAGGTTATGAGAGACGTTAAGTATCCCGAGGTTTTTTAAAGTTCCCACTTGTCTTGGAAAGGAGCCTGTCAATCTGTTCTCTGCCAGGCCCAAGTAGATGGTCAGAGATGAAATACTCAGAAGATCTCCGGGGATTTCTCCGGCGAGATTGTTTCCGTCGAGATTCAGCGACAGTAAATTCCGGCAGTTCCCCAAACTTGGAGGAATGGTCCCCTGAATAGAACTATACTGCATGTGGAGATGCGTCAATTGACTTAAATTCCCAAAAGAAGAGGGAATTCTTCCATCAGAGAATTCGTTTCTCTGGAGATGCAATTTCTTCAAATTCCCCAACTTCCCAAGCTCTTCAGGAACAGAGCCGGTGAATTGGTTGTTTCCCATATCTAACAACTCCAATTTCTTTAGGTTCGCCATTCCTTCTGGTATGCTTCCTGATATCTTGTTGACATCCATAGTCAGAATCGAGAGCTCGGTGAAATTAACGACGGTTTTCGGCAGGGATCCGCCAAAATTGTTGGCACTCAGAGAGACCAACTGTAAACTTGACCGATTGCTGATGGTTGAAAGGAAGTCTAAATCACCAGCTTCGCCAGTTCCAAGCAAATTAGTCGAAATACTCAGCCACCAGAGCTTGTGCATCTTCGCCATAGAAGGCATAGTTCCAGAGATTCGGTTGACAGCAATCGTAAACCTCTCCAAGTTGGAAGCATTGGACAGCGAAGCGGGAATTGTTCCAGTGAACTGATTGTCGCCGACGTTGAGCTCGGTGAGGTTTGGAAGAAGGTTCCCGATGTCCGGAGGAATCGTCCCCTGAAGCTGATTCACTGGAAAACAGAGCACGCCCATGGAAGTAATGTTGTAGATGGAAGCGGGAATCGTTCCAGTCAAAAAGTTTCCTCCCATGGACAAATAATTGAGCTTCTTGAGGCGGCCGAACGACTCAGGGATCGTTCCTCCGATGCTGTTGGACGTCGTGGCGATTTGCTCTAAAGTGGAAACATTGCCGAGTGACGGCGGGATGCCGCCGGTAAGATTATTGAACTCGAGATTCAAAATCCAGAGCTTCTTGAAGCCTCCGAATGAATCCGGAATCTTGCCGACCAACCTGTTGTCGCCGAGAACAAGGCCGGCGAGGTCGGAGCAGCCGGAGATGTTCGCCGGGATTTCGCCGGTGAGGAGATTGCTTTGCAGAGCGAGAATCTGGAGGCTTGTCAAGCTGCCGATTCCGGGAGGGATTTCGCCGGAGAAGCTGTTGTTGTAGAGCCACAGTTCCCTTAGAGAAGAGAGATTGGCGATCGACGGGGAAATCGAGCCGCGGAGGAGCTGAGAGCTGAGGTCGAGCTCAGTGACTCTCTGGTTGCCTCCATCACAGGTAACCCCTGCCCATTTGCAGTAATGGATTGAAGAAGAAGAGCTGTTGGTGTAGTTGCTGGTCCAGGAGTTGAGGAATCCAAATGGGTCTGAGGTAATTTTGGACTTGAAATCGAGCAAAGCTTGGTGCTCATCCTTCGTTATCTGGTTACCACTACTGCTTTGGCCTCCAGCCAGGGACACAATTGAGCTCAGAAGAAGCAGAAACAGAGGTGGGATTTTGAAAAACTCCATCTTTGAAAGCCAGAGCTCACGAACGAGGAGAAAAATTGGCTGCCGAGTTGGGTTTTCTGAGGGGAAAGCACTTGCACTTGCACTTGCACTTGCACCATCAGTTTGACGCCATTAAAATGAGTTTCTTGGGGGACTTGTTGTCGTTCAGAGGAATTTTGATGACGCGGTGAGGACTTTTGGGGCAGGGGAGTTTTGTGTTGGTGCATTTGGAGCCATATGGAGACGATTCAGATGGGCGAGACTGTGAGAGCGACGAGGTTTGAATATTATAATAGCTGAGGGAGACCGAAATGTGACATTGACGGAGGACCTTTGCAAAGTAGATGAATTGGTAAACAGGGTAACTTTCCATGGATTATTGTCTTTTCGTTTGGACCTTTTGTCTGTGGCCACCCAGAAGAAAGAAATGTGGAAATTTTGCTGATGAAATCGGAATCTCAACTGTGCTCGTCGTTCCCACCTTGATTACTGTTTCCACATATCATGTTTATCAACATTAGCACTCATTCGTCAATTTCTTTCAACAAGCTGATATGATATTTCAATAAGCACGAAATTGTAATTTTTAACTTAAACGTCAAGCTTTCCTTCCACTTAGAGATTGATGCCGCCCTAACCTATATTCTGGTCTGGCAAAAGAATTTGAATTTTACTTTAGGTCTTGCTACTCTCAGTCTCAGGTGCCTGAGGAGAAGGAAAACAAGTTCTCAGTTAGCTTTTGCTTTCGTCTTTTGTCTGGGTAGAAGTTTACGGAAGATGGATGATTTTCCACTCGAAGATATTTGGAAGTCTAACGATTCTTATCAAGATTATGTTGTTGTTGTTGTTGTGATTGGCTTTACATGGCAACATCGTCATCACAGATAAAATAAAAAATCATAGTTTTCATACGCTAATATATGTTTTCTTTGTCACTATGAGGAGGAATCCATCGATCATGTTTCCAAACCATTGTGGCAGGTTTACTACCATTCTTTCTTTGTCTAGTCCTCCTTAATCGATTAAGAGCAGACTTTTTCTTCACAAAACCTCAAATTCACCAAGAACACGTTCTATGTAGATAGAAGGAAAAGCCTGCTCTTACTTTGGGGTTTTGTGAACGAAGATCAATTTTATTGTTTCCGGTAACGGTTTATTTTATTTCTTTCGCTCTTCTGTTATTTGACTACGCTAGTATTTTGCACGCAATGTTATTAGGGGTCGTTTGGAAGTTGCGATTGTTTTGTTGAGATTGTCATTATGCATGTATTGTTTACAATGCATCGTTTTTTTGTTTTTTTTAGCAGAAACAATACATGGATTGTTTCTGTGATGTGACAGAAACTATCACTCATTTTGAGTGATTGTTATATCTCAACTTTTAGTTGTGATTGTTGAGATAGTTGAGTTGAGATTGTTTTGTCTAAGTTTTTAACTAATGCGACATACACAATCACACATACCAAACGTTGTATTCTACAATGCATCAAATTCAACAATACATGCATTCTTAACAATACATCTATTTAACAATCGCAACTTCCAAACGACCCCACCTTTGATCATCAGAAATGTAAAATTGAACTTGTAGTTTTCTCTTTTACTCACGTGAGGCGAGTCATCTAGTTGAGCTCTCTCATCAAATCTTACTCATATAGAATGGGTACCTAATTAAGTAATTATGCACACATTATCCTCCATCTTTTTTTGCACGTTAATCCATTGTCCTAACTGGTTTCGGATTCCTTATTTCCAAAGGTTGCCAATGCTGATGGCGCAATTACATAAAGCCTTCCCCTGCCTCCACCTTCCTTCTCGTCGACAGCGTTTCAAGAAAGACGAAGGGAAGGAAAAACAGAGAACAGAGTGACTGAGTGAGAACATGGATTCCTTAGTTTTCAAGGTTGCTGCCGGCGGAATTTGCAATTCCCTAATTTGGGCCATCAAAATTCACACCAAATTTTGTCTAGCCGCCGTCCCGTTGCTCGAAAAGTTGAAACACGCCCTGTTAGGGAAAGACAGATTGAGCGATCTCCCCGACTGCATTCTCCATCACATTCTCTCCTTCCTCGACACCAGATCCTCTGTTCGAACCTCCGTCCTGTCTAAAAGACTTACCAACTTATGGAAAGAAGTCCCTGCCCTCAATCTCGACATCGTGTTAGAAACAAAGTTTCTAACGGATTTGATATTTGGGGATTAGGGTTTATACGAATAGAATTAGGGATTGAGATTGGGGATTTGGGGAAGAAGAAGAATAGAATAGAGAATCGGCCGAGGCCTTGGAGGGATAGGGATCGAGAATTGAGAGGATAGGGAGAGATTAGGGTTTAGGAGATTATTTGATAATTCTTTCTTCACTGATCATAACGTAGACTCAAAGTACATATTTATAACGAAAGACTGGAAAACCCTAATTAATAAACCTAATTCTATTAAATGACTACTAACCTTATTGATAATTACCCTAATAATAATTATATTAATAAATAGAGAAACCCTACAGAAATCGGTTTCTAACATCTCCTCTCCCTTCAGACCAACCTTGCCCTCAAGGTTGAGGTGAACTTCTGTTCTCTTGACCTTCCACCTACTTCGCTTCCAATTGCGCTTAATCCCACGATTGAATTCTTCTCCAGCAACTTCAATGCCTCTCTCTCCCACCACGTGACACATGTCACGTTCTCCATTGTCAAACAATTCTTCCTCCTTTCTTTTGAAGTCCACAAAATAAGAATCAGATGAATTTTCTTCTTCCTTGTGTGTGTCATCATTAAACACCTTAAAATATTCAATGAATTGTTCAATCGATTTCGTCTCGTGCTTGGTGGCGGTGAAGACAAACCACCCTTCTCTTCCTTTACCTTGGACTCTGCCTGTAATTGGTTGGGGGAAGGAACCGTAGCCCAAGCCAATATTAGGCTCCACTTTACACCACTCATCTCCAAACTCAATTGGAGCTGGTCTTTTTAGAAGCCCACCCGCCAAACACTTAAGCCCACTTTCCTCTCCCTCCAAATTCTGTCCCTGAATAGTAAGACCCCAGCCCTCTTGTCCCAACTCCACCAATAGATGCCGTCTAGGGTTCACGAGGAGGAGAGGAACGCGGCCGCCGCCCTCCTTCTTCTTGGAATCCTTCTCAGGCGACCTCCCTTTCAACCCGTTCTCCGGCGCTTTCAAATGTGGCCCAACCTTGAAGATGAAGCCCACTAACTCTTGCCCACTTGGTTGGGCTAATAAAACTCGGCCCAAAGAGGGGAACACCGGCTGCTGTGGTGGTCCCACTGCTACGGCCCTAGTGTTTGTGAAAGGAGAGATACCTCCCCCATTCACATGAATCACATCCCAAGTCGGCGGCTCCTCTGCCTCGTTCTCCGCCGGCGACTCGTCCGCCGACTTCTTCTCCGATTTTTCCTCCGGCGTCGAGCGGCTTCCTTGGCAGCTAGGTAGATCCGCCGCCTCATTCATCGGTGGCTCTTCTCTCCTCGATGGCGACGAGTCAACCCGGGTGTTCGTCGTCTCGGCAGCCAACGCCCAGGCTGGGGCTAGCGTCAATTGCAGCGTCGGAGGAGCTCCTTGCATGGCCGGCAAAGAAACCCAACGATCCTGCTTTGATTCTTGTCGTCGAATGACGGCAACGGAGCACTCCTCCTTCGCGATACCCTCTGCAATGACCGTCGACCCATGACCGTCTTCTTTCTCCTCTCCGGTTGGTAGTGAAGGCGCGGTGCTTATTGCAGCTTTGTCAGCGGTGATCGTCATCTCCTGGCCTATGGCAGGCGATCGGATCGTTGATGACGTTGGTGAAGCATAGAGACGGGGCGTCGCATTTGGGCCGGCGCCAGACAGCTCGACCGCCGGCTCTTCGGGCAGCCAACGGCGACCAATGCGACGGGCTCTGTCCCGCAATTCTGCCCACGACAGGTTCGAGAGCTTTGAAGAGCTCATCGTCGAACCAGTTGTAGAAATCGTCCCCGATTGAGAGTTGTGGTGAACTCAATTCTCGAACCGGGCTCTGATACCAGATGTTAGAAACAAAGTTTCTAACGGATTTGATATTTGGGGATTAGGGTTTATACGAATAGAATTAGGGATTGAGATTGGGGATTTGGGGAAGAAGAAGAATAGAATAGAGAATCGGCCGAGGCCTTGGAGGGATAGGGATCGAGAATTGAGAGGATAGGGAGAGATTAGGGTTTAGGAGATTATTTGATAATTCTTTCTTCACTGATCATAACGTAGACTCAAAGTACATATTTATAACGAAAGACTGGAAAACCCTAATCAATAAACCTAATTCTATTAATTGACTACTAACCTTATTGATAATTACCCTAATAATAATTATATTAATAAATAGAGAAACCCTATAGAAATCGGTTTCTAACACATCGACTCCGTCCCCAACAAGTGGGATTTGCAGGAGCTACTCTCTGTTCGCTCTCGCCAATCCCCTGTTTCCGCCATCGAATTTGACTTCAGGGCAAGACACGCGCGGACTTGGCATAATTCGATCGGGTCATGGCGCACGCCGCCGTCCTAGGGAACGGTCACGATCTCAAGGTGCTGTCCGTCACCTGCGGTGGAAATTTGAATGGGATACCCGCCACCATCACTCGCCACTGTCACCATGAACATTCACAGATATTCGAAGTGTCTGCTCCGAAGCTCGAGTCGTTCTGCTTGTCGGGTCACAACGATGATTTTGTGAATCTCCGCGAGGTGAACCTCCCTTCTCTGGCTCGCGCCAGGGTTAGGCTCGAGTTTTGGTGGTGTTCCAAGGAGGAGGTTGCGATGGTGGTTTCGTTCGTGAGGTTGGTGCGCGGGATGTATAATGCAAAACCTCTGGATATATGGATTGAAGATAAGGTACGCTCAATCTATCTCGATAGTCTCTCACTTTTCAAACGTGCTTCGATATTATTAGTTGCTAATCCGTAGTCTCTTATGGTTTTTGACTGTGTTCTTTATTTTGCAGTTTCGGAATCGAGAAGACTCTCGTTTTAACGAGTTGAGGCCACTAGTCAGGGAGGAAGTTTCTCGCTTTGTCAGATTGAAGAATTGGAAGATTCGATACTCCTTCAAAGACCAATAGTAAACATACTTTGATCCAATGGAGGTTTGAAGAAAAGTTCTAACTTGAACGCATTATGGGTTATAAATTCTGTATATTTTTTCTTCTTCTTCTTCTTCTTCTTCTTCTTTCTTTTGTAGTTTAAGTTGGAACTTCGAAGGTAAACATGTGTGTTTCTGGAATGAATTTTTCAATCTTGTAACATGTTTCAAACTTTATTTAATCTATCTAAGCGTTAATACTTAATATCGTCCAAAGGTTGAGACAATCGGTATCTTCAACCGGATTTTGATACCGTTTCTCGAGCGCCAGGCAAACAACCAGCTTCGTCGCTAGGCCCTTAGCAATTGCCATGGCGAAGACCGAACCTGGATCCATGCATCACGATTCACCCCCTTATCTCTCTTCGCCCTGGGCCCTGGTCTATGGTTGTCATTCGTTTCCAATTTCCAATTCGATGCTCTAGTATATGTTATTGTATGACTGTTAGGGGGGTTTCTGTAATCTGGATTCCTATCTAATGCCCTAAGTTTTTAAATTTTTCGTCCTAAACTTACCCAAACGGACAATTGTACCCTCAATCCCTAATAGCTTCCGCCCCCAATCCTCAGAACGCTAGCCCTAATTTTGCTCTTCTCCGGCCCAGCGCCACCTCCAATACCGCACCCGCAACCCATCCGTAGCCCTTCTCCGTCGTTGATTGTTTCAATTGGATTCCCTCTTCCTCCTCTTCGGGAGCTGCAGAGGTGGGTGGCGGCTGCAATGGGCGGGGCAGAACATGAGAGAAGGCGCTCCCAACCCCGCTCCTCTTCTCGCCGGAGGTTTCCTATTCTCCTTCCTCAGCGCCAGTGAGGAATCCGACACCGACTGAGTGAGGGCGGCGACGACGGGCAGGGGGAGGGTCAGTAAGGCGGAGGCGCCCTGTTCTCCTTCCCCAAAGCTGACTGAGGTAGGGCGGCGACGGGCGGAGCTAAGGAAGAGCTTTGTGGAATCCGACACCGACTGAGCAAAGTGGCGGCGACGGTTGGAGCCGAAGAAGAGCAGCAGACCGAGGGTCAGGAATTTAGGGCGATATGAACGTTAGGGATTGGGGTTAAATTGTAATTTCATTTCATTTTAGGGCGTTAGTTTTTGAATTTTAGGGCGTTAATTAGTAACACTCTTCTGTAATCTGGTTGGTTTTGAATGAAAGTTAGGGTGCGTTGCATCCATTATAAAAAAAAATCTAACATGCAGTGACTTTTATAGTATTTTTGCAGAAATGGTAGGACATAATTTAGATTAGTGACTAGAGGTTTAACCAAAAGCTACACTAAACCACACACCATTTGGTTACTTAATTGCCGATTTTTGTGATAGTAGTTAATAACTTACCGTGATAGTTAAATCGTAAAACTACACCTCGTTGTGGAACCTTAACGTTCCTAACTCCTTCATTTGCAATACAATCCAACAAAAGAGCATTGTATGAGTTTCATGCTGAATAAAATCCTAGAGAGGGAAGCTCGTATCTATGATGATGATTACGAACCTAGTATGTTCTTGAAGAACACAATGTATTGCAAACTGACATTTTATTAATGATGATAATGTAGACCTTAAATACTTAGCATTTGAGCCACAAAGTCCGACCTCAAAGCTTCCAACTACTAACATCAAGCCCTACTAATCAACTTGCATTACCTACACGTCCACAGGAACCTCTCAACAAACTAAACAACCTATCTTGACTAAACTGACCAAACTTAAAACAACAAGGACTAAACAGACACTTAGCCAGAACTCGACCTGGTCTTTATTGACAGACTCTGTACTAAAACGGTGCCGCACCAACTAAACGACAACAGCCTTCAAGTAATCCTAATCCGCTTAGGAAAAGGATTACAGCTAAAGTTCAGACTTACTCCAACAGTGCTTTCTTGCTAAGCTATAGCCAAAAGACTATCAAAAGAATTAACTACGATGGGTGAATAAATGTGCAGCTAAAGAACCAAATGTTAATCTTAAAAAAAAAAAAAACCGTACAAGGAAATCTTACAGCTATGTCAAATCAATCATCAACCTCATCTCTAATCACTCTTAGCAGTTCCTCCTTGTAATCTTCGAACGTCCCCTCATAGATCTCCACCGTACCATCTTTCACAACCCAGATCTGGCTCACCTTCCTTTCACCGTCGTCGTTGTTGTTGCAAACACTGGAGATCAACCTCGAGTCATGGCTAACCAGGATGACGCCACCTTCGAATTCGTCCAGCGCATTGGCCAGTGCATCAATGCTCTGCATATCCAAATGATTGGTGGGTTCATCCAGCAACAAAACGTGAGGCCTCGAACACGAGATCGATGCGAACGCAACACGAGCTTTCTGTCCGCCGGACAGTTTGGCTATCAGGGTGTCATGGTTGCACTGCAGACCGAATTTCCCGAGCGCCTCGTGTACATCCTGTTGCTTGCTAAACCGCTCTGGATACAGTCTCATGAGATACTGAACAGGTGTTTCATCCATTGTGAGCTGATCCACAAAGTGCTGCGAGTACATTCCGATTCGCAGATTCGGGTTCCTCATTACATCTGCACTGTCTTTCGGAACGAATTCACCAGCGAGCAGCTTCAGCAGAGTGGATTTCCCAGCTCCATTGGCTCCCACGATGGCGACCCGGGTTCCCATATCGACATCCACGCAGAGGTTCGACAGCGTAAAATCAGCACGATCTTGATGCCTGTAGCTTACTCCAACAAGCTGCAGAAGTGGTCGCTTCAGCTCAGTGGGTACAGGGAAGTGAAATTCGACCTTATACTCCTTCCTTTTCCCTATGGCCTTTATACTAGGCAATTCACCATCATCAACAACAACTTTCCCCTTACCTCGTCGGCAGTTTGATGCTCGATCTTTCACCTTCTCCTGCTGAAGCTTACTACCACTCCTCTTGGCAGCTTTCAACAGCTTCGCATACGTCTCATCCCTCTTACTCTCCGCCTTCTGCCTCTGCTCATATTCCCTCTTGAAATTGTCGAAGTTGCCACGATACATGTGTAGCTTCTTCGAGTCTAGATGGATGATCTCGTTACAAACCGCGTTGAGGAAATCGCGATCGTGCGAAACAACCACCAATGTCTTCTTCCACCTGCACAAGTACTCCTCCAGCCACAGGACAGCCCTGAGATCTAGATGATTCGTTGGCTCATCAAGCAACAGAAGACTCGGCTGCACGAAAAGCGCCATAGCCAGAGAGACCCTCATCCTCTCCCCTCCACTCAAGGACCGAGTGGCCCGAGCCTGCATTTCGACACCAAACCCTAATCCAGCCAGAATCTTCGACGCCCGAGCTTCAGCACCGTCTGATCCCATCTGCTGCAATCTATCATACAATTCAACAACCCTATCTCCTGCATCGTCATCCTGCAACGCAGCATCGACTTCTCGCCTCAATTTAACAAGCTCGGCATCAGCTGAAACAACTACCTGTAGCGCGGATCGATCATCCTTAGCCACCTCCTGCTCGACCAACAGCACATCCATGTTCTTCGGGAGAGGTAGCTTCCTCCAGGCGAGAAGCTTCAAAAGGGTGGATTTCCCCTTCCCGTTAGGTCCAACGAGACCGTACCTCCTCCCGTGGGAAATCTTCAATTCCGCATCCTTCAAAAGTTCCTTCCCGCGGACCGAAACGGTGAAACCCTCAATTGAGATGTCCTTCGAATTGGCAGCGCCTTCCTGTTGATCATCCGACGCACGGCTTTTTCCAATCGCAACGGTGAACGGATCTCGGTCATCTTCGAGATCCCCCTTCTTTGCCGCGGGTTGATCAATAGCACGGGTAGCGCGAAATTCCTTCTTCCCCAATTTTTTTGACTGATCAATGTGGGGGTTGCGATCAGTCCTGCGCTGGTTGGCGGCAAGTCGGTTTCGCTCTTCGTCGGAGTCATCGGCGTCATCGTCGGATGGAGGGAGATCGATGCCGTCGGTGTAACTTTGAGTTATTGGCTTTTGCTTGAGCTTGCTAATATTGGGTTTGTCGGGTTTCTGATCCATGCTGAGAAGCGCGGATACGGACAGTTTGTCCTTCTTCCTAGCTGTAGCTGCTGCTGCCGCCTCTTTGTTGGTGGTTGAATTACCCTTCCCCGCGCCGGCGCCGGCGGCGCCACCTTCCGGTACTCGGTTCCTTCCCATTACAAGAACTGAAGGAGATTGTTGGATTTTCGGATATTACACATATTTATAACCTAAAGTAAAACTAATCCCTTCCTCCGCGCTAACTTCGGAACGCGTTGGTTAGGTGATTGAGTAATCAAGGTGGCTACTAATATTTACGGACTTTATTATCTTTATTTCACTCTAATTTTAACTAGCGTGGGCCCCGACCAGTTGGTCAGAGAACCGTGAGGAATGAAATTTGATAATGTAATGGGGTGTATATCTTATTATTGTATAGTTTTTTTTCCCGGAAAACACGTGATAAAAACAGTAAATTTTAGTAGAAAAGAAACATAAATGATGCAACGAATCAAAAACCAGCCTTATTAACCAAAATCAAGTACCTATTACCTTGTGAAACAATATTGTTTCTAGTAAAATGATGAGGTGGAGTAAGTTTTATAGAAACTGAATTCCAGAAAATCGAATAAAAAATCGCCTATCCCGCCGGTTTCGGGAAATGAGCATCTCATAATCGTTGCTAGCTTTTACTCGACCCGTTGGCCGATTAATTTGCTTTATAAAACTTTCATCTTGTCGTCATTGTGCTTTCTGATTTTTTCCAAGCCATGATAAAATCTAAAGGAATCAAGAATGAACAACACGATTTGGGATAGGAACGGTCGTTCCTGTATCCCTAGAAAATGGTGGTAAACACGGACTCGCCTGCCAAACTGGTTTGGATTGAGATTTTTATCGGGTATCAGAGAATCATGTGATTATAAATTAGACTTGATCAAAACGGGTCAAAACTTGAAATTCAGCCTGTTTGACCGACCCATGCCAAACTCTGTTTATTCTTTACTTTTAAACTTTCTATTTGAAAATAAAAAATAATGAAAGAAAAGCGATGACTGCAATTCGCCATTTGCACATCACTATTCGGGAATAAAACTATAGAATTTCGAAAGAAAGCTGAAATTTTTTAGGATCGTTTTAATGTTAAAAATAACCAAATAGATCTTTCTGTTTATTTTTTTACTAACAAATACCAAACAATTCACTATAAAATACACTATAATTTAATAATTATGATATCAAATAATTACATAATATATATTTGAAATGATAAAAATTGGACTAATTGGGTTAGTCGAGGTTGAATCGTTGAATAACTTTAAAATACATTATATTTTAGCCACCAATGTAGTCAAAATCGCGCTTTAAAACTTAGAAACTTACGATTTTACGTTTCTAGGTCGCTAAAACGCTTCTACACAAAATCTCAGTTTTTATAACTTATCAGTTAAAAACTCCGATTAGAACTTAAAAACTTACGATTTTACGCTTCTAGATCACCAAAACGTTTCTACGTAGAAACTCGCTTTTGACTACATTGTTAGCCACTAAGATATAAAATAATAGCATAATATATATTATGCTAGAGAAAATAACTTGTTTTAGAATGGCAAACCCATGATGTTCATTTGTTTTACTTGATGGGAAAATCTCGTGTAGGTCAGGCCCATTCATCTTTTTTATTTTATGGTTAGCGGTTAGTCTATTAGAATCCATGCATTAGTTTATTGTTAATTTTTTTTTTCTTTTTAGCAATAAAAAGGAGTATTGTTTTTCCCTTTTCATATATATTTTACCACCACAGAGAAATAAAAGGACTTAAAGAAAAAAATTGACACTCCTAGACCCGTTTAAATCTGCATGTGTACGGTAAGATGACCCGTTCCATAGAGGAAAAAGAAAAAAATTGACACTCCCTATTCTACCCTTCCTACAAACGCTCCTGGAGCAGAGAATTTGAAATGGGGGAAGAGTTTTTTTCCTCTCTGCTATTATATGTTTTTAATTTAAAAAACATACAACAAATGTACTTAGTGTGATTGGTTATGATGTTTGATTTTCTTTAAAGTGGTCATGGTTCGAATCCTAGTATGTGTCATTTTTAATGAATAAAAAAAAGTAATTGTGAAGACCAAAATGTCCTTCCTATTTTTCACTCTGGATGCAGGAAATTTGAAATGAGGCTTCAAGTTTTCTCATTTGGCTTTTATTTATTATGTAGATTTAACCGTGGAAATTAGATTAAAGGTGATATTGAGAATACAAAAAATACCAAACCTGATTTTTATTCTTTGAAAAAATCTGACATCCATAAATTTTAAAAATTTATAATCTCTAAACTAAAATCAGCAATAAAAATAAAAGGGTAAATGACACATTTGGTCACTGAGATTACTAAATCGTGTCATATTTAGTCACTAGAAAAATTTAATATCAATTTTGGTCACTCGAATTACTGACACAGATCACATTTGATCACTCTTCTGTAGCCTCTGTCCAACTCCGGTCACTCGAATTATTGAAAAATGTCACATTTAGTCACTCGTATTACTGAAACATGTCACATTTAGTCACTCTCCCAAAAGTTTCCGTCCAACTACATTAATGGAGTTGGACGGAAACTGACGGGAGAGTGACTAAATTTGACCAGTTTCGATAATTCGAGTGACGAAAATTGATATTAATTTTTTCTAGTGACTAAACATGACACAATTTAATAATCTCAGTGACCAAATGTGTCATTTACTCAAAAATAAAACTTAACTTTCTACAAATTTTATGGATCTATTCCTTTTCTTAAACGACTCTACGGTAATTGGCTGTGTTAATTTTGTTGTTGGGCACGGAATATCATTAGCCCATCACCGTCCATCTCCTTTCACTTTTGTTTCCCAATTTTGTTGCTGGGCTTTGAGAACCCACCTAGAGCTACACGTCTAAGGCCCACCTTAAAGGTGAAAATTACTTTAGTGGGCTTTTTTTTTTTTTTTGGGTCTCCATCACTAATCTTTGGTTAATCCGTTTCAAACAAGTAATCGCTACTACTGGACGGCGACACCTATCCAATGGCATATCTAGGTCGGAGAGAAGTAGCTGAAGATTGAAGAAGAAGAAAAGGAGGAGAAGAGAGTAGACAAAATAATCAAAATTGTGATTTTTTTTTTTCCTGGTCAATGAAAATGCCACGTCACGGCGAACGTGTCAACCCTATTGCGCCGCCGGCGGACTCTTCTCTTCTCTTCCCTTTCTCCTCCCCTCCACTCTTCCTTCCTCCAATCGGACTCTCGTCTAATCTTAATCATATCCGCCATTTCCCACCTCCTTTATCTCCCGTAATTATTTAATTAATTGCTTCTGACCCCACTCTCTCTTCCCTAATCTCAATTCCAAGTATACGTATTCGTATATAGTATACTCGACGTATATTTATCAATTATCATACTCTACCGCCACCGTATACAAAAAAAAAATACAAATCCTTTCTTCTTCTCCCATTAAAAATAGAATTAAATATAAAAAAAATCATCGCCTTTTGTATTGTGGGAGTTGTCTTCTTCTTTTCTCTTGCCTTTCCACTCTCTCTCTCTCTCTCCTTCTCATCCATGGTTTCTCTCTCCGTCTCTTTAAAAAAGCTCTCTATCTTCTTCTTCTCTCTTTCTCCAATGGAATAAGCGGATAACTCCTTTGTATACTTTCCGACTCCAATCTGTCAATAATTTCTTCCTTCTTCCGTTCCCTTTTGTTCCTCTCTTTAATCTGTCTCTCTCCGTCTTCCTCCTCCGATTGATGACAAGGAAGCCTCACTGGAAGACCGATACCAACATCGGAAGGGTCAGGAGGGTAGAGCTCCGACGAGCCAAAGGAGCAGTTACTTGATCGGCGATCCGTTTCAGCCTCTCTCGGATCCCTTTAGTTTTTCTTTTGGTTCAGAGATCTTCTATTATCTCTATTATCTTCTTCATTTTTCGGTCGTCTAAAAAAGAAAGAGAAGCCAAGGATAAGGCTGTCTTCCCTGACTATCACATGGATGTCCTAGTGGGTCCTACCTTCACCATCGACGTTTCGCCTCCTCAGTCGGCGGCAGCGGCAGCCGGTTACTCCCTCTCCCAGGCGGAGACCCAGCGGTTATTTCTGAAGCATAGGGTTGTGGAGGGGGAAGAAGAAGAGGATGGATTAGTGCCTTCGATCTCGATCTCCAACCGCAGTCGATTGGGTCTCTCGATGGCTGGATCTGGGAAATCCCTAGACGATTCATCCGATGGCTCGTCTTCCGTCGGCGCTCCCGACGACAGCGACGAGGAAGAAGATGGAGAGAGCAATAGCAGCAGCGGCGCCTCCTCTTCTATGAAGAAAGGTCTCGGCTCGCTCGGCTCCATGGATGCTCTAGAGGACTCTCTGCCCTCAAAGTGAGTGGTTTTCTGTTTGGATTTGGATTTTCGGATCTGTATATCATGAAATCGTTTTATTTAATTTTGGGATGGTTCTTTCAAATTGCAGGAGGGGGTTGTCGAATTACTTCACCGGGAAATCGAAATCGTTCGCGAGCTTGTCAGATGCGTGTCTGGCGGTGAGCAAAGCGAAAGATCTGGAGAAGCCGGAGCACCCGTTCAACAAGCGGCGGAGAATTCTCATGGCGAACAAGTGGTCGAGGAGATCGTCGTTCTACAGCTGGCATAACCCTAAATCCATGCCGCTGCTCACCTTGAATGAAGACGATGATGAAAGCGGGGACCACAATCGCCGCCGCCAGAACGAAGACGATGAGGACCGCCGTGAAAGCCGGTCGTCATCCTCGTCGGATAAGGATGAGGACGAGGACGAAGAAGACGGGAAGCGAGCGCAGAGGAAGCTCCTGCAGGAGAGGAAATTCAACAACAGCTTCAAGTCCCATAGCTGCTTCTCCCTTACAGATCTGCAGGAGCAGCAACGGCAGCGAGAACTCAATCTGCCTCCCCGGCGTTGAAGATTGGCCTTTTTTTTTGTTTTGCTGAAATTTCATTTTCATTAATTGGTAATTAGTAACTATCCTTTTGAAAATGTGAAGAAAAACAGAAAATGATGATGAGCTCTGCTGGGTATTGTTATTAATAAAAAAAAAAAATCGTTCCTTTGTTTTTTCTTTTTTCCTCAAATTTACTTCGCCAATTTTGTACAGATAAATGCAAAATATGTTTCTGGATAAATATTATCTATGTGTTTGTGTTTTTTTTTTTGTGCTATTGATATTTTTATTTTGGGGGTTGGTAGGGGTTAGAGAGGTAGAAGGGAAATAGGATAGGCCAAGTAGGCTTATCTTTATCCATAATAATTTATTGTCATTATGCAAAAAATTTGTTTTATTTTTATTTTTTCCGCCTTGAAATGGTCAAAGATGCGGATATAGTTTTTTTCTCTCATTCCGGTGATAATTAAGGAAAAGAAATTAGAAAAAAGGGAGAGGATAATTGTGTGCCAGCCAGCCAAAGGACAATTATTAAATGTTAAGACTTAAGACCAACCCGTCTCGCATCTTAGATCTTATCTCTTCATCCTTTCAGTTTATTATATCGAGGAAAGGAAAATATAAAATCGGAAAATGGTCATCTTTCACACACAGACAAAAATTAAAATAAAAAACGTTGTGTCATTATGACGTGGATGTTCACTTGGACACACCGAATGGGCCCATGGCCCACAAACAGTTTCTGTTGGGCTCCAAAAACACAAGGCCCCGTAAGCCCATCCGGCCCATCGGGTGGTATTCTTCCTGAAATCCAATCCAAAACTCGCCAAGGAAGAAAAAATGAAAATCAATGGCGACTCACCTGAGGTTCTTCTCGCCGTGTCGTGTACCAGCAGCTTCCTTCACTCTCCTCTTTCTCCCCTCCTCCGCATCAAAAGTTAGCGCTGCCGATCTCCCTCCTCTTCCCCTCCGCCGCTCGCTCCGATCGAAGTCAATGAGCACCACCGCCACAAATTCGGAGATGGTGGATTCAGATCCGGCGAAGAACGAGAAGCCGGCCGGCGGCGGCGGCGACGAAGAAGTGATAGTCCAGTACGTAGTGCTGCGGCGAGACCTGATCGATGCGTGGCCGATGGGAAGCGTGGTGACTCAGGGATGCCACGCCGCCGTGGCGGCGATCTGGTCTCACAGGGACGACGCGCACACGGTCCGATACTGTGCGCCGGAGAAAATCGATTCTATGCACAAGGTGCGCGCTAGTTATAACAATGGCTGCTGAGTTCTGTTTTATTCTTGGGGATTTCTTAGGGCTTTCGATCTGTAATTGGGATTGATTGCTGTTGTATTAGGTGACGTTGGAGGTGAAAGGGGAAACGCAGATGTTGAACCTGGCGGAGAAGCTGAAAGGTGGAGGGATTGCTCACAAGCTGTGGATTGAACAGCCTGAGAACATTCCCACCTGCATTGCTACAAAGCCTTACCCTAAATCAGAAGTTGCTTCGTTTTTCAAAAAGCTGAAGCTCTGCAAGTGAAAGGGAGGACGGAATCTTCTGTTACACTCGCCGCCCATATTGATGCATTGGCAGATAAGTTTTTTCGGCTGTGGATCGATTCGGACTGCTAGCAGTGTACTTTCTGATCTGCTCTAATACGAATTAGGATCGAGCTCTGGATTCGTTTTGTAGTTTTCTGGTTGAATGGAATACATTGTCTGCTGATTGGCCTCGTTCTTCGATTCAGTTCGATTCTGCACTAATGATAAATCGGACGAACATGACATGAACTCCCTACTAGAGCATAGGCAAATGATATACATTAGCAACAATGGTGACCAGATGAAAGAGGGTCAGTAATAAGAGATTCTCACTCGTCGAACTACAGAGCTGGGCTTAAAACAAGAAAGATCAACAGATGTAAAGGAAAATGTAACTCCATTTCAAGTTTCAAACTTTCAATATGGAAAATGCCGCAAATCTAAGCTCAATGCCGCTACATTCCCAATACAAAGAAAAGCGCTACCCCTCAAACTACATACAAACGAGAAACAGTATCGCAAAGAGACGATCTTCCAGCTTGAAAGAAATATCCAGGTTACCTGAAACACACAATACCCTACAAATTCATGTTCATCGCTCCGAAGAGACACGGAAAAAAGAGACCACTCGCTATAGAGCAAGATGTAACTGATGGGGGAACTAGAGAGGTACCTTACCTGTATAATTTTGATACAAAAAGAGTTGGGATACATCCACATCAACTACCTCCCTTCTGCTTTAGAGTGATTTTATCGCCCAGGCTGAGTGCGATTCCCTGGGTCTTGCTACGTATCCTGATGTACCCGCTGAGTTTCCCATCTCCCTGCTTCTCGAGACTCACATTTACCAATGCGTCCTCACCAAACACACTCTTGGCGTACAAGTTAGCTGCTAGGAATCCACACTCGCCATCTAGTGCAGACCTGAAATGAAAACTTGTGTTAGTTGTATGCTTATGATTGTTGAAAAATCATGCCAAGCCAGAGCAAATACAAGAAACTTACGGTGCAGTGAGGCACTTCATGTTTGTCGAGTTAATGATATGGTCCAGGAATTCCTTCTCATTCTGAATAGTTGTGTTAACAGCAACCTGACAAAGCAGAGAACAGACTGTTAAACAAGCATATCACACTTCGGATGAATTGTTGTTGCAAGAAGCAGAGTCTAACAACTGGACCAGATTTCCCATCTTTACAAAATGAAGCAGAGTCAAACCATGCACATGCTGAAGGCGGGCGAATGAAGTGTTTGAACTGCTAATCATAATAACCTCAATCAAAGAAGGATTCTAGAGGGTTACCTTGTTCTCCCATTCAAACTCTGCCCACATTGTTCTAAATGCTGAATCGGTACAGTAGGCTGGAGAAATGTAATCCATGATATCGATGTGGATATCATTGAGGACGACAACATTTCTTTCGAGCACATTTGAAGTCTCGTAAACAATGTTGCCGAAGATCACTCCAGTCTCAGTTGAGGAGACCTTGATGTTTGCCTTAATTTGTTTGCTTGATTCTGGAGCCAATGCATAATTCTGAGGGCGCTCGACTAGTTTAAGATCACCCATGGTGGCCAACTCCAAGCATAAGTTTTGGAGAGTTTCCTTTGTCCGGTTGATGACAGTGACATCAAGCACAATATCATAGTGATGAACTGTCACATATGCTTCAGCATACACAGGGTCACTAAATCCAGTGAGTTGAAGGATGCGGTTAAGCTTGTTAGCATCATTGCCATCCTTGATAAACTCTCCAGTCGCACGTTTCAAATCATCTTGAACTTCATCTTCCAACTCCAGCTGACTCATGCCCTGAAATTTAAGTCGAAGCCAACAAACAGTTTGTCTGACTTTCAGAAACTAGGTAGAAGAAAATCTATAACAAAACAAGATAAGATGCAAAGACGAAATGGGAAAACAAGCGACAGATCACTCAATTATTGTTGTCAAATAATGAAACCTTAAAAGAGCAGTAGTTGTCCAACTCGCCCTCTGAATCATACTGACCTTGTATATGATGCAAAGACAAATGCAGCAATGGAACCCAACACGAATACATTTAAGCCAATATTACTTTTGAACAACTTAAAATGACACTTCTAAGAAGTTCTTACCTTCCTGCTCTTCAAATGATAGAAGTCAATGAGATCATCTGGTTGCGCATGGGAAACCTGAGCCTTCGCCTTCAATTCCTCAGTCTCTCTCAACTGCTTCTCTGAAAGCATTTTCATAAAACTTTGACGGCAAGACTTCAACCATATTTTCCGGATGTCATCGCCAGTATTGCACAGCAACCTTATGCAGAGAAGCATCCTATCGTACGAATCACTATCAATTGGGTGCGGAAGAACAGAAGATTGCCCCAATTGTAGCATGGAGACCATAATCAACAAAGCCTGCGTAGATGCTTTATTCACCTCCAACTTAGAAGACTGTACCTCTTCCAATCGCAGCACTAGTTTTGTTAGAGTGCATGCGACAACTGCTCCAAGGAAAAAATCGCCAGTGAGAAGAAGCGATCTAAGATTTCCAGTGGACAACGAACCCAGAACAATAGTAGGCAGGGAAAAGGCAGTTTCAGAGGCCGCATTCTGTGTAGCATAGGTCCCATCAGCAAGGATAGCAGGCCTTCTTGAAGAAACAGTGATGGAATTAGCTTGTGGAGGCTTCTTGGAAGCATCAGTAACTTCCCCTTCTTCAGAAACAGAGAAGAAGGGCAATTCACCGAGACACTGCTTGATGGTCGCTAAACCGCTCTCAACTTCAGAAAGGGAAAGGCAATACTCTCCTATGATCCACAGAGCACAAGCACATACCCTAGAAGCTCGGATCTGGTAGAAAGTATCCAAGAGCCGTGTTATTATTGAAACCCTCAGTTTTGGGTTAGTCTCAATTATCTCTCTGACAAAAACAACCACATCAATAGCTGAAGCAACATTGCTATCTCCTAGGAAATCCATCAATAGATGCACCACCGTGCTTGCAACTTCTGGGAACTTAATAGCACAAGAATGGATGGCTTGGATAAGCATCTGCCTGTATTCACCATTCTTCTCAAGCTCTCCACTCTGGGTCTTGACAACTTCCTTCTTCAACATGAGAACAACTTCATTAACATTCCTGGGGGTTATCAAATCAAGGATAATATCAAGGGTCTTACGGCGGATATCAACATTGGGGCTAGACAGCGCCCTAAGCACGTCCATGACCATATCAACCATAATTTCCCTGTGAGAAGATTTGAGCTCACTCAGTCGATCAAGAACAATAAGCTTGACATTGTTGTCACTCTGAGATAGAAGGAGCTGGCCATATGTGTTAGCAGCAGCTTTAATTGCCGTAGGTGCAGATGATAGAGAGACAAGTGTTCCAGCACACTCATAGACCACTGCACTGGATGTGGCATTCAACAAAGATATGATTATCTTTATGTATTTGCCCTTCTCCAATCTATTTGTTCTACAAACTTTACGAATCAACTCCAAAACAACCATCTGAAGTTGCTCAGCCCATTCAGAGATCTTATCAATGTGTTCAAAAAGATACTTAACGGCTCGATCCTGTGCACAACTGAAGAGCATGAGGAATGCATTACGTTTAGCTGATGGATCATGCTCTGATGAAAGAACCTTTTCAATCATTTCAGGAGCATCAACCAAAAGCTGATCGCCCTGGGGAAGCTTATAAATGGACATAACAGTGAAGATTGCATTCCTTCTAATAAATGGATGTCTATGCTCCAAATTCTGCAGCACCGAAGGGATCAACGGCTCTATAATTTCTGTCTCATTGAGGCGGCACAGAAACCTCAAAGTCACCCCACGGATATATTCATTTGGGTGCTGAAGATTGTTCCTCAAATTTTGGCATATCAGGATCATCTCGGGCAGAAGCTTCCCAGAAGCATCTTTTTTATCGATAATCTCCAAGTATAAAAGGAGCAGCTTCTGGATCGTGTGATCCTCAGAAGGCAAAACATATCTGAGGATCGTTATAAAAAGCTGGGGTAGGGTTTCTCCATTCAACAGAAGGCTGATTGCTTTCTTCATGGCATCCACCTTAGCTGTAACATCATTGCCTTCCAAGGCTTCCTTAATCTCATTTGCAATTGCTGGAGTCCCTTTGTCAAAGTGCACAAGCAGAGAACACGATTTCTCCATCTTGCACTTCCTCTCTGGTTAATTACAGAAAACCCATGTTAGCTATCCAAAAGGATAACGTCATACGAAACATTCTCTAAAATCGGGAAAACGGTGTGGATAAACACAGTACAGTGTCGTGTAACAAGTTAATAACAGGAGTTCTGATAGACCAAATACTCACTATCCTCACTGAATAACAATATACTACAATTACCGAGCAACCTCGAGTTATTCCAGTTTAGCTAAACTAGTTAAAATCCTTAAACATTTGAATTAAGCAGAACAAAGGGCTGAACAGAAAGCAGAAATCCACTACTGCTTAATTTTTTTTTGCAAATCTCGGCAGTAGGAATGCGGCCTTCTGAAGCAACATGCTTCTTGTAAACAGATCACGCCTGTGAATTCAAACGATTCAGATCACTACTCTTTCTCCACAAGAATCGCCATCAGAAATCACCCAAGCAACAGCATTCGCCCACAGAATTGCCATTAAGATTAAACGTTTCACCTCGCAAAAAGATTGTCCCCGGGACAAATCCAATTCAAAATCTAAATCCACCACCTCGTATATCAAGCAACCAAGCAAAATGCGCAAAAACAGAAATGCAAACAAAGAAACTAGAGAAAATACAAACAGATCCAGGCAATTGGGGAAGAGGATTAGACGAAACGAACCTTGAAGAGATCAGATCGGAGAAGAAGGCGAAGGAAGCAAAAACCTTAAACTAAGTGTGGCTTCTGAACTGAAGAAATGCAGTCGCCGCCTGCGTTCACTAAAATATGAGGTTTCTCTCAGATCCAAGATCTCATGGGCGAGCGGAGGATTGGAATAGGAGGGAAGAAGACGACTGTAAAATAAAAATACTAATGCGCTGAATAGTAGGGGAAAATGTGCGAAGCGGACTACTACACTACCAGATGGTTTGATTTTGGGCTAAGGACCCAATCTGTCAGTTTCGCCCTCGGCCCACCCAACCAATTGAGCCCGGTCTAATTTGCAGTTATATTTTTTCGGTTCAATGCCGGGTTCGACCGCACACAAAAAAAGCTTAAAAAATAAATTAAAGGCAAAATATAAAGCCTGAGTGAACTTTCTACCTTCAGTTAATCCAGAGAGGGGAACTGTAGAAGAACTCATTCCCGTTCGCCACTGCTCGCAGCCGCCGTTTCCCGTCATCAGCCGGTCTCGCTCGTCCGTCGGCAGGTTTGCCTTTTCGCCTTTTCAGAGAGCGTTTGATATTCCTCAAGCTATTTGAACGAACATCGCTTCTCTTCTCAAGCGAAGTATCTATCTCTGATCTAGTGCAACACTCACCGATAGCGAACCTAATGCCCTGAATTCTCTGCTGTAGTTTACTGGTTTCCTCGCCTCTCGTCTTTTGCTGAAAAATGGCGACCATAGACGAGAGTCCCTCTGCTAAACGGTGGCTTCCTCTAGAAGCTAATCCTGATGTTATGAACCAGGTACCGTTCACCACCTCTTCGCGTTATCTCCTGATGCCTTGCTTGACTATATGCTGCTTTCAGTTTTGGAGCTTCCCGACGCAATGATTTGATGAGAAGTAGCATGCCTTAGCTTTTACTTAACCTTGAATTGGATCGTGTTGATCGAGTTAATCTGGCTAATCGATGATGGAGTATTAGTAAATTCTTCGGTCGGTCTTGAAACCATAATTCTGCTTACAAGAAGCAAGTGCTGTAGTCTAATTGCATGCAAGAAGTGGTTACTGTGCGTGTGCTTTTCCTAGAAGGAATAGCGTTGCCTGTGTTTATGTAAGACTTGAAGAAACTTAAAACTGTTTGTTGTTCTGTTTGTTTCAGTTCCTCTGGGGGTTAGGCCTTCCGGAGAACGAGGCGGAGTGTGTCGATGTTTATGGCTTGGACGAGGAACTCTTGGCTATGGTTCCACAGCCTGTGCTTGCAGTTATCTTCCTCTATCCGCTAACTCCACAGGTGTGTCTGACAAGCATCCTTCTCGGATCTGGGGCCAATTCTTAGTGACTTCCCTGCTAATTTTATTACAATATATGAGTTTATGTTGGTATCCAAATTTGGATACGCGAGTTGTGTGAGGGTAGAACCACATGTTCTGCTGATGGTGATGAGAATGTACTTATATGCTGATGTTGGAGAGCCTTGTTTCTTTATTTTGTTTTCCAGAGTGAACAAGAGCGACTGCAGCAGGAAGGTGTTGTGAAGGTAACTTCACTTCATACTGTTTTCTAAAAAATATTGAAGACTTGGCCATAAAACCTTCACTGTTTCAATTGTGTGTGTGTTAATCCGCATTCTTAGTTTTCATCAGTTTGAAGTGATGGTATGACATTATTTGTCACAACTTTGAATAATTACACTACCATCCACATGTGATGTAGAAATTATCCTTTTTATGGCTTCTTCTGTACAGAGGCTAGTTGCCCGTGTCCATTTGTATTTATGTTCTACAATTGGTGAAATCGATCTATCTTATGTTATAAGCATATGATAATATTAGTTTTTGGGTGAGTGCGATTGAATCCACACATCTCGTACTTGAGAGGTAAAAGTTATCTGCCATAATGAACAATGCACACCTTGCAATTTTCTTCCAATTTTCTTGTCTGCATACCATTCACCAAGTTCTGTCTGGTATTGGCGGTGAATGCCGTTAAATACTTAAATGACTGAATTTATCTCAAAATTAAGTTCTAGATTTGAATGTTCTTGACAGCTAGGAATACGGTAGCCAACTCTTGAGCTAGTTATAACTTGTCAAACTATTATTATGTGCACCATTTGTTGGGTTGCTTGAGACCCAAATTATCTGAAATGCATGCGGGGACTGGACACTGTACTTTGAATAATCAAACCCAAATGAAGCTGAACAAATAATTAATATTTGGCATTTTGATTGTACAATAGTTTTCTTCCTCTATTTTCAACGTCAATGGCTCTAACCTTACCCAAAAGTTGTTGTAATCTACCACAAAAAATGACTTCTACTCTCGGACTTTCTAAAATCATCATCACCTAATCCAAAGGATATTTTTACATTCATCTCATTTATGCTATCTTATTTTCATATTCCTATACTATTATAGTACATGAATTTTTATAAGTTTTAAGCTCTAGACCAGTGTTTATATTCTTGAATCTGTTTTTAATAGCCAATGACAACCATGAATGATGAATTACAGTGACTACCAAAGTAACAATTGAATGAACCTGAGGTCATTCTTTTCATGGTATGCACTGGCAAGGGTTACATCATTCTCTTGACCCGTTGAAAGTTTCTTATATCAAGCTAAGCTCTAAATAATTTTTTCCATATCTTTTGATAGGAACCTAAGGAAAGCGTTTACTTCATGAAACAAACTGTTGGCAATGCCTGTGGAACAATAGGGCTTCTTCATGCCGTTGGGAACATAAAGTCAAAGCTCAATTTGTGTAAGTTGGTCTATCTTTTCCTATGAATTGACATTTACTTCACTCCAACAATAGTATGGCATCTGTGCTCAAGTGCTCAATTCTACACCATAACATGGAGTTCTATGCATTCTGATCTGCGTTCTTTCTTTGAGAAGGGCCAAGCAATGGTAAAAGTTCTTGTTTTCTGAGGTGGTAGTAGTGAGTGCAATACTAGCAGTTGGTTCAGTTTCTACTAGATGAGTAGTTTATCCTTACCACGATCCTTTTACCAGGTGAAAGAATTCATTCTACCATGGGGTTCTTGAAGCTGCATATTACAGGACATTAAAGAATGCTAGTCCTTGAGAGTTATACAAGCAAACTCAACGTAGATATTAGTCTTTGATATTGTCATCTAGGTTATACAAGCAAAATCATCATCAGTTTACCTACAATCAAAGCATAAATAACATGCTTCTGAACTAAAAAAGAAGGCATAAAAACTATACCATTATGGCATAAACATGAGCTAAAAACCACTTGGCATCATTCACAAGATCACCTTGTTGTTTTACTGTTCAACACAGCCACTTTCTAAAATCATTCATCCTTATATAAATCAAGTTCTGCTGACTTTCAGCATTTGAACTTTCTTTTCAGCTGAGGGGTCATTCTTAGACAAATTCTTCAAATCAACAGCCAGCATGGATCCATTAGAGGTTTTCACTTTTCCTCGCTTTGCTTTGTTTACCAGTTTCCAGAATTGTTCATTCTCTCTCCTGAAACAAGAATATATAAGTTGTTTATAATGTTAGATGTGTACAAAGGCTTCTCTGCATTGACTGTAGATTTTTTATTTATCTTTCTTTGTTTTATTCTCTGTAGCGTGCTAAGTTCCTGGAGAACGATCGGGAAATGGAAACTGCTCATTCTGTAGCTGCTACAGGTGGTGAAACTGAGGTAGGACTTGATGTTTCCATTATGTTGATGTAGCATTGGTGTGATGTTAATTTCCGGCTATATTCATCCATGGAGGGAATCCCTTGGCCGAAGAGAGGATATGTCACTGACAGCTGTTGACAATATAAATTTAGCCAAGTCAAATTTGAAGAGAAAAAGAATGTGAAGCAAACATCACGTTTGAAGTGATTATCATCTTACCTTCCTACTTTGCTTTGTGCAGGCAACAGACAATGTGAACACTCATTTTATCTGCTTTGCCTGTGTGGATGGTAATGAACACTACTAGCCCTGTTTTTTCAATTCTTAGATGTGGAACACAGAACAACCATAGTGGACACTAGCATCAGATGACAAAGCCTATGCGGCTTTGATGCTTTCATACTTTCATATCAGCAGACTTAAATCGCCAGTTGTGTTATACAGGAGAACTCTATGAGCTTGACGGCAGAAAAGCAGGACCTGTACTACATGGCTCATCTTCACCGGAGAGCTTACTGCAGGTTTGTCATTGTGTTAATCTTTCCCAAATCTTCCTTTTCATGTAGCTGCCACCAGAACAAGAGTGATCGAGTCTTTTGGTTAAACGGGTATCAACTGTAGAGAGCTGGTCATTACTCATTAGTAAGGATTATAGAGAAACTTGAAAGACTGGATTGTGAAATGATCAGTTCAGTGAGTGCCTTGGATTGTTTTCTGCTCAGGTGTATGCTGCATCCTTTCAATCTCGTGGTGTTGATTTGAATCATTAGCACCTAGAGAATAATTATTGAATGGAAATACGCACATTCAGCCTGCATACACTAGTACGGTGCACTTTTATCACCGTGATTCCTAATAACGCTGCCCATCCATTTTGCAAATGTTACAGGATTCCGCTAAAGTCATCAAGGGAATGATCCAGAAGAATCCCGAGTCGCTCAACTTCAACGTGATCGCCGTCTCAAAGAAAGAAGGTGCTGCTTGATCTCTCGACTGTGTGAATCCATAGGATGTCTGACAGAGAAGAATGTGATTCGCGCACATAGTCCGCTGTCTTTCCCTACTTAAACCTCGAGCATTTGCTTCTCCTTTCTCTGTGCTATATGGAAAGAGGGACTTAGCTAGGTTGGGTACACAGTTTGACACCGCGTAGGAGCTTCAGTTTTTTTTACCTAATAAACCCAGTACTTTATGACGTGGCTCTGTTTTTCAATCCCTATGATTCATGATGCTTGCCTGATCGGGTCATCGACGATTCGTTGATCCCGGTTTGGGTAGCGTAGAATCGAACGTAATTCGATCTTACATAGAGTGTAGAACGAAAACGAATACGAGAGGAGAGGAGCAAGAAACTAAAAGAAACATGGCAAACGAAATAAGTCGTGTATATACATAGAGAACGGAACAGTGTTTTAGAGTGGTCATTGAACGACCAGGCGCCTGGTGCACAGAGAGCAGAAGTACTTGCGCTTGGTCTTGAAGTAGAGCGGCAGGAAACAGAAACGCCACTGGCTCTGGACGTCGGCGGCCTGCACCATCCCTCCGCAGTAAGGGCACGCCCCAGGCGCCGGCTGCCTCGATATCACCCTCTCGTCCTCGTCGCACACGAACACCAAACACATCTCGAGCTAGCTGATTCCCACCACACCAACGAAAAGGATTTAGGACCTGATAAGCTTCAGCACAACCCCTCGCTGCAACGAGAAAATTGCCGGCTTGAATAGTTTCTCTGGCTTCCCGGCGATGGATCGGCTTATTTGAAGATCAGACGATGGTTTGAAACGTCTCTTTTCCTGCTCTGTCGGCCAGGCTGCTGACGGATGGTTTGCTTGGATTTATATAGAGTAGTGGAGGCGGCGGCCGCGTTTGGAGCTTCTGGAAATGTGTAGTAGCTTAGCCCAGAAGAAAAGAAAGGAAGGAATGACAATTCTGCGTTGCATCCCCGCGACGCGTCGTGGAGGGGAACATTCTCGACTGAATGACCGACCGGCCGGCCGGCGGCCTTGCTCTAATCTCGTCTTGTTCAAACGAGTCTGGTCGTAATTGTGACGTTTGTTGAATGTGGAAATTTTGGAATCTGGGAATCCCAATTCGTCAAAAGCTTCAATTTTTTTCCTACGTTACCTTTTTTCCCAATTTTTTCTACGATTCTAAATCCTTCTTGGACTCAACCGCCAAGGAGTGGCCAAGGTTTCCAATTCTACTATTTTTTTTTTTTTTTGTGGTCAAAAGTTTCCAATTCTACTACTTCATCACGATGAACTCATTTGAGTGGTGTGAACTGTGATGTGATGAGACTACCAAAATAATTGATCCTTGCATCAAATCAATTGGTATTCCAAAGAATAAAGTTGAAATTATGTCAGATTTTTTTTTCCCTTCATTTTTTTCTTTACATGAAATATTTGCAAGGTTGTCAAACGGGTTTATACGGTTACACGGTTCAGCAAGTGGTATAGTTCGACCTGTGGTACAATTGGTTTATGTAGGCGCATGCCGGTTTGATAAAATATGTAAAGATCTGAAAAATCATTAACATGAAATGAATTTAAACACATATAAAACATATTTGAATATAATTTACTTACAATTAATATTCATCTTTAAATAAAATACATCATTCCAAATAAAGTAACAAATGCTCATATTTAAATACAACATCTAACGCGTTTACACTCAAACTTTTATACTTGAATCCAACAAATAACATCAATATTTAACTTTTAAATTCAAGAAATCAATCACAAATTAATTTTTTACTAACCAAATTCACTTTTATAAGCCGAAAAATCTATCATATCGACAATATTCACACCAATTTCATAACCAGAACTGATTGGACCAAATTCAACCTACTGACACTCCTTGTCAACCGGGGAAATTTGTCAGAAAGTACTGGAGACTCAACGAGTTCATAGCTTATGTTTATATTCATTGTTACATGATATTAAATGAATTTGAACCAAGAAAGTTTGACAGGCTGCAATTTCTGTGCTGGCTGTTATCGATTTAGAAAACTAAACAAAAAATGTGGAACCTAAGCAATATATGATAAACCAGAATGGATGAACAATTGAACATACATACCTTCAATATTTAACTGCTATCACATTCAGTACTCGAATGTGATAACAAAGGTTCGTCAGAACCTTCACTCTCTGCTGGCCTATGCACATGAAACACAGGGAACGGTCTCTTCTCAGGAAGACATGGAAATGGCAGCTCAAATTTCAGAACCTGAATCGCCTGCCGGATCGACGCCCTCTGGCAGGAATCAGGATGAGCACACCACAACCCCACAACGATCAAGCATTCGACTTCCCTCTCGTCGAAATCCACCAGCCTCTTGTCAATGGCGACACTGTGATTCCCATTCCCATACAGTTCCCAAACCCATTCCACCAAGCTCATTTCCAATCCATCCTCAATGTAATCAACAACCCTCCTTCCAGTAGCAATCTCCAGACAAACCACCCCGAAGCTATACACATCCGATTCCTTGCTAGCCCTTCCGGTGCTGATGTACTCAGGCGACATGTACCCAATGGTTCCAGCCAACTTGGTGGTTCGAGGGCGTAGCTCGTGATCGATCAATCGAGCCAGCCCGAAATCCCCAAGCTTGACGTTGAATCCCGAATCCAGCATGACATTAGCTGCTTTGATGTCGCGATGGACCACACATTGCTCCCATTCCTCATGAAGGTAGAGCAAGGAGGAAGCCAGCCCCATAGCTATGCTGTATCTTTGAGGCCACAGGAGAGGAGTATTCTCACCAAAGAGGTGAGAATCAAGGCTACCCTTTGGCATGAACTGATAAACAAGCAAGAGCTCGCCCTTTTCGTGGCACCAACCGATCAGTGGAACAATATTTCGATGCCTCAGACGGCTAATGATCATGACTTCAGTCGTGTACTCCTTGATCCCTTGTTTGGAATCCCTGGATATCCTCTTGACAGCAACTGCCGTATCTGAATAATCTCTAAGACACCCTCTATAAACAGCTCCAGACCCACCTTCCCCCAGTTTCCTATCCGGCGAAAAATTGTTGGTAGCTGATACAAGATCAGTGTGAGTGAACTTCCTGGGACCTGAACATCTCGAGAATTCATCAGTCATGGACAATGAATTCATCCCCTTGTGAGCTCTTCCCCTCTTTCTACGCACCTGCAGAAAGACAAATGCAGCCAATTTGGCAGCTATGGCAATGCCTGCCAGAACTAGAACAATGCCTATCAATTTCCTGTTCACGGAATTTCTTTCCCGATCTGTATTCTTCATCTGCAGATCGGAATAGAAATCCCACGATAGAAGCTCCTGCTCACCTGAATAATCATTGTTGGTCGCCGAAAACCCTATCCTCACCCACTCCGGAAGAACCTCCCTGAGATCAATTACATACCAAAGACTCGAATTCGAACCATTCTCACACTCCCACACCACAGTGAGATTGTGGGTACTGGCAGTATAGTTGATATCAACCATGACCGTACCGCCAGGCGGCGAACTGGAATTCCAAGGGGCGACCACCATGGAAGCAAGCGAATTGTTGTTGATTCCGACGTGACGGAACGGGGGATCCCAACCATTCAGGAAGCAATCAAATTCTACATGAACCAGCTGTTTCCCAGCCGGGGGATGAACCCTGTCGGTGTAGTTGTAGAGACCCATGTACCCGCCGGCGGAATTTTCAGGTGGCTGGAACCCTAGGGGTGCGAGGAAGAAGGCGATTCCCGATGGGTAGGCGCTCTCGGCGTCGATGGAGAATGAGAAGCGGGTGTTGAAATCGGAGAGTTCCCCGGTGGCGGAGCTCCAGAGGGGGACGTCTTCGGCGTAGGTGACGTGGCTGTCTTCGATCCCGTAGTGGGCACTGGTCAATTTGACGGTGCCGGAGCTTGCTCTGGCTCCTCCGCAGTAGAGAATGGAGGCGTCGTTTGGGTCGAAATTTTTTTTCTGGAAAGTGATTGCAGCTGCAGGGGGGAGCAAGAGGCAGAGATGGAGTAGAAAGAAGAGTGAAGTGTGTGGAGGAGTTGCTGCTAATGCCATGGAGTTTCAGAGGGTTAATGGCGGAGTCCGGTAGCGACTCCGGCGTGCCAATAAACTTTCCGTTGTCTTATCTATAAGACTGTAACTGGCTACCATGCGAAAAGAAACGGGTTGACTTTGACTTTGTCGCCTGTAGGCTTATTCTCTTTTTAATTTAGGGGTGGGCATTTCATCGAAATCGAACCGAACCGGATTAAAAACCGAGTCAGAAAGAGTTGAACTGTTGATTGATTGTGAACTGAATAGCATTTCGATTCTATCTGATCGAACCGATTTTCATACAATTTTAGTATGGATTTGATGGCACAACCGAAACATAAAATCTCTTTCTTTTGTTGGATAGTCATCGTCTCTTTGTGTCTTATTTCTCTCTCTTTAAGATATTTTTACCTTTTAATTGAAAAAAAACTAATCAATAAAACTCAATATGATTTGCTAATAGAGAGATCTAGGACATTGGTCTAACTAGTTCGAAATATGACAGAAAGGAGACAAAGATACGAGAGAAAAGAGCTATAGTAGGAGGCAAGAAAAGTCTAAAGAGAGATAGTTGGATGCAAGGTGGAGACTGTTCGATCATTCACGTTGATGACAAATGATTAATGTTAGGCGAGAATTGTAAGAACGGAGTTAAAGAGTAAAAGAGTGGAGGAGAATCATGATCCTAGATGAGGAGGTGATTTGTGTGGGTTAGGTTATTGGGTGGGGGTTTTTGAGGATCGTCTGAAACCTTATATGGTCAAACCGGCCAATTTCTTTGAAATTGACCAATTTTGAGCCAATTGTTGGCCGGATTTTTTCGCCTGTTTAGAACTTCGGATTCGGGCCAAAATGGGTTGACCAACCGGTCAGTCCGCGAGCAGACAACCATGCAAGCAACTATCAGTCAATCATTGTCCATTAATTTATTCCACTCTGTTTCTTCATTAGTATCGAGATTAATGGAATTTCACATCTGTCGTTTTCTGTTGACTCGCCTGGAAACACTGGGTCAACGAGGGAATAAGTAAGTGGTTGCCGTTATACAACCAGCCGGCCGCCAGCTGCCGTGAACGGAGGAAGGCACGGCGGAGAGACCAAGCGTCTAGTTAGCAGTGAGAACCCCGTTAATTATTAATCAACATTTCCTAATTGCATTATTATTCAACAATGGTGGTCAGTTGTTGCTTAACTCCAAACACTAATCCCCCCCAACCCCAACCAATCATCCATCAGCTCTCTCTTTCTCTCTCGTTAATCCCGAGCCTTAATTATAAATTTATAACTTACCTTGCTAGCTAAGTTTCTCCCTCCCTCTATATACCAAAACAGAGGATTCACAATTATGATCATCTCATTTGATCATGGAGCCGAGACGAAGAATCAGCGGCGGCGGGTGGTCGGTGGTTGGACGGCTGAGGAAGGCGGTGAAGAAGATCAACTTCATCTTATTCAGCATCGGGATAATCAGGCGATGGGAGCTGATAAGTTCAATTCATCAACGACGGAGGAGGCGGCGGCAGCAGCAGCAGCAGCGCAGGTTTTTGAGCTTCAACGAGAGGCTGGTTGGGCTCCAAGGCTACACGGAGCTAACGGAGGATCATGATCACGACCATCACAGGTCCAGTGTTAATAACGGAGGTGGAGTCCTGGATCGAACTTGCAGCTTGGATCAGGACGATATCGACAAGAGATCGGAGCGATTCATCGCGAATTTCCGGCGGGACTTGTTGCTGCAGAGGCAGGTCTCTCTGGAGTTGGGTTACTGCAAACTCAATTAGTTTCGGATGATTGAATTTAATCGCTCCAATTTCTCTTCGTAGCGTAACACGAGACATGTTTATTAATGTTACGAAAATGGTATAAGATCCGATCTTTGTATTTGATATACAACGATTCAATTAGAGCGATCGATAAAAACATACATAAGAGGAGAGGAGATTAAAAAATGATTAGGTCGACTTTGAAGGAGAGGTAGAAGAAGTGCCGGCAGATTCGTAGTCGATAACAGTCTGGAAAGCACCCACCAATGCCTTCACCTTGTTCCTCCTCTTCTCCATCAGCTTGTTCTTCGTCTCCTCGATTACGTCGTTGTAAGCCGGAGGCGACTCTTTCTTCCCCTTGCTCGAATCTCCTGCCTCTTGTTCCTTCCTCACGTCTTCCACAACAACAACTGCTTCTTCTTCTTGTACCTCGTCCTGCTTCTCCTTCTCCTGCTCCTCGCGATCGCGATCTACGTGCACTTCTTGATCGTCTGAATCGCCATCTCCTTCTTGGACCCCATCCACCATTGTTTTCCCTTCTTCGAGTTTGACATGATGATCTTCATCCCTCTCTCCACCATTGTTCTCAAGCACCTCTTTATCCTCCTCCTCCTCATCTTCCAAATCTTCTTGTTTTCCCGCAACTACACTGTCATTCGAACACAAGACCTTCTGATCATCCTCTTCACTTTCTCCCTTTGGACCATTATCAACATTGTCAATACTGTCAATACTACCTTGATCAAGATCACCACTATCATCACGATCTTCAACAATAGCAACAACGTCGTTAACACTAGTAACGTTTTTGTCAAAGGGTGTGGGAGATAAGGAAACATCGGGGCTCCCAGCAGACTCGATCTCCAAATTGTCGAGGTTAACGCTCTGATCGTCTTCGCTGATCAGGTACTCGTGATCGCTCACCTGCTGGATCTCGTTATCCAAACTCTCGTTCACATCCTCGTTGTTCTGATTGCTATCGTTCTTACCAGAAGAACCAGATATTTTCCCTCTCGTCGCCGCCTTACCACCTCTGCCAATAGTTCTACCATTACCCCTACTAGTAGTACTCCCACCACCTCTCGTACTTTTCCCGACGCCACCGCGACTCGCGGTGGCGGTGGTGTCGGTACTAACCGCCGCCGCTCTCCTCCTGGCAGGGCTGGCGCTTCTTTTCTTGGCGTTCGCCGCCACGAGAGCGGCGATCGATCTGCTCCCGGCCGTGGGCCGGATAGAGGTGGCGCTTCTCTCGAAGGTGGGCCTCGAGGAGGAGGCGGCGGCGGCGGCGGTGGTTTTAGGGGTGAAAGAGGATGTCCGGAGCGGGGCGCGCGCGGCGGAGCGGGCGGCGGCGGGATCGGGAGAAATTAGGGATCTCTGTGTTCGGGAAGCGGCGGCGGAGGAAGGAATGGGCCTGCTGTCGAACGATCTCCTTCGGAGTACTGCTGCCGAGGCCTTCTGGTCTGTGAGTTTGGATTGGGAGTCGGGCCTGGAGCTCGTCGTGGGCTTCAGGCCTGCTGTGAGTTTGGATTGGGGGTCGGGCCTGGAGCTCGCCGTGGGCTTCAGGTAGCTGGGGACGGGTCGCGCGGAGGAGGTCGGCGGCGATGCGGAGGCGGAGTTGCGGCCGGGTTGCCGGTGGGAGGTGGCCGTCGTCCGCGTTGTGGCGGTGGTGGTTGTGACCTTCTTGTTCCCGCCATCCTTCTTCCCGGCGCTCTCCTTGGACTTCGTCGCCATCAATTACCCGATATATATATGTGTAAATTAATTTTTTCTTGCGGGTGATGATGAAGAGAAGGAGAAGGAGAGAAGACGGAAGGAGCCTGCAACCAGAAAAAAAAGGAAACAGGTAGGATAAAACGGATCAGATTACAGTCAGGCGTAAATTAAACTTAATTTTGTTTCGATCATTCGTATATGGCGATTTCTTCTGACGAGACATTGTGGTGATTGAGCAGTGGAAGGAATTTGAAGAGCAACCCAATGTGAAGAAATGTAAGAGAAAGCAGAAAGGTGGTACCTTTGGCGAAGATGGGATCGGAACGGAAGAATTGATGGAGAAATTGAGAGGAGAAAAAATTGAAGAAGAAGAAGAAGAAGAAGGAGAGAATAGGAAATTGAGGGCGCGGGAGTTGCGGGGGTAAATTTTGGTAAGTAGTAAAAAGGATTTGGGGTTAAAAAGTTAAAACAAATCAACGGTAAATAAATCAAGGGAAAGGACAGAATTTGGCACCATTGTCACCAAAAACAAAATGAATTTGGCACCATTGCTATTTGCTAAGAAGGTTAATGGAGGCCAATTGGCAAGAGACAAAAAAGAATAGTTAATTAGTTATTTTGTTTTGTAGGTTTGTACGCCAAGAATGAGAATTTGGTGAAATTTAGCAAAGGGACGGATTAGGAAAGGGAAAATGTTAGACATTTTCATACACACAAAAAATGTCATAAACTGAACTTTTTTCTTTCAAGTTTCGACCTTTCAATTTCTATATTTATTGGCTTGATAGAGAAGCTATCGAATCAATACAAGAATTGGATGGATAGATTACCTATTTGTTTCATGTATAATATCAAGCCTAATTATTAACATGTATCTTCCATATGCAAATATTATGGGTAGTATGAATATGATACTAGGCTTTCGAGCTAAGGCTTTGACTAGCAGGCCTCGAGGCCAAGGTACCAAACAAGTATCTGAAAGACCATCAAACCGTTGTGTTTAGCTTCATGCTAAATAGGACTATGCCTCTGTGCCAGTGCCATGATCTAGAGTCTAGACTACGCGAGATACCAGGTAATTTTAGAACAATGTGCGAGGACCTATTACTAAATTTGAAGTCATCGCTTTCTAATCTAATTTTGCTTGATTGAACAATCTCTCTCTTTTCTACAAATTTAATATCATCAAAATAAATTCTATGTGCTAATCAATAATTTGTAGAGTAAGATGAGAAACCTAAGTGCACTAAAAACATGGGGGTATCGATCAAAACCTTAATCACTGTCTGATTTGAAACGACCTAAAACGTAGCCATCCATCCTATTCTCCATTCCTCTTGCTAATCGGAAAGAATGGAGAAGAAATGTCAGGCTGTCACTTCCTAATTCTAATTTGGGCCCACGGCCCACCTTTGCCTTATGTCTCATTCGGGTATTTGGATTAGGCTGGCTTAACTATTTGAGGCTTCGACCATACGACACGTCCTAACACTTAAAACGGATAGGATCCTTTTGTCTGTTTTTTACTTATTTTCAATCACTTTTCTCCTTCTTTCTTTTTTATTGGCATTGATAGGGTAAATAATTAAAAACTAAAAATTAAAATTATCATAAATAATTTTTAACCAACATTTTAATAAAAATGTTTTCATTCTTCAAACAAACTAAATTTGTATTTTTTATTTATTTGCAGGATACCTACCCACCACAACAAAATAACTAGTAGTTGTCGTGAGTGATAGCCTGATAGGTCTTATAAAATAATAATGAATTGTTATAAATTGTACAATATTTTCATGAGCCAATATCAAATTCTGTGATTACACAATTAAAGGAGCAGTCGATCAACCAAAGCGTATATGCAATTTGCTCTCGTACTCCTTTTATCAATCCAAATACAAAAGAAATTTTGTCCAGGAGTTCCACCGTCGATCTTCAAGTTAGAGATGTTAAATTTGAATCATTTAAGTAGAGCATGTAACCATGAAAATTAAAATTGATATCACTTCATTAAAAAAAAATACAAAGAAATTTGGCGTATGCAATCCTTATTATCACTAAATTGTTCTCTTTTAAGAATCATGATGTTATTGAACTAAAACTAATAAATTGTTTATTCCTGGCTAATTGGGTTAAACCAATTGAATGAATCCCTTGGTCTTAAATTGTGGATTCTAAGTACAGACAAGGGCCCCCATGCCATCTCCTTAATTATATGTTATGGCCCTTTATTAAGAAACTTTTTTTTTTAGATATATAAACAAATTAATGCATCCCCCCAAACACAAGAACTAGTGGGATTAGGACAACCTGTATCATGGTCCCTTGTTTTGTTCCTTAAACAACAATTTAATAGTGTCCACATACTTAAATGTATTAGCTTTTGGATTAGTCAATCGAAGGGTGGATTGTTGCATTTAATTAAAAGCCGAGCTCGATTGTGCTTATCTAATTTTCTAGTTATATATGATTTGGCTTCGAGCTAATTAATTTATGAATTTGTATAATCGAACAAATAAGAAGAGGCCAAATGGTGGGATCAACGACACCACAAAGTGGTGGTGTTGTTGGCAAAACGGCACTTTCTTTTCCTCTTGTTTTAACACTATTTGTTACTTTGTTGGTGCCTTTTAATTTGCCGGTTTTGATTAGAGTAGTGGTTTTTGTCGTGTCCTTTCTGATAATAAGTGTATGTAAACCCCCACGAGCAACTCGCCTGCTTTGTTATCATTGTCCAAGTGTAAAGTCATTAAGGAGTCCCTTCCCATCAATTAATTAATTACATTTTTAATTAGTTCATCATAAAAGTCTGTTGCTTTTGCCGTTAGTTATGATAGCTAGCTTCCTTCATTAGCTTTTCTGCAGTTTACTGTCTTGCCCTTAGTGATTGCAATGGACCGGGGTGGGTATCTCAATAGTCATACTCGTTACGCATTAAGCGCGGGTCAGATCAGGTAATACTCGTGCGGATACGAGGTAGGTGGGTAAACCTATTCTTATATATTATTTGGGGGGAAAAAGAATGTCGATATTTAATTATTTTAGACAAAACACTTCATATATGAACGAAAAATATAGTAGAAAGAACAATTGAGTCTGAATGGTTGGAAAATGCAGCCTTAAAATATCTTTTGGATGAAAACATGATTTTAAAAAGGTAAAAAAAAGAAGAGAAATACATATAGATATTGATGCAAATCATGATAGAATGGGTCGAGAACTGGGCTGGGAAGGTCGGAAGCAAGTCTCATACCTCACTTCATGTTATTGTGTGCCGAGAAATACACGGCCAAACAGGTTGATGCAGGCCGGGTCACGCGGGGGTTAGGTAACAAATTGCCATCACTAATTGCCTTGCTGTCATTCTTCATATTATATTTAGATGCAAACTCGTTAATGTTCTCTCCACCATACGTTCATCTTAAAAACGCGACAACAACGAACTAGCTGGTGACGAAGACAGAGTTGAAGCACAACTCTGACTACATTCGAACTCCGACAAAACGTGAATTTTCAATTCGTGGGTCCATCGTGGTATACCACTACAAAAAAACGTCTATCGGTTTGGATTCCGCTAAATGTTTTTTTTTTCCAGCCAAACAATCGATACAGACACGATTTCACAAACACTGATTGAAGGAGGAGCCCAAATCACCATCATAGCCTAGTTGGCTTAACCTAACCACTAAACTGAACCGTAGCTAGGCTGCATGAGGTTGGGTGGTGGAGTTGTTTGGTTGCGTGGAGTGCTTGTCCAAGCCAAGTGATCGGCGGGTGAAAGGTTCCATTGTAGGCAGGCTGGTTCGGTTCATTTTTCCTTTTTCCAGCTTTTTCCCCTCTCCACAAAAAGATGGAAAAAAATTATTTCCTTTTTCTTCAGAAAAAGAGTTTATAAAAAATGACGTAACCATCGATCACCGGCCGTCCATCCTTGACTCCACTCATCCGACGGTCCACAGACCGCTTCGCTCATCCCAGCTTCGGCTTTTCCCACCCAGTTTTATTTGTTTGTTTCTCTCCCATTTTCATTTTCTAGTATTTGGGACGGCACTCTTTCTCTCTCCCCTTCATTTTCTCTCTCTATATCCTGCTTCTTCGTCTTGTCAGAGAAGCGAAGAAGAAGGACCCTGTAAAAAGCCAGGCCGCCAGTCTTTGAATCAACGAAGAACCAGAAGAGAGGGAGAGAGAACTGATTCTTCCTTCTCTTTTCCTTTTTCTTCTGATATCTCCTTTTTTCTCGTTCAATCCGTTTACTGGACGACGGAGGCGCCTTTCCCGCCGCCGCCGTGAGGTACTATTGCTGATATACTAACTCCTGCGATCTTTTCCGTTTTGGTTTTCCGCTCTCCGCCGGAGGTAAGGTTTCTCCGGGGATTTCATGGAAATTGTGAACACGGAGACTGGTAGGGGAGAATCGGTATTGGATTTTGGGCGTTTCTGGAAGATATGGCGGGGGAGAGCTCCTGGACGTTTTCTTTTTGCGTTCGCTTTTAATTATTGTTTTCTTGTGGCCGCTCCCAATTGATTGTAATTGGACCTGAAATGGCGGAGGAAACAGGTGGTATTTTTAGCGTGTGGAGAACAATTGAATGCGAAATTCGCAAAGTAGAATTGATTTCTTTCCCCCCCTTAAATTGCGAAAGAGGAAACGCTTTGCGTCCTTTGTTTTTTTTTTTTGGGTGTAAGGCAAAGTTTTCCCTTCGTTTCATTCGCTGCATGTTCATTCTTCTCCTTTCGTTTCCCGCTCCTTGCATGATCAACCGCGATGCGATTGTTGTTCAGAACCCAGGTCCTTAAAATCAGTCCCACTTTGTGAATTGAATATGGTTGTCTTTTGATGATGATGATGATGATCCTTTCCCTTTTAGTGGGGGTTTCTTCTGTTTCCTCGCGTTGTCAATGTGTACCCGTCTTTGGAATTTTAGTGGGTTTTTGTTTGGATATGCTTTTCTTCTCCTAGGAGACCTTTGATACCGATGTTGTGAATGTTTTCATTTCATGGCTTTTTTCTGGTTTGCTGGAATGATGTATGATCATTTCGGGTTCTCTTCTCTTCTCTTTCCGTATAATTTTCCTGCTCGATGATCATCTTCTCTTGCGGCACATGATCTAGGAGAGTGTCTGGTTGATGGTTATGGTGGTCTTTTCCGAATTGGGAAACTTGGAAACTTTTTCTAAGATGTTGTTCTCCTGTGAATAATACTCTTTTTGGATTGATCACTTTTGTAGGAAATACGTGATTCATGGATGAGTACTCTGGTAAGAGAGGGCCGGATGGCCTCTTGGTCTCCAGGAAAGGATCTTCATTGGTTCTACGAGATACTGGCAATAACAAAGACCAGAACGGTCAATTCTGCAATCGGATAGGGTGCAGTGGCAGATTAAACGCTGCTAAAGGTACTACTCAAATCAACTACACTGGCAAACCCCAATCTTCAAGGTCATCGATTCGACCTTCCTCAAGTGGCAAGGAAATTGCTGGGAGTTCCTCTAGGAATTATTCAGCCGTTAACAATAGCACTAGGAAATCGCTGCCGGAATGTCGGAAAAAAGTCTCTTCTCGGGTAGAACCTGATTCTTCTTCTGAGAGCGCTGGCATTCAGGGCGACCCTGATGTTCCAGAACTCGAAACTCCCTCAAGAAAGCTTCATAAGGGTAACAAGTCCTCTTCTGCTGAAGCTCACACTAGTGTGATTGCATCCTCTACACAAGTGGGAAGCTCTAGTTTAGCATCCAGTACAATGTCCCATGGAGATTTTCCTCAGAGGTCAATATTAGGCCATCCACATACTCTAGCAAGCTCTTCCAGCTCACTACCATTGAAGAACCTAGTCCAAGGAAAACGTTCGAATGTGGGCAGGAATGGTCTAAGAAATTTTAGGTGCAATTCAGTATCGGATGTTGTCTCTTCAGGTTCATCTTCATCTTCAGAGATGAGCCTTACCAAAAGAAAGGACCCGGTGAAGAAAAGAGTCTGTCATGGAGAGAGTAGTAACTCCTCTGTCAAGGGTAAAAAGATGGCTAGCTCCCTTCCAGAAGGGCGGAGTTCTTCTCTTCCTACTTCTGGTATTTCCATTTCCGATTCTAGAAGAGCCAGAACTGTGCCTCCTATTAGGGATAATCCTGTTTCATCTGTTAGGACTAGAAGATCAGTAACTGGTTTCAATTACAATAGACCCCAAGGGACTAGAAACAGTTTAGCTCTCACTGAGGCCCATACTTTGGTCCCACAAGTTCCGCAACATGACATGAGTATTGACCTCAGTAGCCCTACTACTTCATCACATCAGTTCTTTATGGAACCTTCCCTAGGCCGCCCTTCATATAGTCGGCCTGGTAGTAGCAGTGCAAGTTCGAGGGGTGTTAGGCCATCTAGTCCTATTGCAGAAATCAGCAACATGAGATCCTTACTGAACAGGGAGAGTTTCAGACGCTACAACATGGATGGAATTGCTGAGGTAGCTGGCCCACAATGTCTTAATTTACCTGCTTGTGTGCTTTCCTTATACGGAAGTAATTTTGGAAAGCTTTGTTGTAATATTGCTAGTTGATTCATTTTGGCAGGTACTGTTGGCTCTTGAGAGGATTGAACAGGATGAAGAGCTGACATATGAGGTAGGCAGGCTACTAGTTGGAAACTTGGAATGCAGTTTGCCGGTCATCATCATCTTACTTTCCTTTTATATCCTTTTCTGCAGCAATTGCTTGTTCTGGAGACCAATTTGTTTCTTAGCGGGCTGAACTTCCATGACCAGCACCGTGATATGCGACTGGACATAGATAATATGTCTTACGAGGTCTGTTTCTGTTAATTGCGTTATCATCTGGTACTATGTTCCTGTGCTGTAAATATGAAGTTCCTGATGCTTTTTTTTTCTCCTGTCAATCTCGGTCAGGAATTGTTAGCTTTGGAAGAGAGAATGGGTACTGTGAGCACAGCAGTGAAGGAGGACGAACTGTCAGATTGCCTTAAGACAAGCATCTATCAGTTGGTATCCATGGATGGTGAATCTAGGAACCTTAGTACAGATATGGAAGATATTAAATGCAGCATTTGCCAGGTCTGTTACTTTGCAATTACTTCCGTTCTCCTCTAACCCCGTTCTCTTAAATTTTGTCGCGCCCCTGGAAATTTAGGTTTTGACTAGTTGAACATATGTCTGTTTCCAGATAGAGGTATTAATTATCTTAGTTGCTAATCTGCTGGATTTGACTCAAGCAGCAAGTGAATTGGTTCGGATGTAAATGCTTAGTTGTCAAGACGATGAATTCAAGGAATTCTCCGTTCATATATCTAGTTGATTCTTTCTTCTCAAGTTATAGCCTCATATTAATTACTGTGCGATTACAGGAGGAGTATGGAGATGGAGATGAACTGGGACGGTTACGATGTGAACACGAGTATCATTTGAACTGCGTACATCAATGGTTGAGGCTGAAGAACTGGTGCCCGGTTTGCAAGGCACCAGCAGTTGTGCCCACCGAGCCTGCATCTCCTTCGTCTCCCTCGTCGTCATTACTTTGATGATTCTTAATGACTTTTCTTCATTTTGTACAAAAAATTCGTCTTTTGGGTCGCTTTTCTACCCTTCTTCTCCCCTCTGATAAAAGATTTCAAGTTTCTTGGTTTTTGGTTTCTGGGTTTTGGTGTACATAGGGAGATATTGTGGTGATTTTGATAGACTAATAAGTTGTGGCAATTCATTGCTCAACAATTGATATAATGAAAAAGGGAAAAATGGAAATGCTTCTATTTTTTGTCGGGTAAATGACACATTTGGTCACTGAGATTACTAAATCGTGTCATATTTGGTCACTAGAAAAATTTAATATCAATTTTGGTCACTCGAATTACCGAAACTGGTCACATTTGGTCACTCTTCTGTAGCCTCTGTCCAACTCTGGTCACTCGAATTATTGAAAAATGTCACATTTAGTCACTTGTATTGCTGAAACATGTCACATTTAGTCACTCTCCCAAAAGTTTCCGTCCAACTACATTAATGGAGTTGGACGGAAACTGACGGGAGAGTGACTAAATTTGACCAGTTTCGATAATTCGAGTGACCAAAATTGATATTAATTTTTTCTAGTGACTAATCATGACACAATTTAATAATCTCAGTGACCAAATGTGTCATTTACCCATATTTTTTGTCTTTAGTTCTTTCTAACTACAGATTCAAGAAATATAGCTTATAATGGAATCGATCAGATTTTGCTGATGTCAATTGCCATATGACCTAGGCGATAACGGAGTAATCGGATTATCTGATAAATTCGAGATAAGATGATAAAAGCAAACATGTGATTACAATATAAGTACAGAAGAAAAAAGAAACGAAACAAAAGAGTAAGAGAGAAGATATAATTTTGACTAATGTTTTCAGAAGTGAGTAGAGAAGTAGACATAAACCCACACATGATACATGATCTACACATGAATGTAGAGCACGTGGGATATACCAAAACACGAATAACGTCATTCGATCTGTCCTAGATTCTTACTTTTCACAAACAAACAAAAAAAGGATCTCCTATAGATTCAAAAAGAAAGTATCTACCATAGATTCGTCAAATAACTGATTAGCTAAAGGCTTCAAGCAAAGCTTGCCATGAACAAGAAGCTGAACTAAACAGCAGAATACCCATTAGTTTGCTCCACCAAGCGATGTCAATTAAAATCATCATCATCAACATCACCATTGCCGAGAAGCAGCGTAAATCGATCAAGGGAAGCATGAATAAACATCAGAATCAGTAGAATTAGAATACAACAGCAGTGACAGCCACCCAGATTAGATCGGTGTTTTCTCCAGTCTCTACACTTTCAGTAGTGTAGTACCCAGAAAGCTACACAGCAATGATGTTAGATTACTAGGCCGAATTCGTGGAGAAACGCTTCCTCGGAGAACAACATAGTAAGATTCCTGAAACAACCTCCAGAGGCAAAGCTAACTATTTGCTTGATTGCCTGCTACTGTTGCTACTAAAGAGGGTTTCTTGCAGATGAGACTTCTGCAACTTTTCTTGTACAGTGATTGCTGCTTCATGTTGATACCATCTTGATTCAAAGATTAATAAAACACTCTGAAAGAAACAGTTCGACACACAAGCACATAACGTTGCAATTTCTGCCCACCGAACAATGGTAATTCATTTTAGTGCCAGTAAATAGAACATAATGCAGCAGATATCCGGTAAAATGACTTCACAGAGGAGAGAGCGAAAAATGGAGGGCAAATATCCTGCTGCCAGCGACAACACTAAGAACTACGAGCCCATTCCCATATTAGGGACGTGCACCATAATGGTCGCATGACCAATATTAGCACAACTGAATCCAGGAAAAGATTCCTTATGCACAGCTCCTGCAATTCTGTATCTCTAATGCTGTTGCTACTGGAAGGTAACACAATTCAATCTAAGCTTCTAAAAGTTGGAGAGAGCAAGTGCTGGATGCCAAAATACATCAATTCTGGAGCATAACTGAGCTAAATTTGACAGGCTTCTATGGTAGTTAAAAGAAGAAAAGTAAGGCACAGAGTGCTAAGAGGATGAAGGTTAGAGGGAGAGGAGATACCCATGCAGCCAATACAATAAACCAAACACTCCTAGAAATCAGAAAACAAGTAAAGCATAAAAGACATTATTTATGATAGGAAGAAAGAGCAACCAATGTTGTTCCAAAACAGTTTATCTGTAAACAATGCCCAAGAATTTGCACCTTATCAAACATCAAGGGAAGGGAGAATGCTGAGGCATCAAGTCAAGAGGTGGTATGCCTGTTCCACCTTTTGAGCATCTCCAAGGAAGAAAAGTATATCACAAGTGTGTACCCAAATAAAGTGAGTTTTGAACAAATAATAGTATTGATTGATGAACAACACCCGCATATCAGCAGAGAATATTGTTTTGAGCAAGTCCAAACAAGTTATTGAATCATTTTCTTACTTTCTTCAGATTCATTCAAGGATAAGCAGTTGCATAAAAATCTTTGACATCACTGCAACTCTGAACATTCGGTCACTAAGTATACACGAGGTATTTTCAAACATCGACAAATATAAAAGACATACTTGAACAAGCACAACAAAGAAGAAAAAGAATAGTCTGGTCCTACCAACAAGTTACTTCTACCACTATGATACAAAGACTTCACCAAGATACTTCTAGATAGAGTACCTGTGAAGCATTTTTCAAGTACCAGATAGTCACAAACTCCGTATAAATCTTCCAACGGACAAGCATTATTCTGATCTCGACTGCATAAAGAACTTAGCATCCTCATTCTGGGTCTTCACCTTCTACTGATGCTTGAATTTATAGCAAGCATGTGGTACTGCATCTTAAGATAACAGATTGGTCAAAAGGCCACACTTGTTTGGGGCAAATTAATTATCTTCTGTGATGATTTCTAGAATTACGACATCAATGTAAATCAAATTGCATTGACTTCACTCGTATTTGAGTTTGCCTGGACCTCAGATATGTACGGACACTGAAATCGGTTAGGTAATATCCAGTTTGAATGTATCTTGTATATAGAGTATGAAGTTCTGATGGAGTCAGCTAATCAACAACTAAAGAGAATTTGAAATACTTGCTTACGCTCAAATATATGAAGAGTGTTCTTTTCCATTTGAATTCTAAGCAGATAATTAACATTCCTACAATTTATTACACCCTCTGAGTTTCCTTATTATATATAGTACCATATCATCAACAAGCGTAAGTGAAGGAAGTTTCCTACTTGAACTAGATATGGGCACTATATCACATGTAAATAAGAGAAACCAATTACTTCTCTTAGGAGGGTCATTATGGGGCAAAAGCTAAAGTAGTCGCCTAAGGGCGAAGGAACCAAGTAGGTAATTAGCAGTTTAGTTAGTGATATCCAGGACATCAAAAGTCAGTTATACTTTGGCAGATAAACCACCTTCAAGAATCATCAAGCTCAATTCCAAGTAAAAGTCAAGAGGTCAATGGATATCGATGTGTTATTCATATCGAAAACAAATCAATTCTGAGACTTTAAAAATACATAAGAGCAACACTAAGGGCTGTTACACCAGTGATTTTACCTTTTCACCAAGCTACACAAGAGTATCCTGCAAAACTGTCTTAGATTTCTCACGGTTGGCTGTAAATTATACAAAAGAGCTTTGAGATCTGCAATGGCAAGAGACAGCCAACACCCATGCTTATCATACAACAAAGGCAACCAACCATTGGGCATTCAACTTTGGAAGTTTCCCTAGCTTGGTCACCATGAAATGATATCCCGATCAGTGCAAGATCTGCAGCCGGAGAGAGTACATAGATTTGGGTCAAAGCCAGAAGCTCAATTTTTTGAAGGACTGAGCCTCATCTGTGTGATAGCCGTTGGGTTCAAGCAGGCAAAAAGAAGAGAACTGTGTATGTCAATAGCGTTCAAAAACAGTGGCCAAGGCTTTGAACCGGGCAAGCAGATCAATAAACAACTCTGATGTAAAGAGATCCTTCTTAAGATTAATTCTTCAATCCTCATACGACTGCATGCAGATTCTCTCCAGCAGCAAAGGCCAATCTTCACCTAGTTGCTGCGGATTTAACTCCATGGCGACTTTGAAATCAAGCAAAGATATCGAACATCGTGGCCTTTGTTGTTCTTGCATTACTTCTAGGGATCCACTGCCATTCTGCATGTGCAAGTGATTACTACTAGGCCATACTCCATTGATAACTTTCCCTGGAAGAAACTGCTGCTTGAGGCCAGCCTGCTGCTTTCTCTGGTCCTGAGGAGCCCTTGCTCCAACAAATTCAACACAGGACTTGATCAACCTCTTCAAGTACACATCTAACATGTTATTCAACATATTTGCACATTCCATTGAAACCCCTCCAAGGCCCTGTGAGACTGCAATCTGCTCCATGCGTTTTCTCAGCATCTCTGTATCAGACAAGACACCGCTGTTGTAACATATACCAAATTCATCATCAGAACATGTCAATACTGGAGCTTTGCGAGCACCGCCAGAAACGCTACTAGCCAGGCAAAATGGAAGTCCAAGAGGTGCATGGACATGATTTCTAGAGAAGGTCAAGTAGTTTGCTTGCTCGACCTCTTCACCCTCGTCAACTAATGTGGTCCTCCTGACTTTGCTATGCGTCATTGGTTTCTCAGTGGATCGTTGTATCAAGGCTTCCCTTTCATTCCCGGGTTGCTCGGCCACTACTTGAAGGTGGTGCAGAGGTCTCTGGTAATCACATGGACTGAAATCCCCATTCTCCATAACAATCTTGTTACTTCCGCCATCTTCTACTCCGAGTGATTGTTGTGGGAGACACTCAACTTTTCCATTTGGCCCAAGTGGGCTAGGCCTATCTCTAAACTTCCTATGTGTAGTACCTGACCTACTTTTCCGAGGCGATACAGGCAAAACTCCATTTGACCAAATGGAAACGTTTTGACTCTGATTTGGGAGAAGGCTCCCACTCTGTTCATGAGAATCCTCTCTGCCAGGAGAACTCTTTGCTGTCTGAATTGCTGCAGATTTTGTGGGGCCCACATCATAAGTTGGTGGTGGAGGGGTCTTTGCCAGGCAAGCATTCTTCAGAATCCCCCGAATTAGCTGATTGTGTAGGGGGAGATTCTCCCTACCAAGCAACCGAAAACAAGATTTGTCGAAATCACTCTTACTTAGCCTCTGACTAAGAAACCTATTTAAGTTAAAGAAATACTTTTTTGACCTCTCTGCCCCAATCTTCTTTACAATCTGAGTCTTCAGTTCGACCAAATCGATTCTGGAGCTCTGTTGAGGCTGCATTTCTCAAGAGACAGTTTGACACAACATCCAACAGAAGGAAAACCCCTAAAACTTCCCCCAGATGACCGTTGTCAAAGCTACTGTTGTCGTTGCAGCCAAGCAACTTCGAATTCAGCAGCCATCACCATATCATTTCAATGCAAATGAAGCAACAACCTCTTCTTGTATCTCAGAATAAGAAGATTCACAAACCATATACTGGACTGCCAGAAATGAAGATTCCTAAATTGGATGTCAGTTACCTCCGCTTCCAAATCCCTCCAAATTTACCAACCCGCAAGCAGCACAATGCAAAATCAAATCTCATCTTTGCAAAGACCCCAAAACCCTAGAGATCAAAACCCACTTAAAGCACAGTTACGGAGGCCCGCAAACCAACCCAAATATTATCCCAAAGGCATAATGAATCAAAACCCTAAGTTTGTAACTTGGGGCAACCTCGTGCTGAAGTGAAACCTGCAGGCACCGCCAAATCATAAGAACCCACCCGTTAGAAACCACACACTCGGAAACTAATGTACGAAATTCAAAAGCAACGAACTTCGAATTGGGGGGAAAATTGAAGTTCAGAAACAGAGATCAGTGAGTTACGAGGATTGAGTTAGGAACAGAGCAGGAATTGAAAAGATGAAAAGGAGTGGGAAACCCAATAAAAAAAATCGAATTGAAGAAAGCACAATGAAGGAGTTGGGGAAGTAAACTGAGAGAGAGAGAGAGAGAGTAAAAAAGGAAAAAAGCTCGAAGCTTGGAGATTGATTTGAGCTATCTAACCTGAACCCAGTTCACGAAATTTTCGGGGACGACACGGGGAAGAAGAAATCCGAAGGAAACTCACTGAGTTTGATGCTTCCTCGAATCTTTCTCACTCTTTGCCAGCTTCAATTCTTCCTTCCTTCCTTCGTCGCGCCTCTTATTGCTTTCCTCAAAATTCCTATTTCGAGCGACATTCAGAGTACCCTCCTTTTCTATTTCCTTCGGCTTTTTTGATTTGGAGAAGAAAGCCCAGAAGCTCGGGGTTCTCCCTTTTCCTTTTTTCTCCCTCTCTGTGCCTGAGCTCGTTCTCTGCCTTCGACTTAGCTCCCTCGATCGCTCGCACTCTTCGCTGCTATTACTTTCGCTTTAATTTTTTTTTTTCTTCTTCTTTTTGGGTTTTGTTTCAATTTTTTGTTTTCATTTTTTCTTTCTAATTCACACACTCTTTCTTCTCTTCTCTCTTCGAGTCTCCTCCTTCTCTCCCTCACAAAGCTTTGTTTTTTGCTTGATTTTCCAAAAATGTCTTAATTTTTTGGGTCAATTTTTGTTATTGTGCACGATTTTATCTTCGTGTCTTCATGTTTTCTATTTGTACTTTGCATTTTCACTCGTGTGAGGGAAAATGATTTTCCAACCTTTTTTTGTTCCAAGCATACGTTGACTTTGTTCCCATTTGTCTTCTAAGTTCTAATTATTCCAATTTTCCCTCCACATATGAACATTTTAGTAGGGTCTCCATTGTAACATAATAACAATAGTAATCTTGTGTTTCATGTTTTATGGAATCCAATACTTTATAAATAACTAATAATGTCGATATATTACCGTGCTTGACAATAACAAAGTGACATTATAATTTTATCTATGAGGTAATGGTCATGAGTTTGAGCTCCAGTGGCACTATATACATCATTTTGAATCTCCCTTTTATCCCAAGTAATGCCAAGAAAGAGAGGTTAGAAAAAAATTCTCTACCCAAGAACCCCCACGACACCAACTTAGTGAAATCGCCAGCAAAATCAAAGGAAACTAACTCTAAAGAAGACATAACAAGGCTGTGCATGCAACTTTATGGGCAGTCCAGTTTGCATTCCTCGGACCACCCTAAATACTCTACAAAGAGAAAAGACTCGATAAGCTGGCAACAGTCTGGAAGTAAGGGCCCTCCTAGTCAATCAACCACCACATTTTGGCTAAGCTGACGAACGACTACTTTAGCATCCCCTTTCACAATGATACGAGACAAGCTTCTTTAGACCGCAGTTGGAATGACACTCTAGCAGTAAACAATTCTACAAGGTAGGGATCAGACACAGTCCATTGTTGGTCGCCAAGTGCCAATGGAACATGCACGTCCGAGCCACGAACAAAAAGACCCGACGAGCAATCGAAGATTTGATCGACAACATCAAAGTTTCACTTCAAATTGTCTTTAAAGGCGGGCACTCCCAAAGTGATGGAGTCGAAATAGAAGGAAAATAGAAAGCATACAGGGTAAGCAGAAAGGTAAAGGGCATTTCACGAACATGCACTGAATTGACGATCAAGCGCATGACCATGTGGTTGAATATTTTTAGAAACCACTTTATTACGAGATTTTCAACTCTCACAATAAGCAAACATAGTTGATAATAAGGTTTTGGGATTGCTCCTTAAGCATAACATGATGCCACTGAAAACTAAAATTCACAATCGGGCGAAACAATAACATCAATTTATCTCACATAAGACCATAAGTGGATGGCCAGTGAGCAACAAAAGAACAAATGTTCAGTACTCTTTCGATACCTCCAACAAACAAGACATCGGTTAAGGTCATTAACCCCTTGGGATTGGAGAGCAACTATTGTAGAAACTCCACTTCGAGGCATTGCCAAATGAAACATTTTGAATCTCCTTTAAATGTAGAAGTAGTTTAGGTTTCTAGATCAACAATGTATCCTTCAAAGTTCTTGATCATAATATAATTTTTACCAAGCAAATATGTGTATGTTTTCTTTTAACATTTATTTATTGTACTAATATTCACGCATTTACCAAAAAAAATTATTAACTTAAAACTTAATTTTTCACCTTATTGAACTAAGGAATAAGATTAAAAAATACATTGATATGACAACAAAGAATAACGACATGGTAAAAACAACCTTAATGACTTTTTTTTTACAATGATGGAACTCATAAAGCGCACCCCAACCTCTATGTATTAAAGAAACTTGGGGTTTTGAACGCCAATAATGTCAAAATGCAACCAATAAGCAATAGTGCTTGTAGGAGTATCGAAGAAATGAGTCCCACAAGAAGCGAGTGCCCCAAAGAGGCAAGATAGTCAACAACAAACTTGGCCTCTTGATACACATGCTCAATCCTTACTGTGCAAGGCCGAGCCAACCATCGTCTGATCTCGGCAATACAAGCATAATGAGAACGTGATGTGTGGCTATCTCAATGAGAGTCATAGCCGACAACAAATCTATTTGAAAAATAACCTTCCTAGCTCTCAGTTCAACCCTCATGTCGTTTAAAAGTTCATAAGATAATGGTCAAGCCAATAATAAAAAGACTACTCCTCCCTCGTTCTTTAGTTGTTAGTAGGAATGACAATCGAACCCATAACTGTGGGTATTTGACCGCCTCCGACCGAATACTTCACGAATCCTTATATTGACGGGATATAGGGTGGGTATGGGTAAAATCCGAAAAAAGTTTGATGAGTAAGAGGCGGGTATGGTTTTAGCCTCCTCCACCCATACCCATACCCGCCTCACCAAGAACATTTCTCCACATATAAAATATACACGGATCAAATTGTACGATGATAGTTAAGGTAACTCAAAAAAAACAAATAGTAGAATTGCAATCGAGTGACCCTCCTAAATCAAAACCTAATTCATTTCTTTCAATTCTCCCTTCATTCTTTCGCTTTTCCCTCTTGTTAACAAGATTATTATGTCAGTTGATTATTACTTACTAGATGTAGAGAGTTAGAAACTAATGATTTGAAACATATTGTACTCTATCTTATTGAATAAATTTATGTTTAGGACCATATGATATGAATCGAATCAAGAATGATTGTATTTTTGTTGACTTCATAATAGTAAATATGTTTAGTGATATAATTGAAAATTTACAAGTAATTTTTTTTTCATAAATAAAAAATAAAAACTTTTTAAGAACTCTCCTAGCTGGTTCACGTTTCGAAGCCAGGAAGAAGCAATTTATTGCACTTTGGCTTTTCTTCTTCAAACCCGATCCCAAAATCTTCCCCCAAGCCCTTGACTGACGGCGCCCTCTTCCGGCCTCCCGCTCCCCACGACGCCCGGCGTCCCTTTATCAACGGCACCGTCGCGTTTCCGTTTTCCTCTTGCCGCGCCCCAATTCTGCTCATCTCCTTCAGGTACCCTGATTCCCTGTACTCTTGTATTCTTCTCCCCTCTGTTGATGGTTGAATGTTACCGCTTGTAAACCCCAGGAGAGCCTTCTTCTTGAATGTTATTGTTTCTCATAGAACTTTGCAGTGCTACCGCTTGTGGGTGTTGAAAGGTCTATGCATGGCGAGGCTGTCATTGCTGTTGATTGGTTCACTTTTTTGCAGTTTTAACTTTAAACAATTGCTCCATAAAATTTTCGCAACCTTCAACTGCTCTTTTTTTCTTTTCTTCTTCTCAGTTAGTGGACATCTTCGATAGCTCTGCTAGAATTGCAGCCTTACAGCTGCTTCTAGTTGCGCCCTACCGTTTCTCTCGAGCTCTGGTGCTACGGGTTTGTACTGATGGACAGTGATGTTGAGGAGTCGCTTAAGAAAAGGCAAAAGAAGGTTCCTTTTCCAGGGGACTCTTCTCGTCGGGTCAGTGCCCCCAAATTTTCTTCTCCTCTCTTTGTTGATTTAGCTGAGAACACATAACCTCCCTCAAAGAATTATCCCATTGAATTATGCGGTAGATTTTACTGCTGTTGTTATTTGTCATGTTGATGGTGTTCTGTACATGTAAGAAGAAGTTAACTATAGACATGGAGATGTGCATCAATGATGTGAACCAATCTGAGGCACTTGCATCAATGATAAGTAATCTACATTGATAGGGAGTAGGATAATCGGTCTGATTATTGATTACAGAGAATTAACATGATCTCTTCCTATAATTACATCCTGATCTTTGATTTGGCAGTGCAAGCATTTGGTTCTGATTTGGCAGACCGGTAATTCTATTTTGTAGGGTTTCACGCAAGAGGAAGATACTCGTTTGGAGTCTACAAGAGCTAGATGTATTGAAAACCTTCTGTGTTGTTTATTTGTACCGTTAGTAGTGGTATTTGATGTATTGTTATTGTACTGAATGTTGGTTTTTCTTGACAATTATCAGTTACAAATCTTCTCAAGAGACATGGGGAATTGGCAGAACGTCTTTCTAGGTGCAACATTATTTTCAGATTGCAATGGATTTGATTAGATGCTCTGATGTGGGTTGAGCATCTCAAAGGTTGTGATGCTGAAATAATTTCTCCATTGTTTTGGATAGGGATTCTGACAAGATGATATTCGAACGCCTACAAAAAGAATTTGAAGCTGCAAGAGCATCTCAAAAACAAGGTACCAGTCACTTATTCCATTAATAGCTTAGTTCCTAGGTATCTTTTCTGTACTTCTGTTCTTTGTTGGCTAGGAGTTACAAATTCTTGTTTGCAGTCTCTAGTTATATAAAAAGGATATCAACTGTTTCTTTTTTCCATTGTCTGCAGAAGTTTATCTTGATGGTGAAGAATGGAATGATGGGCTGTTGGCAACTATAAGAGAAAGGGTATGTTTTGCTGAGTGTTTGCATTTTGTTCATCTTAAGCTGGTTCAAGATTATCCTTCATGCCACAACTCCTTGCTATCATAAACATTTTGCCAGAGTTTAAATTGATGGATTGTTCTGTTGGGCGGCTATTTGTTTTTCGTTATCAGGTTCACATGGAGGCTGACAGGAAGGCAATGGCAGCAGAATCTAATAATATGACGACTCAACATTTTGAAGAGAAAATTACATATAGGGCTGGTAATAAGGTAGTCTCTAAAAAACATCTCCCTTGTACACTTTGACTAACACTCTGTAGACAGATATCATCAAGTTTTAAGAATCACTAGGAGTCGAAATGTTGGTTACGTATGCTCTGCTTGTGTAGATCTCTTGTAGAGAGAATTAAATTTAGAGCTGTTCACAAGGTAGTGTCTTAGTATTAATATATACAATGTGCAGATTGAGTTAGTTTCTCCCGAGATTATGTATCCTAAAACTTTAAGACTGTTTCACATGACTTGGAAAGTTGGTTTAGTATTTTCTGGTGTATGTTGATTTTCTGGGAATTGCATTTGTTTGGTAAAACCCGAATGCTGGTAATAATGGTAACAACTATAGCATCCAGTCCAAGGGAGTATTGGTAGTAAGTCGCACAGCATTTACTTGCATTTGTATCATCTTTCTCTCATTAAGTGGAATAATCATCAGTTATGCCAAAAAGGAAACATTGAACAATTTTCGTTGTAAATTTGCTGAATATTGTTGCACTTATCATCTATCATGGAACTCAGCCTTGTGATGCAAACAGGTCATTTGTTGCTTGGAAGGGGCAAGGATTGGCATTCAATATGAAACGTCTTTTGCAGGTATTTGTTTCCTGTTGTTCCATGACAGTATCTATTGACGTAGCCTAATTTCTCACGATCTTAAGGCTGTTGTATAAAAAAATTGTCAACTTTTTTCCTGATTTTTTATGCTGGAAAACTCATTGCTTCGTGGAAGTGACAGGAGTTTGCTCCTTTATACATTTCAGGAGAACCTTGTGAGGTATATCACTGTGTGCTTGAGAGTCGGTCATTTCTTGAAAAGATGACGGTCCCTGAACATACTGTTCCGTTTTTTCTGCCTATACGAGAGGCAGAAAATGATCTTCTTTCTTCCAATGCTATGGCAAGTTTTTCCAGTTCTTGGATCTTCACTTGTGATTAAACTCTGTGGCACTGTTTGATAGTATCTAAAATGGGTATTGATTAATTTGCTTGCAGAGATTTATAGACTTTGTTGGAGAACTCCTGCAGTCATATGTGGAGAGACGAGAGCAGGTAGGGAAATTTGTTTCTCATTGTCCTTGGATGTTCATGGTTCCCTCAAGAAGATGTTTGCATAGAAGAAAATTAAATTAGCAATAGAGGCTCCACGTTTGTTCATTATCATGTTCTCTTTAGTATACCTTGTGGCCTGTATTAATATTGGAAAATATTGTTGCCCTTCATCTTACCAAAATCTTGTATAAATTATTTGCATTAGTAGCCTCAGCGGGAAGCCACTACTCTTCTCTCGTTAATTCTCTGGCCAAGCCATTGGACTATCACAATTCAATTTCTCTATGTCACCTAATGCTTGAGACACTGGCTGTCATTTTCATGCAGTAACTGTATGCTTGTAGCATCTCATCTTGACGATTGGTTGATGTCTCTTTATCATCTTTGATGTACTTAATGTATATTCTGATGGGGTCAAGTGTTGGAACTATCATTTGAATTTGCTTATTCTCTTTTACAGGTCAGGCTTCTTAAGGAGCTGTATGGAGATCGAATTGGGGAATTGTATCACAGCCTGCCCTACCACATGATAGAATTTGTTCTAGATGATTTTGATTGGTAAGTACCCGTTTAGGCACCGTGCCTGGATTATTTTGATTTGTTTCTGCCAACCACGTGCTTAAACTCATTTTGTGTAATCCCATGCATGGCTTTTCTTCTTCTAGTGTATTTGCGAATCAATTTTACTAGTTCGTAGTTTATCTTGTCTAGTTAGAGATTAGTTATATGCTGCTTTCCTGATCCTGCATGTGTTGTAGTCTAAGAAAGGTCAGCATTTCCTGGTTAGAGTAACTTTCACTTCCCATGATGATGGTTTGGTGTGGTCGTTTTTGGCTGCAGCAAAATAACCGTAAGTCTTAGATACTCTGATCTTGTTGCTGTACTTCCAACTCGGGTGAGAGTGTTCGCATGGCCCATAAACCAATTCAAGAAAAATGCAGCCACGGGAAGCCACTCTAATCCAAGTCGCCTATCGTTTGCCGAGGACGCTATGCGAAATATGACATTGCCAGAAGGTACACGGGTTGCTCATTTGCAATACTTGCTGAGTGTGCCTTTAGACGCATAGTTCTGTTGTCTGATTTCATCATTTTTGGTTGCGCAGCATATGCGGAGATGGTGCTGAACCTGCCACAGGCTTTGCAGCAGATGGTTCAGGATAGGAGCCCTTGTTAAGTCGTGTTGACATTTATGACGAAAGGATCGGAGAAAGTGTACAAAAGAGAGCAGTGTTTAACGTATTAGACATGTTGTGAATTTGGTGCTGGGTCTAACTGGGTTATGTACTTGTGTAGGGTTAGAGGCTTAGAGCTGTTATTCGGGATGTAGCGATTCAGGCATTTTTCACTCATCACTATGAAATTTGAGAAATGTTTAGCTCAATTCCAATAGTAATATTTTCCTGCTCTGTCCTTCTGTGTTATATCTGTGCTGCAAGGTATCCAGGTAAAGCTGGCCTGTGTTTTCAACTTGGTGTTTATTTTGGTAGAGTAGCGTGCTATGCAAGAAATACATTATTCCAGTACCTCACCAGCAAAGGTTTACATAACTGAATCAATCCGTCTGAACAGCATCAAATCAAACCACAGAACAACAGTAGGGAACAACTGCTATATATGCCAACATCAAAGGGTTAAAGAAGACAAGTAGGTGGGCGGACGATCTACCTCACTAATACGGGAATCACAGAAACATGAAACGACATCAAAACAAGATCAGATTCTGGGTTTTATCTGGGGTAAGAACACTCAGCTCCTGCTGCTTAATTTTCACGTTTTATGCTACTACGATGGCAGGCAAACATTGCCAGAAATCTATATATACTCTGCCGGTGTTGGTGTTTCGTCATCATAAAGTGTCAATTTGCTCTCTAGACAGTGTAATGCTGTTGAATGGTGTCGATGTCAAGGCCTTTAAGCTTCACCACCGACTCGACGTGCCCCTTCAGTGTATTCAGTTCCCTCAGCCTGTTCATCCATCCCATATGAAAACAGTTAATCATCCGAAACAAACAGCTCCTGGAAATTCTGATGGAAAGCAAATCTGTTGAATTACGTACCTAGCAACCTCAGCACGTCGCTTAGCTTGCTCAGCAATCTCAGAAAGCTCTCTGTAACTGTTCTTGTCAGCAAAGAAGTTGGTGGTCTCAGGAGGCTGAAGCCCGTGGAGTGTTCTCTGCGCGGTAGCCCACTGCGCTTCCCTCTCCTCTTTCCCATAATTCGTCTTTGTAGTAAACGCCGTCTGTGAAAGAAAATTACCAAGTTTAATAATATCATCATCATCATCATCATCATAACAACCACATTTCATGGTCAGGGAGGAAGGGAAGCAACTCAACCACTGCTTGTTTCCTTTTACCTTGTTCTCCAAGAGATTGTCCCAGGCCTTGCCGCTGAGAACATAGCGAATGGCGAACTTGAGGATGTCGAGTGGGATGTAAGTGACGATGCTGTAGAGCCAGATTACGCCAGCCCAACCCCAGCCGCAACCCCTTATTCTCGCAAAGGACCAGTTGGCGTACACTGCAATTAATGTCGCGATCAGTTGAGCAACCATGAAAGCAACGAGGAGGAGCTTCCCGGGGATTTCGACAAAGGACCAGCTGCGTGATCTCGTCACGAATATCAGTGCTTGGCTCACTATGCTCACTTGCAAGTACAGCGCTGACATCATCTGTTCTGGTCTATCATGCAACGGCCTTACATGGAACTTGTCCTGCGTACAAATCATTCAGAAAGCAAACAATCAACAAAACTCACGAGTAGTTCTATTGTTCATCCAAAATCTCCATCGAGGTAATAATAGCGGATTTGTTCTTTTACCGAGAAGAAGTTGGTCTCTCGCATGGCCCAGAAGAAAAGAACTGTCATTATTGCCATGTAAGTCCCCAGTACAACTCCAGTACTGAAGATCTCTTTCAGCTTCCAGCTGTCTGGCTGCGGAGATGGCTTCACTCGATCCTTTGATATCGTCATGATCGTTCCTGTATCACAAATTAGCCGAATTTAGCTTCTTCCTCACTTGCTAACAGGAGAAACAGAAGAAACTTTGATTAATTAGGCTCACCGTCATTGAGTACGGCAATGATCAAAACCATGAATGGGGAAAAATCAAACTTCCATATCAACGCAATCAACATGAACCCAAGCTGCCAAATACCAAACCAGCAATCCAACATGACTCAAATACTAAGTTGTTGTAAATACCACAAGACAAATTGATGTTTAGATATATAGAGAACTTACAACAATACGGATGGTGATGGAGACGGCATATATCTGCAAAGAAGATAAGAAAGACAGAATCGGAGAGTCTCAGCAAGGGGCACTTATTTATCATTTATGAGAACAACAACTATTAACAGAAGGACAAATGGTCGAAGAAGAAAAGACCGTGTAATTTTTCATTCTCTGGAAAATAGCCCTGCTGGTGAGAACAGCACTTATGATCACACTGAGCCCCGGCTCAGTGAGGACGATGTCAGAAGCACCTCTAGCTGCATCAGTTGCATCAGCAACAGCAATCCCAATATCAGCCTTCTTCAGTGCAGGAGCATCGTTCACACCATCTCCCGTCATTCCACAAATGTGTTTCTTCTCTTGTAGCCTCTTCACAATCTCATACTTGTGCTCTGTCGAAGGCAACAAGTTTTAAGTTACTTCAAAGCATATTATATTAGAGAGACTTTCCCGACCTTGTAAAGCGGCAATTTGGGCAGATGTGATACCTGGGAAAACTCCGGCAAATCCATCAGCTTTTTCAATCAACTCATCCACAGGGAGGGATGCAATGGAAGCATCCTTGCTTTGACCAAGCAATGAAGATGAAGGATACATGTTGGTTCCCATCCCAAGCCGCCTTCCTGTTTCCTTAGCAATTGCAAGCTGATCACCTGAATAATATACAAGAAGTGACAGAAAGATAAATAAGAGCTTAAACACAGACCAACTATGGCAGTTACAAGATAAGAACACCAGAGTCTTTACCAGTAATCATCTTGACATTGACTCCAAGGTGAAGAGCTCTTCTGATGGTTTCAGCACTGTCATGCCTTGGTGGATCAAATAGAGGCAACAAACCAACAAGCTGCCATGGACCGCCTGCACTGTCTTTGTTCTTCTCTGGTACTTCCTATAATTCACATGGGATGGTAAATAGGAGGATTAGTTCCACACACCAAAAAGCAAAAGGTTCAAAATTAAAACTGATACAGACCTGCCGTGCAACTCCTAAAGATCGAAGCCCACGTTCAGCAAACTTATCAATCACTGCATGAACCTTCCTTCTAACATCCTCCTTGCAATTGCACAAGTTCAATATCTGCATGCAAAAACGAAGGCACACATTAGCATTGCCATCGTCGACAACTGATTCATGAGATAAAACCTGAAGCAGACATAAATATTACCTGTTCAGGAGCACCTTTACTTGCCCGGTGCCAGTTATTGTCCGAATCAATATAGGTCAAGGCAGTCCTCTTGTCGACAGGATTGAATGGAAGAAAATGAACCTCCCTAATGCCAAATCGTGCCTGCAAAAGTTACAAGTGTTATTATACTCACAAGCAAGCAGCAGGTTTGGATCAGGAGGATATTTTTGGAGACACAACAAAGTTGAAAAATACCAACCTCCTTAGGGTCTGCAAGCATTCCTACTATAGCGGCATCAATAGCATCCTGATTTTCTGTCCTCGAAGCTCTGGCAGCAAGTAGCATAACATGCTCTTTGTCCATACCCTTAACAAACACCTCAATCAAGTTCTTATCAACAGTGAGCTTGTTCAACGTAAGAGTCCCTGTCTTGTCACTACACAGAACATCCATGCCGGCCATTTCCTCAATAGCAGTCATTCTCTTGGTAATAGCCCCCTGCTGGGACAACCTGTGAGAACCAATGGCCATGGTGACAGACAAAACGGTAGGCATAGCAATAGGTATTCCTCCAATCAAGAGAACGAGCAAGTTGTCGATCCCATCTCTGTACTTGCGGTGCTGTATAGGGTACATCACTACAATCTCAACAAGTATCCCGGCAGCAATCGAGCAAATACAGAAGTTACCAATAGCAGTAAGGACGGCCTGAAAATGACCAACTTGATTGGTGCTGTCCACGAGATGAGCAGCTTTACCAAAGAAGGTGTGCACACCGGTGGCAATGACAACAGCTTCGATTTCACCTTGCTTGCAGGTCGACCCAGAGAAGACTTCATCGTAAGGGTTCTTAGTGACGGGAAGTGACTCCCCAGTAAGTGCAGATTGATCGATCTTCAGAGGATCACCCTCCAGAAGACGTGCATCAGCAGGGACAATATCTCCCAACTTGATGCTGATAATGTCTCCGGGAACCAAGATTGCAGCTTCTTGCTCCGTCCAGCGCCCATCTCGAAGAACCTATTATCATGGGTGGGTTAGCTACAGAAGTCAGATACATGCAAAATGAAGCAGCAGCTGAAAGTAGAGATAAAAAAAAATTACGCACCTTGGTCTTGGGGGCAAGGCCAGCCATAAGTGCAGCAGCTGCATTTCCAGCATTATTTTCCTCGACGAAACTGATGGTGGAGTTGATGAACAGCAGGGTAACAATACCGACGAAGTCCTGCCAGTCTGGTGGCCTTCCTCCACCATTGGCCAAGGCTAAGGCCATAATAGCTGCAGCTTCCATGACCCATGACAGCGGGTTCCACATAAAACCCAGAAACTTGAGAAATTTGCTCTCCTGTAACCAAAATGATATACTGAATTAATTACCCGCCATGAACAAATTTCTAATATGAAACGGGCAACAGAGCAGAGTCACAGTTTCACAAACCTTTTTCTCCTCCAACTTGTTGGGTCCGAAAACTTGAAGCCGGTTGGCCCCTTCGTCGCCGGTGAGACCTTCCCGTGAACATTTCAGCTGCTCAAACACTTCCTCGATAGGAATCCTTTCCTGCGAATTAAGGTTTCATCTCCACTGTTATTAACCCCCAAAACAACTATCAACCTGATTTTTATGTTATGTTTTATTTGCTTGCAAACGACGAGGAAAAGAAAATGAACACTCCTACCAAAAAAAAAAGAAAATGAACAGAAGGAAGAGACGCGCCGGTGGTGCGCGTGGGATGGAGAAGCAAATCGAGGGATCCTGTATAAATCCAGTTTTCTCTCTCCTTTTTCCTATTCAGCCACGCAGAGATGCGTGCGGACTAATGCCGCTTCTTTTCACGTGATTGGTTGCTCTTTTATTCACCAACACTCTGGCTCACCGATTGGCTGCCGTCTACGAACAGGGATAAACTCTGTTTTGCGTATTCCTTTACTTAATTATTATCATCTTGTAATTAGTCAACCATTGACACTAATTATCCTAATAAAACAAAATTTGACCATCAACCTGACTCTTTGGATGCCGAGCCATCCAAGAATCAATGTGATTACCAAAGAAACAGTTAACTCAGTCCAGGATTTCAGACGATAATTAAGGACCTAATATCAAATTAGGGATGTAGGGAAACGTGCTTTAGCTGCTCTCCTCTATTTCCCAATTATTTCTCCAAGATCGAGTCCCTACCAATTCGTCTAATACACCACAACTGTTTGAAACAAAAAAAAGAATAACGATGACAGCAACAGTATTTAGAAAATTGTATGTTCATCCAGATTCCCGCAGGAGCTAGCTAGCTGCTCATTCTCTGGCACTAGTTCAACCGGATTTTCCTCATAACATAAAGCGAAAAAGAAGAAAGACGATTCAAAATAACGCAACAGAGTAACAACGATAACGAAGAACAGATCTGGCAATTCAAACGCGAAACCAGTACTAGCGTCTAGCAGACGTCTCCAAACAGTAAAAGCTCAAGCAAACGAAAGAACCTCTCGCACGCAAGGAAACGAAACGGAAAGTGCAAAAGCAAACAGTCGTGCAGGAAAAGGAAACAACACCGCGAATCAATCACACTCTCACAGGTCATAGTAATACTGTATCAACTTTTAACAATATAGGAAAATTACGACGGCGGGGAAGAGGAGGAGGAGGAAGAAATAGGTACCAGATCAACGGCCTCGTTCTTAATCTCTTCGAGACTGATGCCTTTGTTAGCCGCCATTTCTACGCGGCCGGAGCTCGTCCGAGCACCGGGAAAACCCTAGCTAGCGAGATAGTCAGACAGGCGGCGCGATTACTGTAAGATCATAATAATAGAGCCGAAGAACGAAGCAGAAGAAGAAACTCAGAAAAAGAAAGAGAATGCGGGGAGAACGGCGGTGGGTAGAGGAATTGCAGAGGGGCGAATTTTGAGTTTGTTAGCGGGGGTGCGAATTTATACCGAAAGCGTGGGGGGAAAGAACGTCCGCCATTCGAAGGTGTACCGGTACTGAAATGGGTAGGTCCCACCCCGTGAAAATCGGCTTCCCTTCCTTCCGCGCTTTTCTCGGCCCAGAGCAGTATTGTTGTTGTTGTGCTGTTACAATATTTTAAATTTTTTATTAATATATTTTGACATATTTTTTAGTCCGCGCCACGCGCCAGCGAGTGAAGGGAGGAGAGAGTTAGCGTTGCCGTTCCGCCGGGAGGATACGGTGGTGGTGGGTGATGTGATGTCATCGCTTCCGGTGACTACACGTGTCCCCGCTCCGTTTCACATTTGGTTCGGTAACCCGAACCCGAACCCGAACCCTATCGTCCAGTTCTCCACTTCCACGAAGATTCGAGTTAAGTTAGGTTAATGAGTGATTACGGATTATGGAGGGTAGCTTTTTATTAAACTTCAGCGGGATATGAATTTTCTTTTTCTATTTTCAGTTTCCAATTTGGACTGTGGGATTTGAAAGGGAAGAGAATCACAACTTTTGGAAGTGCAAAATGGGATTGATTCCAAGAAAACAGAGCATATATTCTATAATTTCATTTCGCTATTTAGGAATTTGAAGATTTATTTCTTAAAAAAATTAAGTGGTTAGTATGCGACGAAAACAATACGTATATGGTTTTCGATGCAATTAATCTTTACGAGGTTGAGCTCCAGATGAAGTAACTTTATTAACCTCAATTTTGATTCGTCATAGCCATTAGTCAAACTGTTACAAAGAGAAAAGTTACAGGTCAATAATTCAATGTAAGAAAATAGGTAAAAAAGTCAAGAATATTAGTACAATATGGAGAAAGAGATCTGACTGTAGCCAAGTCAACATTCAGTTCTAACCTTCTTTTTTGATCATCATCGTGGGATGAAGAAAAGCACGAATACATACTAGATTTGATTTCATAACATAGATCATGAACATAACCAGTTGCACGCATATATAACATACCATCTTTCTTCGTCCTCGTTTAAGAGGTTTGACCAATTTACGTCAAACTTTCTAAATAAAAAGGTTACAGAACAAGTGAAAAACAGAAAAAATCATGTACATAAACAAGCCTATACAATATGACAGCAAAGACTCTCATAACTTTCAGAGAGTAACAAATCATTAAATTTCACTTTTTTTCTATCTTAATTCTTAAACGTGATCTAGTTCCTTTGATCATGGCCATAGCCACCTACCCTGGTTCAACCCAATAAGAAATGTCGAATAACATTACGTGGAGTCACATAATTGGTTTACCAAAGGGAATCGCTTTTTCAAAAAAAGAAGCCATGGATAGAGCTAATGTAACATACATAGGTAGCATCCAGTTTATAATGTTATTTGGATCGATTAACCGATCGACCACCTCTGGTTGTACGTAATGTATGTGTATATACTATATATGCATTCACGGTTGCAAGCAAAGGAGGAGGTAGGTTGAAGCTAAGAGGGGCTATAGCTCCCCTCAAATATGAAACAGAGATAACATTACATATAAAATTTCGTAACAAATTTTAAAAACAGAGTAATCGGAGGTAAGACCGACCTTAATTATCTCCCCTCTTCCAGTTCACGGATCAAATCAACCACCTCAATTCAGATTCTTGGGTCCGTCACTCGCTATCGGCAAGCAAAGCTTTCCTTTCACATTCTCTACAAGAGAAAGACAGTTGGTTCTCCTTGTGAATATAGCCAGCCAGCCAGCCAGCCCCACATCTTCTTCTCCTTTCCCTTTTCTTTATTGCCCTACAGACGTTGCAAGAATCACATTCATTTGATAGAACACACAAGGAGACCTAAAGAGAGGCAAAAAAAAAAAAAAAAAAAGTGGCAAAAAGAGAGATAGAGAAGAATCCTGATGATGAGTACGTAGAAGAAGACGACTCCATGGATCCTATTCCTGTCTATCTGTAAACGAGGAGGAGAAGTATTGGTACAACACGAAGACAACCTACTACCAGCCACCACTATGTACCGCAGCTTGATAATGAAGCATTAGACCATTCATCAAACATCACTACTTCAAATCTTATTTTTCTTCTTCTTTTTACTTGCTCGGTTTAATTGTGTCCATTGGCTCATCATGCTTATGCACAAACATGAGCCATTTGATGCATGAGATAAAGATGGAAACTTTGTGAAGAAGTCAAAATAATTTTGACAACTCAATTTGGATTCACATGTGTTTTTGATGAAGTTTGTATTCAGCCGTCTGACAGTTCTCTTGTCTAAAAATGATGTTTAGATGATTTTGTGGCAGAACCGTTGTAGAAAACTAAGACCCAAAAGTTTGTCCATTGATGGGCCGTTACCATTGGCATGAAAGTGATACATGCACATTTTTTATGTCATACAACATAATGCACCAAATTCATCTTGACATTTTGCAATTTTCTCTCAAAAAACGATGGTACAATTGAGATTAAGCCGAACTAAAAAAAATGATGCTATGATATACCAAAATTCAAACCGAAAATGGTTCGATGTAACTAGAATCCGTGATGTCGTAATGTATCTGTTGATTATAAAATATCAAATCGGTTAGCTATCAACAACCATATTGTTATTGATATGGTTTTACACCCTTTTCCAATGATTTTTTCCTTTTCTTCTTCGCATGGGTATTTCTACTATACGGTTTTCACAATCAATAGGGTTTGAAAAGGATGCAAAAGGAAAAATAGGAAATAATAGCATTATCACCATGGAGAAGAACCTCACAAGATGCTTGCCTAGCCAGCTTTGCTTGCTTGTTTTCTTTCAATCCATGTGAAGCGCTCCACTTTTTGCTTGATTGCAAGTTTCTTTCCTTGTTGCCCTTCCCTTCCTCTACCTCATCAGATGGTCTTTCGAACCAAACTATCGCTTTCGTTGCATACCATTCATCCAATTTGGCCTGCCTCCTCTTTTCGCCATCACCAGCACTTTCTTCTGTGTGCTTCATGGCAATATCACACGCACAAAAGACCAATTACTAGACATTATCGTCATTCTTGACGAATGATTCGTATAAAACCATTATTTGAGGGGTTGTTTGTTTCAACGATTTGCAACATGGATTTGGTATCAAAAAACCAATCATCATGGATTTACACACAATCCGTTGTTTGCTTTGTCAAACAATGTTTAGATAAATCTGTAGGTCCCACTGATTTGAGGATTTTTTTTTCTCTCTCTACCAACAATTTGAAGTATCGAAACTTATCTAAATGATTGTCCAATGATTTTGACGGTTTGTAATACCCACCCCCAGCCCTATCACGATGCTACAAATGCCCCCTCCGGCTCTCTTGCAAAACCAATTATACTAGATAATTTCTTATCACCCTTATATAAGATTTATACCATGATTAATAATCCCAAGTTATACTTCAAAACTCAAAGGTTCGAAATTTGTACTTAAAAAATAGTATCACATAAGCATTTGAATCTCTATCAATAACTTGAATTATCCGGAGACATCATCAGACATGTTTGTACAACCAAACCCGACCCTATCGCGAAGTTGCAAATGCAACCTCCCACTCTCTTGTGAAACCAATTATTTGGAAAAGCTTTGTACTATTTATTTAATTCATATCGTTAACAACTTTGTCATCAATAAACATGTGGTGTCATTCATTGCATAGTTCATATACTATCAACATACTTTTCTCTTTTGTTTTCTTAGGTTTCAACAGAATATAGATTGATTGGTGGTCTCCCTTTCCGTTCATCCCTATTCCTTTCTTCAAGCATACACCCAAACCCCTTTTTTCTTTCCTTGCATATTGTTGATGCAAATACTTCAAATAATGTTCATCTATAAAATTTAAAGGTTTTATAGGCAACGGAAATTTTCTGAGATTTGTTCTAGACTTTTGTTTTCCAAAACAAATCTAAAGAATATAGAACACTCATCAAGAAGACAGATTGCAACCAAATACGATAATCCATATGCAACACATACTTGTTCCCATTTTAAGAGTTAGATTTTCTGGTGAAAGTTTATTATGGGGCTAATTGACCCAAGCAAGAAAGTTGGTAGTTTGATTCGACTCTAGTGAGAGTTCATGGCCTTTACTGACTAAAATAAGAAAGTTCAAGGGTCGATTTGTCCTTTTCAGTAATATTTATAGGGACAATGTCCTGCCTTCATTGATCTAATGTCCTACAAACATTTGTAAAGGAGTCTACTCTTTTGTAGATCTAATGGCCTCCAAATGCTTACTTGCAGAACCAGTAGATGGCATCACACTAATTAGACAAGAAATAGGGGGCATGACAGGCTCCCATGATTCACCATTAACAAGCATTTCCAATGATCAAGCCAGTTCACAACCGAAGCAATTGATGAAAGAAATGGAGCTGACAAAAAGAATTTACATAAGCCTGGTAAAGTTAGGAAAACTCAGCTACTTCTGTTTGCTATTCTTCTCACCTAACATGAAAGATAAGCAACAAAAGATGTTGCACCAAAGTCACTCAGGTCTCCACCATTGGCTCCGGCTCCGATGTCTCTGCACGAGACCTACTCGACTGTCGCACCGAATTGAAAAGGATGTCCTTGATAACCTAGAAGAGGTTCAAGGGAATTATTTCAAGCTTAAGGCTATTATCAAGTGGTCAAAGTAAGCAGGGATGTCACCTGTGACATTAGACCATGGACCTGTTCCACAGTAATCTTAGCACTGTCTCTGGTGATTTTAGCAAGCTGTGATTCTTCCTGCAATTCAAAAAATGAGGTTGTTCAGTAACCAGGTGAACTCCAAGGAGGCAAGGACATGAGCAAACATGGAGATATCCAGAGCCATGGGAATATTGTTTCAAAATCAGAAGGTTTGACGATTTGGAATAAGAGAGAGGGCAGTCACTTGTCACGTGGTACTTAATCAATAAATCAGACATGAAAACTTGTACGTGATAAAGATATATAGCATTCAAGTCAGCCCACCACGTTCACCAGATGTTGGTTGTGACCATGAGAGCAAGTGAAAGAGAACACTCACTTCTTTCTTCCTTTGGGGAGGTGCGATCAAGGGTCCAAATCGAGAGTGAGCCAGCTGATTCTCTGCTTGCTCCAGCTTTTCAGCTACGTGGATATTGCAGAACGTATTAATACATAACAAGAGAATGTATTAATACATTACGGACTTTGACTTGGAAGTAGAGCTCAGTGAAATGCAACTAACAAAGTAACACATTACCTAAATCGGAAATCTGCCCAGCCACGTAGTCCCCATTGCCCAAGAGAGGTGAAGAAGAAAGTGTGTTCACCCAGTATTTATTCCACAGAAGATCCAAGAGGTGGGAATCGAGGGATGACTTGAAGTAAGTGATATCTAGAGAATAATACTGCAGAAACATAATAGCAATAGCAATAGCAATAGCAATTAAGTTGCAATCCTACGAATCGCCAAAAGATATAACAGTCTGAACCAAGATAACAACCTGCTTGCAATGGACACCAAAGTCCTCAATTTTGTTCAGAGGAATGGTCTGGTATTCGGAAACTGGATCATCTGGAGGCTTATATCCCTCGGGATATGTCCTGAAGGCTCCGATTTCAACCTTCCCAGCCGATACCGTCCTAGTTGGATCAATGACAACGGCCAGAAAGGGCTCCTGAAACTGCTGGTTTAGCATCTGGGTTGACACATCGATACCAGAGAGCCAGCATCCATAACCAGGATGTGAATGATACCACCCCACAACATTCTCTAGCCGTCCCGCCTAAGAAAAATGGCATCCTTGTTACGAAGAGACTATCTATGCATTGATATAGGAACAAATACGAGCAATCCAATCGAAACAAACTACTTTAAACAATGCACTTCACTCATTCAACCTAATGCTTCTGATTAAAATCCCCTTTTTGTTCCGTCCAAGAAATCAGTTCGAGAATACAACTCTAACTATGAGACATAAACCCTAGCAGCAGTTAGCTATAAGCAAACAGAAACCAATTGAACAAACGAAGACAAGCAAAAACGAAAAAGAGAAGCCCTAACCTGCTTGTTGGTCTGGGAATAATCAACCATATACTCGTAGGCATCAGCCTGGGCATTAACCCTAGTCTCAGTCCCTTCAACAGGCAAAGCAAAGGCGTCCATAACGATAATGGCGTCGCCGTCAGTCTTCCCTTGCATAAGCCCCATGACCTCGATAGTGCCACCGGATCGAGCGTGGACGACCATCTTGAGGAGGGCGAGAGCGGAGATCTTCACGCGCCGGAAGTAGTGAGGATCGTTAGCCCAGGGCTTCTCCTGCTGGAACTTGGCCTGAGCCGCATCGTCGTAGTAGAAGATGGCATCGGAAGCTGCTGCGTCGGAGCTGGACGACGTCGCCGGAGTGTCGACGGAGACGATGTTGTTCTCGAGTTCCCACGTCTTCTGCGCGATTTGAGAGGAAGAAGAAGGGTAGGGATCCATGGCGTTGCTTCAGTGAAGTTTGCGGGTTGAAATCTACAAGTGAGGGTTTAAGAGGTAAGGGCAGAGTTTATTGGGCTCAACTGACTGTAGGGCCCATACGGATGACAATGGACTATCAGTGAAGCCCGGCATTGGAACGGGCCCAGCCCAATTGGAACAACGATCTCTTTCGTAGTGGCTTAGGTAAGCATTTACGCGCAAAGCCACCAAAGGAAGCGAGCCGCTTATCATTTTCTTTCGATTCCTTCACCACCGTTTCCAGAGCCGCCGCTCGCCAGTCCTATAAACTTTGCCGCCGGCGCCTTCCTTTTTCCGATTTCTCCTTCTCCTCCTACATAATCTCTTCGTCTCTCACTTCTATCAATCTCGATCCCGCCGGTGAGTGCCAAAATGACGGGCCTGACCTGCAACTCTTGCAACAAAGAATTCAAAGACGATGCTGAGCAGAAGCTCCATTACAAGTCTGATTGGCATCGCTACAATCTCAAGCGCAAGGTTTCTCCTCTTTCTCCCCTTTTTCCGTCTCCTTCGTCTCCAGAATGAGGCAATACATGTATGATGGCGGGTTATGCTTCGCTCGAATTAGGGTTCATTCTCCTGCTCTTTGGCTGTTGATTCTATGGTTTATTTTCGGAAAGGTGTAAGTAGGGTTCAGGGTTTCCTTTCCCGTTCGATTGCTGTGGTTTCATGCTTGTTTGTACCTTCTGCTTCGGAAAAAGATTTACTTTGATCGTAAGTAGTTTGAATCACTGCTTTCTGGGAGAATTAGGTGTTTCCTTTTGTTTTGTAGTGAAGATGCAATCCTTGGACTTGGATTGCCTATGGAAGCTGTTGATAATGACTGCATAGTTTTGCAATTTTCAGCGTTCATTTCATGTGGAATCTGACATGGGTTGCCTTCTTCGTGTTGTTCCCCTGGAAGCTATCAGGTGGCTGGGGTTCCAGGTGTCACGGAAGCATTATTTGACGCTAGACAGTCAGCAATTGCTCAAGAGAAAGATAAGTCTCGGGAGACTCCAATGCTCTACACTTGCACCCTCTGTGGCAAGGGTTATCGAAGCTTGAAATCCCACGAGCAACACCTTAAGTCGAGAGGCCACATCCTGAGGGCTGCTCAGGGGACAATGCTGGAGAAAGAGGAAACAATAATCAAGCCACGCCCTCAACGGGTAGTGAACAGGCCTCCGCAGAAAGAGGAGAGTGAAGAAAGTGATGATGAGTGGGAAGAGGTTGACCCAGATGAAGTATTGGTTGATGATGCCACCAAGTCTTTGACTGGCTTGAATGTGGACGGAGTAGGCGCCAGTAATGATATGGATGAAGATGACGAAGAAGATGATTTGTATGATCCTTGTGTTTGCTTCATGTGTGATAAAGAGCATGACAATATTGAAGGCTGCATGGTGCACATGCATAAGCAGCATGGGTTCTTCATCCCCGATTTAGAGTATTTGAAGGATCCTAAGGGTTTCCTTACTTATCTTGGTCTCAAGGTAGCACTGTGTTCTGTTTGATTTATTTATGTATTTTTCTCCTCGTATCTTGTTTTGCTCAATCGATTCTGTTTCTTCCTTTTTTGTTTTCAGGTGACGAGGGATTTCATTTGTTTATACTGCAACGATCAACGTCAGCCATTTAACAGCATAGAAGCAGTTAGGAAGCACATGGAAGCAAAAAGTCACTGCAAAGTCCATTATGGTGATGGGGATGATGAAGAGGAAGTCGAGCTGGAAGAGTTTTATGATTATAGTAGCAGGTTTTGCTCTATGACATTCTTTCTTCCTCGTGACCTTTTTGTTGGTTTGGCTATGATCGAAATGAAACTCTGCTAACTCTCTGCTACATCATTCGTGTAGTTACATGGACGAGGATGGAAAACAGCTGGTTGCTTCGGGGGATATGGACAACACCCTGGATCTCGGGGGTAGTGGTTCGGAGCTGATTATCACTTCAAGGACCGATGGTAAAGTACTATCCAAAACACTTGGTTCCCGAGAATTCCTGCGCTACTACCGGCAAAAGCCGCGACCACCAGCAAGCGATGTTCCCATGACTGCCACCTTGGCTGCTAGGTTTGCATTCCCTCCTCTGGTTAGAATTTTCTTAGGTAAGCACTCTGTGTCAGTCCTCAACCACGGCATTCATTCCCTCTTATGGCCATTTCTTCCAGGTATAGGAGCATGGGATTGGCAACGGTCCAGTCGAAGGAGCAGTTTGTGAGGATGAAAGTGTTGAAGGCAATGAAGCGATCAGATGTCGAGGTGATGCGCACTAAGATTGGCCTGAAAAACAACGTTATAAGGAACCTGCCCAAGAATGTCCCATATTAGTCTTGCCGCACAAGAAATACAGCTTCAGCTACAGCTAATACTACTGGTTGATCTATATGTACTGGTTTTATTGTGTCCTACTAAAACCCTAAACATCAGTAATGTTTCTGTACCAATGTTCTTTTAACATGAATTGGATTTGCCCTTGGTAAAGAGCCGGTGTGCTAGATTTTGTTTAATCGACGGTTAATTTCCCTAGCTGCTATTTCCGTTACATGGCCATGCTATGGCGTTTGTGTTTGAACTGAAATCAGGTTGGTCTTGTGCTGCCAGAAGTCTCCATACTGCACGACAGAGCTGATTCCTCGCTCAGACATAAACCTTAGTTCATTCGGAGCTGCTCGAGGGATGTCTTGTTCGTTATTGAGGTGAACGACATTTCTTTGTTATTGAGGCGAACGATGTTTCTACGACGACCAAGCATCGAGATCCTCGTTACTATTACGACCCTTTTTGGCCTGAAGAAGGAACTTGAGTTCAGATTGCAAGCTTATAAGCCTACTGGGCAGAGTGGAAACATTGAATACAATAGAAACTACAATTTTATACAAGTCAGTGTGTGACTTTCAAGCATATACTCAAACTGTAGCAGGAAAACAGACTATGGGTGAAAATGAAGGGGAAAAGAAACAAAAGAAGAAAAAAAATCTAATCACATGAAGCAAAACCCCATTCATCCTCCCAAAACCAAAAGTTCCACTGACAACCACAACAGCAAGAAACGGGAAATAAATCTAGCCACCAACATATCCACATTACAACTGCCTGAATCGTCCTAACGCCATATCTGGACCATTTCTTTAAACAGCAACCCAGCTATCTAAAGCAACAAAGATGCAGCACTGTAAGCAGCATTCTTTTTCCAAAAAAGCTATCTGAACACTAACAGCACCAGCCGCACTTAACATTGTCGTCCTTCTTGACTTGTTTCAGTTTCGTCAGTGCACCGAGTCAGGCATCAGAGTGAGAGGTGAACTGAGGTGCCAAACAAGATGTATGGACCCAGTATAAGTGCCGAACCTACAAGCCTGCCATTATTCGTACCTAGTTATCATAGAACCGAGAACGGCGCCTGCGAGAACTGTAAAACAAGAGCCACCAGTAGTAGATTGGTAAGTGCAAAGACTTACCAAGTTCATAATTTGAAAGTCATGCAGCTAATCAGAATCACTTAATCCACATTCCGCAATATGAATTTTACTCTAACAATATAAGTGTGTTATGAGCCTGATTTGATCCTAACCTAATCGAAGAAAATATGGTTCCAAGTTACAAATCTGCAACTTTAACCACCTAAAACCAAGATTAATAGCTTCACAACAAATAAACAATAGCACTGTAAGCAGTGGGCATATAAAACTGACATCTAACAACACGGGCCGGCCTGTTCACTCGTTTTCTTTCTTTACATTTCTCCAGGAGATAATCAACCAGACCCTTATTGCCAATGCAGTTGGCTTAACACCTTCAATATCCATTTGGCCATAGTTTGGTACATCAAAATTCTCTAGCAGTTGAAAAAGACAATGCAAGCATAAACATTTTGACTACAGAAAAAAAAAAAAAAGGGGTTTATCTGACCTGCGGTGAATAGAATGGCCCCTGCTTGCACTTGGAAATTCATCATCCATCTCATCTAATCTATACTCTGCAAAGTCAACGGATGCAACAGAGCCCTCATCAGAGTTCGAAGTGTCATAACTCGATCGTCGGCTCCCTCTTCTGGTATCAGCTAGTCTCGCCCTTCTTCTATTCCTCGAGTTTCTAAAATTATCAAACACCTTATAGAAGATGCAGGAAGTCCACCAGTTGCCTTCATCCACATGAAAATCATCAAACTCATCTCCAGTATTGTCATCATCCCCGTACTCGATCACATAGTCTCCCAAAACCACTCCACGTGGCACTTCTGAATGTATTGTACTCAGAACATCTATTATCTCAGACGACTGCTGGAAATTCTCCCAGTCAAGCTGGCGTGCAGGGTCGATTTTAGAAGGACGAGCATGAGGATGCTCTAGTTTGGCATGCTGCTGAAGTTCCAAGTAAGCACCTGTAAACCCACATCGGTGTTCTTCACAACACCGCTTCTTCTCATCCAAAAGCAACCGAGCTTCCTGGACGACAATCCAGCCAGTAACTTCCCCTCTACACAAGGGACAAGCCAGTTTGACATCTTCGTCTGCTTCCGATGATGGCTTGTCGGAGTCAGCCGAAGGAGGTGACATGCCACATGCACTCTTGAAACGGTCCAAACAATTCGAATGCAAGTGGTCAGTGTCACATACAAAGGGCCTGCAGCCCTTGTGGTACGACGAACATTGAAGGAGCACAGAGTTGTGCGGGAAATCCAAGCAAATTGGACAGACTACATCTTCCCAATCAGTATCTAACTCAATCTCTTCTATGTGAAAACTTTTAGCAGTAAACCCTTTGCGAAAATAGTGTTGAATTGCCATAGTGACGATCTACAAACGGTATGGCCAGTATAGTCCCTCGTCTTCCACTTCTCACTTCAGATGTCACCCTGCTACTCAAAACTATGAGAACCCACCAAAAGGGTGCAACTAATCTGGCCCTTTAGATCAGGACGAAGCCAAATATATATCCCTGAACTTGGAGCAGGCACCCATCAGCGGAGAACTGGAAGCACCAAATAAAAGAGATCACTTGTAGTTACAACAGATAAACAGCCATTGGCCATAACCACAGGCTACGAAAACAAGTCAAGCGAAGATGTCAACAGCAATCAATCTATCCCAAGCGCAATCCGAGGCCAGAAGTTTGTCATCTCTTTGCAAGATCGTTCATTTCCTGGCCACCCACTTACAGTACAGAAATTGATGACAAACTGAAATTCAATTGAAGGAGAATAGAAATGGAAACGTGAATTGCCATATTCTTATCAAGTTCCTAGCTTTAAGACGGAACTGTACTGGGGAAAAAACAAAGCATAAAACTGTGACTACAAAGAGGAATATGCCGTTATACTTTTCTTTTTCCTTTTTTAAAGAGGGGTGTACCCAGGTAAGCCGTTTGAAAAGTATCTACCCAATTGACAATCAACCGCCGTCCCCCAGTTCCCAGCGAAATCAGAAGCAAAATCGAAGGAAGGTGATCGAAGATTCCACCATAACCAATCCGAGTAGAGCAATCACAGTCAATTAGAATGAAGGAGACGAGAGACCCAATCGGAGCAAGCACTATCAGCAACAAAAAAAAATTGAAGAGAACGAACGAACTGGAAATTGAGTCTGCCGCGAGAAATCAAAGCAATCGAGGAAGGATATAGAGAGAGAGAGGGAGAGTAGAAGGGAACTCGTACCTCTGTGATTGCAGTAGCTAGAGAAAGCAAGCAATCGGGGGGAAGGAGGGAAATCGGAAGGCGAGAAGAAGGGAAGAAGGATTCGGTATACGACGAGAGATGAGAAGGAAAAGGAAGGAGGACTTGTTCTTGAGCATACGCGCGTGGGATGCGTGAGGTGATGATGAGTTTTAACATCGGAGTAGTAGGTGAGTTAAAAGTTTGAGAGGCAATGAGGTAAATGGTTAAACCGGTTTAAATTGTTATGTCGGTTCTGATTGGATTGGAGTACCATTTTATAGGTCGGTTTTAATAAAATTTGCTAGGAGAATGAAAAACTATTAATATTGAATGATTTTGTGCATTTATAATCTCTATTTTAGGTAATTTACATTTATATTTAAATAAAATATTACATTACAAACAAAATGACAAATCATCGTATCTGAATTAAACATTTAACATGAACATTCAAACGATATACTCGAATCCAAAAAATTCTTTTTCTTTTGTCAATTATACGAAAATAACATCATTTTGTTTAGAGATAAAAAAAATAGATAATTTCGATCATATCACAAATTTTGACATTACTGTTCAATTTTAATTATTTTTATAAATTTTTACTATCGCTTCGTACCGATAATTTTTCAACGAATTTGATCGATTAAGGTCAAAGATAATGTAATTCAAAGACGAGTAGCACAAGACATAACTACCTCACTCCCTTCTCCTTTCTTTCGGTAGAGTGTAGCCCTCCTTCCTCCACTTTTCCCTTTTTCGGTTTTTCCTGTTTCCAATGTCCTTTCCTTTTTCTTTTTTTGTTAATGGTTGATGACTTTGAGAGTTTATGCCCTTATTTTTCTGTGCTTTGTTTTCTGAAGGGTTAATACCTTGTTTTGGCCCGAACTATGACCATATAATCAACTTTGGCCCGTGGTTTCAGAAATTAACATCCTGGCCTCAACTATGCAGCATATAGACTCAATTGGCCCGACACATAGTTTGACCGTCAATTTGGACGGTCAACTCCGTTGACCGTTAGTCAACATGCCATGTCATTGCCTAGTCAGCCTAAAAATTATTAAAAAAATTTAAATTCAAATTATTTTCCTAATTTCTATTATTTATCATTTTACAATTAACCAAAAAATAAAATTCTAAAAATATAAAATAATTTTTTTGTGATATTTGAAAATGATAAAATTTATAAATTAACAAAAAATTATCAAATTAAATTTTATAAATTTAAAATTTATGATATAAATTATATTTTGGTGCGAAGTTTTAAAAATATAAAATAATTTGATAATTTTTGGTTAATTTATAAAATTCATCATTTTTCAAATTATCCAAAAAAATGAAAAATCAAATTTATTTTATGTTTTTTATAATTTATTTTTGGTTAATTTAATAATAAATAAGAAAAATTAGAAAAATAATTTGAAATTTGTATTTTTTAATGATTTTTAGGCTGACTAGGCAATGACATGGCGTGTTGACTAACGGTCAACGGAGTTGACCGTCCAAATTGACGGTCAAACTATGTGTCGGGCCAATTGAGTCTATATGCTGCATAGTTGAGGCCAGGATGTTAATTTCTAAAACCACTGGCCAAAGTTGATTATATGGTCATAGTTCGGGCCAAAATAAGGTATTAACCCTTTTCTGAAATACATACAAATGTCAATTTGTTTGAATAGCTTCCTAGGTCAAAGATAATGTACTTGGGTTAATTGTATGGTTGGTCACTGAGATTACAAAAAACGTTCATGTTTGGTCACTGGAAATATTTAAATCCAACTTTGGTCACTCAAATTAGTTAAATGGTTCAAATTTGGTCACTCTCCGTCCAACTTCGTTAAATTTGTCTGATGTGGCAGTCAACCCTCAAAGTTGACCGTTAACTCGGTGACGTGGCAATTAAAAAAATAATAAATAAAATAAATTTGAGGGTTGACTGACCACCGTCATCCTCTACGACCTCGTCTGCGCCGGTAGCGTCAACCCCGACTACTTCGACTTCCACCGCTACACCACCCTCGACCCTTACGTCGACGACCTCCTCAACATCCTCCACGCCCACCGCGTCGACCGCCATGATCGGCCTCCTCGCCTCCACTTGTCTCGACACGAACAGCGTGATGTCCGGCCTCATGTTGAACAGCGTCCTGGTGAACTCCCTCACCGCCGCCGGCACGTCCGCCCCCACCGCCAGCGGCGCGAATCCCTGCACCCACGCCTCGTAATTCGCCTCCATCGCCGTGAAAACCTCCTCGATCCCGCTCTGTTCGTAGCCCCCGTGGTAGTCCTTGTCGTTCAGAAACCTAAATCCCCCACAAACCGAAACCTCTCTCAATTAGAAATTTCCGAAATCTGGATACGATTTCATTGAAAATTAAAGGGGGATTTTGAAATTGGAGACATGGGGGAGGCGCCGATGAGGATGAGCTTGGAGAAAACGTACACTCAACAATCTCCCCTCCTTAATATCATCATAACCTTTTGAACTTCACTCCAGATTTAAACTGTCTCTGGGTAACTTTTTTCGATTCCAGAACATCCCTTCGATTCAGTTTCTGGGCAAATATGGCGTTTTGGGCCATCACCAGGAAATCTGGAGCCATGATGGCCACCGCTCGTTACCTCACCAGGAGAAACATGACTCATTGTGGAAGCTGTTGTGGGAATCACCATTACCATCATCCACCATCCGAGATGAAGAAGCAACAGAGTTGTTCTCGGTCTTTCTCGGGATTCTGGAGATTCAACTCCACCAAAGCCTTTGCGGCGGCGACGGTTGATGTGTATTCCTGCGATGAAGACGTTACCTAAATCCCCCACAAACCGAAACCTCTCTCAATTAGAAATTTCCGAAATCTGGATTCGATTTCATTGAAAATTAAAGGGGGATTTTGAAATTGGGGACCTGGGGGAGGCGCCGATGAGGATGAGCTTGGAGAAGAGCTCGGGGCGGCGGATGGAGGCGAGGAGGCCGATCATGGCGGAGACGGAGTGGCCGACGTAGGCACAGCGGTCGACGCGGTGGGCGTGGAGGATGTTGAGGAGGTCGTCGACGTAAGGGTCGAGGGTGGTGTAGCGGTGGAAGTCGAAGTAGTCGGGGTTGACGCTGCCAGCTCAGACGAGGTCGTAGAGGATGACGGTGGTCAGTCAACCCTCAAATTTATTTTATTTATTTTTTTTTTAATTGTCACGTCACCGAGTTAACGGTCAATTTTGAGGGTTGACTGCCACATCAGACAAATTTAACGGAGTTGGACGGAGAGTGACCAAATTTGAACCATTTAACTAATTTGAGTGACCAAGGTTGGATTTAAATATTTCCAGTGACCAAACATGAACGTTTTTTGTAATCTCAGTGACCAACCATACAATTAACCCTAATGTACTTCAAATAAATTAAAGTTTTGTCTGGTATTTTCTAAGTTGAAGCTACAAAATCTCATAAGAAACTGAGCACTGGTTAGAGTTAATAATATGTTTACCATGATAACATTAGTGTGTAACGAATGACGTAATGAGTGATACAGAAGTTGGTTTCTACAAATACATTAAAATCGAATTAATAATTTACGTATATTTATCTTTGTCAAATAAAAATATTTCTCTCGCAATCATTTTGAGGATGATATTCTCATTTCGATTTAAAATAATTGTGATCGTACGGTTCTGTTTATAAGATTGTACAAAATTTTGTTCTTAGAGACTAGTTCAATGCTTTCTTCGTTCATTTCTGCTTTCTCCAAATTCTCAACCGCTTTCCCCTATATCAGCTACCTCCATTTTCTTTTGTCCTCACAACCACTAATGCCCAGGCAATTATGAAGTTTCCCAACTCTTTTCTTGCCTTTTAGAAAAGTCTACTCCAGTTTCTTCGTTTATATATACTTTCAACTTTTTACTAAAAGTGTCACTATTCACTATTTTAAGAAATTACTTAACTTTGAATCAAAACATGATAATTTGACCTCATCCTATCGAGTAGTATCCGATCTGAGCTTGGGAGGAGGCATGGGTACTACTTTCTACTCGACCGCCCATTTTGATCAGTGCTACCTCAATCTGTCTCAATACTTCACTTATCTTAACTCATATTTTCACGCATTAATACTTTAAGTATGTGTAAGACTTTATTTTCAACAAATTGGATTCAATTTGTCTACCTTTTATCGCTATTTTTTTAGGAACTAATTTCTTTATATTTTTTCACGAAAAGATAAATATTTTCTTCAAATAATATATAAGAATGGATCCTGCCTCAACTCATGCATGCACGAGTATTACCCGACCTCATCCACACTTGGTGCAGGACGGATATGAACATTGAGATACTCGTCCCACTCCATTGTCATCACTTGATAAAAGGAACATCACATCTTCCTAATTTGACTTGTGTTGGTGTTTGTGAAATCGTGTCTAAAATAATAGATAGTTTTTAGTGGTATGAAATCATTGAACCTCCACGTCTTTTGGTACAGTAAAACCTTGATTTTAGTGAACCAACTTATCCATCATCTCACTCGAACTTGAGCACAATTCCACGCGCACTTGACTAACGTGATTCCATTCAACTTCGTGGAAAGTCACTTGCTCCTCGCAGCCCAGACTCTCCACCACCACCCAGAAAAATGGAGAGTAGTCACTAACACTAATCGAGTAAACGAAGAAAGAAACAACAAACACTTTAGTGTAAAAGAAGAAAGAAACAATAAACACTTTGAAAATCATACATACGATACAATACAGGACTCTACACAAAACGTGGTCATCGACCCACATGCGTAGACAACTACCCTCATTCCCTCTTTTGCAAGTTACCTACGTCAACTGTCCTCAAAAGTGTACACAGCTCAAAATTGCAGGTCCTCCTACTGGATTATCCGGGTGACGATGCCGATGGCAATGGTCCTCCCCATGGCTCTGAGGGACGCCCTCCCGAGGGCTCTGCAGTTGGAGTATACTTCCACGCAGACCGGCTTATTCAAAACAACCTGCAAATACAGCAGATAAGGTCCAGTTCAGTTCACCACGACAAGCATTCGCCGAAGAAAGAGAGAGGCAAGTCATGGGTTTGTTAAGATTTTTTTTTCGTTTTAGTTTCTATGTATCTCGAGTTTCCCCACCTCGAGCACTGCGCTTTGCTTGGAGAGAAGGCATCGGGGTGATCTCTTTGTCTCCTTCCCCGACTTCGGATCGAGTATCGATACTATTTTCGCTACCTTTCCTGCCTCTTGTGCATGATGTATGTGAAACTCAACCTGCGCATTCAACACTAAGGATCAGAACTCAGAGATCGTGACAATTGGACAGCAGGAAAGCTAGGGAAGGATGAGCTAGTTATTTACCTGAGAGCCGTTGAGAATAGGGAGTGCTAGTTCTTCTAAAGCACGCACTTTCAGCTCAAAATGCTTTGCAACAGCAACAGGATAGTCAGGGTGGCATACAACACCTCCAGGCACGACATTGTTACTCAGATCGAGTCCTTGGAGATTGAGAGTTACATTGTCTCCTGCTCTGGCAACAGTAGAGCTTTGAGAATCACGCTCTAGGGACTTTATTGTTCCCACTTCTCCAGAAGGCATCACCACCACCTACAATCCAGTGGAAGCAAAAATGTAGGTACATTAAAAAATGCATTTATCTTCTTAACAGACACAGATAGGCGCCCCCACTAAATGGAAGATGAAAAAAATCGAATGCTGGTATGATGGTCATACAGACACACAGATATACATATTCTCCCTCAATCAAACTAAGAGTTTACCAATGAAATGTAATGGCCACAGCTTCATGAATTCGTAAGGGACAATAAAAAAACAAACAGAATGAAAGGAAGCAGGGATTATGAATGTAGTGAGAGATAGAGTTGTGCACCTTCAATCCACTGCGAAGTGCTCCAGCAACTAATTTTCCGCAGACCGACACCTGACCTTGTGAAGATGATTTGGTTACATCACATATGGGCATCAGTAGCGGTTTGGCAAAATCTCTGGCTGGAGGTTGCAGAGAATCAATTGCATCTAACAAATAAGGCCCTCTATACCTGGAATTCACACGGCTAATCAATAATCCTCAAGGCCAAGGTGGAACATCCATACATGATAATATAAAAAATAAAGTACAAGAGAGGAATGAAGTGGTTGTAGAAGGAAAAGAGAGAAACTCACCAAGATAATAAACGAGCATCAGAAGGAGCAGCCACTAGATTTTGGTTTTCTATAGCGCTCAAAGGAATCCAGAAAATACATGATTCCTTGAAGCCACAAGAACGAAAAAATGCACCAAGTTGTGTTACTATAAGATCAAATCGATCTTTTGAGTATCCCACAGCATCCATTTTGTTGACAGCAACTATAAGTTGTTCCACACCAAAGCTTCTAATCAGTAGGACATGCTCCCGTGTTTGCCCTTTGGAACCATCGAATCCAGCTTCAAAGGCACCATTAGATGCATCGATCACTAGAATAGCAGCATCCGCTTGTGTTGCACCAGATATCATGTTTGGAACAAAATCTTTATGACCAGGAGAATCCAGGATGACAACGTGATACATTTTGGAATCAAAATAGGCAACTGCCACGTTCATGGTAATTCCCCTTTCCCGCTCTTCAGGGCTCTCATCTAAAGCCCATGCATAAGCAAAGGAACTCTTTCCCTGCTCAAATAGAGGCCTTGTCAATCCCATAAATTAATGAGCTTGCTTAGGTATAAATGCAAATAAAAATATGATTCTAGATGCTATTACCTGTATCTTGGCTTCTTTTTCATATTTGTGCATTTCTTTTTTAGTGATTCTTCCCAAAAGATGCAGCAGTCTTCCTGACAATGTTGATTTTCCTGAATCAACATGACCAACCTGGAATGACCATTAAGAAACTGTCTTGATAAAAAAAAATTCAGCAAAAGAGAAAGTAAAATCAATAGAAATTGAACCCACATAATGTTCCTTAGACTATATACACATAACCTACAATTGATAGGTTCCAAACGAGAGAAAAAAACTTACAATTGCAAGGTTTAATTGAGTTAATGTATCGTTAGCCTTGTCGGGAAGCATCCATTTATCAGGATGGTATTCTGCAATTGACTTGGCTTTTCTGGAATCAAGAGCATTGGAATTCCCGGGTTGGTCAGACAAGGATATCTTCCCGAAATTGCTGGTGGGAGCCGTTCGCTTTTGACCAATGAAGTCATCATCTGCATTTTTATGTTTTTCTTTAATCTTCAATGGGGTAGAGCTACCAGAAGCTTCATCACTACGTTGACCACTGAGGACGCCCTTCTTCGAAGAATTGTGTCCCCCTAAACCACCATCACTTCCATGAAATGTTTCTGCAGGAGGACGATCTGAATATTTGGAATCTAATTTTCCATTGACTGCTGTCTCAGTTGAATTGTTTGCATCCAGTTTACCTCGTTTCCCGTTTGATTTGGATGACTTTTCAGACCTCTGCGTGGTAGAATGTGCACTTTCTGCACCATTACAGTCTTCAGCTACAGTTGAAGGCTTTACATTACCTGCACAGACCTAAGCACTTCAGAAAAAAAGGAACAAAACATATGGGCATGCTTGTGTAAAGCATACCCATTTCACCCATTTACAAATGTGTACCAGTTGAAGCAAACGTCTGAATAATACCAACAATTTCCTAAATCAAGATAAGATGACCCATGCAGATACTAAATGGTTAACATCCAGACCACATAACAGCATTTATTGCTTCAAATATAAAAGCATACCTTTAGTAAGCAATTTTGAGGACTGTAACCCAATTGAAACCGTATCATCAGGAGATGGAGCATCAAACTTGAAAGCAGCTGCATGGACAATGCCAAGGAGGTCAGGTGTCGATAAATATAAAAGTTGGCAGGAACTACCACTAGCCATCTCATACAAATAACTGCTAAGCTTAAATGATTCTCAGGCAAAATAAAAGCAACACTCATTGCTCTAGAACAGTTCAGACAACTACAAGCATTATTGAAAGCAAGGAAATTTCCTTGGGCATTTCCACATTTGTGAAAGTCATTCCTGCTTTTCATCACAAAGTCATCCTTCTGCAGTTGACCAACCCCGGCCTTCTGGGATGTCTGATGTGGCAATGATGCAAAAAGAGACTTTGCCAATAATGATACTCCAGAGAATTTTCCCTCACTGTCAGCTGCAACAAATACATCTAATCTATGATGGTATGATCAAGTCAAAAGGATTCCTAAATATCAAACTTAGCAATCCAATTTTTGGCATATGGCTTAATGCCAAAAATATCATCATATATGGGCTTCAGTTTTCAAAAGCAATCATCTGTTTGCACTCTTTATACCCTGATTGTTTGAAACTAGAGTTGGTTCAATAATGATGACAACAAGTTAAATAAGGAAGATCAGTTCCATAACAGGAAACCATAATTATAGCAGCAATATCAAACCCAAAAATCCAAAATATTAGTCAGCTTGCTATCTACATTCAAGAAAGACATAGATATGAGAATTTAAAAAATGAAAACCGAAGCAGGGGAAAATTGGTGGAAGATGCACCTGTTTTCTTATTGCTGTTCTTAAAATCACCAGCCACGGGGTTGCGAACAACACCACAAATATCACATGCAGACATGCTCTCGTCATTGTCATATGTACAAATAGAGCAGCTCCACAGCTTTTTAGTTTTTTGATGAGGCTCTTCTGCTTTTGCTATCATAAATACGAAGTCAGTCAATTAGATTACAATCTTTGTACAGCCGCAGCCCGACAACCGAAGTACCATTTTGAACAAGAAACAAACATTCAGAAGATTTGCTTTTACAATAAAACTTCTTGTGTATTGGTTTGAAAAATACACACGCAGAGTTCCTAGGGTTTAGTGAGAAATTTTATTCCAGCAGCCCTGCTTAGATTGATTCCTGGTTGTAAATGTTGAAGGCTTTCATATACCTACCATGCTACCCCTATTGGATAAAAACTAACCTACAAATAACCCTGACGTGCAACCTATTAAAAGGTTATACTAGTACAATTTTGATACCATAAGATATAAATTGCTTGGAAAGAGCACCAATGGTGCAACCCGTTAAAAGGTGATACTAGTACGATTTTGGGACCATAAGAAAATAAATTTGTTGAGCAAGAGAAGCGATTATCACCAATAGTTAACCTTTGATAGCAGTGCATATATGCATACATTGTAAGTCCCACTTCCAAAAAGGTAATCACGAGGTCTTTCTATATCTGATCACTGTACCAGACACAAAAGATACTCCCTTGGATGTCTTCACACTTAATCCCTATAGTCAATACCATTTATTTCCATCCCTACCAGAGGGAGACTTCTATGGATATGGTCACTAAAAATGCCAAGGAGAAGAATGAGTACACCAGGAGCATATCAGGCACCAATGGAAGAGGAATACCCGAGTTTCAATAAAAGGGTTGCAAAAAATATGACTTGGGTACAACTACTCTACTAGCTGCATTTAAGAAGTTCCATCAAGAATGTGCCATTCATAGTAGCTTGCAGATAATAACTCACAAGTTCCACCTTCAAAGTTGAAATGTACAAAGCTCCTACATACAAATGGAGCAGCAAAACTCACCAGGACTTTCTACACTATAATCATAGTCATCTTCATAGTCATAATCTTCATAACTATCATAGTCTTCATCGATATCAACTCCGCGGTTAACTTTACGAGGCATGGCCCTGAAATACAAAAATGAAAGCCAAAGGCACAGCTTTATTAGAATGGTAATGCATAACAATTTCATTCATTCATCATAACCGAAACACGCTAAGACAAGATGAGAAGAAGGGACATCAGCGAATCTCATACCCCAAAGTTTTTATTCAATCGCGGGGGAGAGAGCTTTAACGGCTGGACATACCCAGAACCAATCGGCGTAAAAAATAAACCCCTAAGTAGTTGTTAACTCAATCCACGTTGGTAGAAGGCCGACCGGAAGAATGTTGTTCCAAGCACACTGCTAGCCCAATCTTCTATACCAGAACAAACCTTATCAGAGACCCTCGAATTGGCGTGCTTGTCCCCCAATTACTGCGTGAATGACCACGGGAATGATGAGAACCGAGAAAAATGAAAACAAAGAGGGCATCAAATTGGATTAAACTACAAAACCTTCAATTCAGAATGGAAGGAACTGAAATCCCAAATCTAACAAAGCTGAAGGAGGCGCAAACGGATTTGGGTAAATAATTGAATGCAAGAATGAGAAGCTGCTCCCGAGTCCCGCCATAAGAACAACGAACGGAAGATCGCGACGAGACGGCAAAGAAAAAGCAGCAGAAGAACGGGAGAGGAACTCAAGCCGCAAGCCCCAAGCCGCGGATGGCAATTGGAACACAGAAAACTTTTACCTTGGAGCGATGGGGGATGAAGTTGAGATGGGGAAAACTGAGAGCTCGGGCGGCGAAGAAGGCAATGAAGAGCGGCAGCAAGGTTTCGACGAGGAGACGCCGCCGGAGGTCCTCTCTCAGAACTTCAGAATGCTGCGAGCGCCCTATGCGATCAGTGGCATTAGGCAAAGCAAACGATTAGTGAGGCAACCTCCTCTCTACTCTTCAAATTATCTTTTTTTTGGTTCTCCGAATGTCTTTTCACTTTTGGATTAAGTTGTTTATTATCCTTACGGTCCCCTACATTATGGATTTAACAAACGCAGCCCTCGTACTAAAAAATTTGAACAAATAAGTCTATGGACTATGTTTTGTTGTAAAAATACTCGGGTTAATTGCATGGTTGGTCACTCATATTACAAAAAACGTTCAAGTTTGATCACTCGAAATATTTAAATCCATTGGTACTTCAATTTACTGAAATGGTTCACGTTTGGTCACTCTCCGTCCAACTCCGTTAACTTTTGTTGATGTGGCAGTCAACTCTAAAAGTTGACCGTTAACTTAGTGACGTGGTAACTAAAAAATTATTAAAAATAAAAAAATAAAAATTTATATTTTCCATCTCATTATTACATCCGCACGATCTACTTTAGCTCCTCTGGCCTCCCAACGAACATGTCCGGAAATCAGCCGCAGTAAGGCTGCGAACTCCGCCTTTGGCCGCGCCAGCTCGAACTCCGTCGCCAGGAACACCTCCACAATGTAGCGCTTCCCGCCGCTGAGGTTGACGTCGATGTAATCGTGCCGCCCGCCGTACCGCACCCATGTTTTCTTCTTTTTTTTGGTAGAAAGATAAACGCATTGCGTCTAGTTTACATTAAAATTACGATCATGGGAAGTTCCCAAAACATCATGGCTGAGCCATTGGACAAGGTCTCTATCGCACACATTGAAGCGATGTGTGCCAAAATCGAAATCGTGAGCCTTGCTAGCCAAGTAACCGGCTGCAAAATTTGTTTCCCTAAACACATGGGAAACACAAACCTCCCAATCAAGATTAAAAAACAAATCGAACTGCTTGGCTATGCTTCCATGACGATGATCATCTCTGTCACATTGTTTGATGATGTCAACAGCAGTAGTAGAATCAAGCTTTAACTCAATCTTTTGGTAACCTTCCTTCTAAGCAATCTTGAGGCATTCCAAGGCACCTTTGAGTTCTGCAGCCGTGATAGAGCATGAACCCAAGTTGCAGACATAAAGCCCCTTTACATCTTCCCAAATAGTCTCTGAAGAGACCCCCTGCTACTGCTTTCCCTGTCTGAGTGATAACTGATCCATCAGACTGAATTTGGATCCAATCTTCTCTGGGGGTTCCCAGCAAACCATTCTGCTCTGGACAGTAGCAGAGTTAGAACAAGTGGTCTTCTGCGCGTGGCGTTTAGCTTGTTCAACAATGCAGAACCACACTTGAATTCTAGCAATTAAACTGTCCCTGGAGAATTTTCTGCCTTCCATCACCTCCTCATTACGTTGCTTCCATAAGTGCCAGATGATGATGCCAAAGTCAGTACCTGTCCCTTGCTGCCTAATATTGTCCATCAGCCAATCATGCAGGGGAAGGTTCATGCTGTTAACCACACATTCGCCATTAAACTTATCCCAAATACTCTTAGCTCTGCTACAGCTTCTGAGAATGTGCTCGATGGTTTCATCTTGGTCCTTGCAGAAGTTGCATTGACTGTTGGTGGAGATCTTTCTTCTGGTTCCTTCCTTGTTAGTGAGTATCCTGTCGTGCATAACAAGCCACAAGAAGTGCTTGATTCTATTAGGGCCCTTCCATTGCCAGAGGTCTTTCGAGCAGCTTCCAGGTTCATCATCCTCTTCCCCAGCAACAAGGTTGTATGCTGATCTCAATCTGAAGCGACCATCCTTTTCCATTCCCCAAATGTTAACATCATCTCCAAGGTTTGGGTTTGGGGGCTCAATACCTGCAATAGCCACAAGCATTTCATTAGGTAACATAGGTTTGAGTCTGCCCCAATCCCACTCACCATTATGAGAAATCCAATCAGCCACCACAGTGTTCCTGTCATCCTCAGAGATGTCCCCAAGTGCAAACTCCTCCAGGATGATATCATTGTCCACCCATGGCTGAGTCCAGAAGTTGGTGGTCTGGCCATTTCTGACACTCCAACAAGTGGCCTGCTTCATGATGTTCATTGCTTTGACAATGGCCTCCCACAGGTTAGAGTGGTTGCTCTTCTTCATGGATAGGATCTCTCCATTGCTGTGCTTGAAGTATTTGCCCTGTAAAACTTGAACCCACAAGTCAGACTCCTTATTGAGCATATTCCAACCGAGTTTAATCATAAAGGCCATGTTCATATTTCTAGCAGATTTCAGTCCTAAACCACCAAATTCCTTGGGCTTGCAAATGGTTTCCCAAGAAACCAAGTGTGTTTTCCTTCCCTAGACCCCCACACAAAGCTCCTAACTTTTCTGTCAATGAGATCATAGATAGAGGCAGGGAGAAATGTGGTTTGCATAGCATAGGTGGGAAGGGCATTGAGGATTGAGGTGGCCAGGGTAACTCTGCCAGCCAAAGACAAAGTTCTGGCTTTCCAGTTTGTTAGCTTTTGGTCGATTCTGTCAATGATGTAATTGTAAGTGGCTTTGTTGATACGACCATGTAGGACTGGGACTCCAAGGTATCTTCCCAGATCCTTGGTGTCTTGGATTCCCAACCTCTTACCAGTTTCAGTCCTGTTCTGGTTCTTGACATTCCTGGAGAAGAAAACTCTGGATTTCTCTTTACTGACAGCTTCCCCTGATGCTTGGCAGAAGCATTCCAAGCACTGGAGCACAACATCAGCCTGTCTAGGGTTAGCTTCAGCAAACAACACAAGATCATCAGCAAAAAATAGGTGGGAGAGGGCAGGCCCTCCTAGAGACAACCTAATAGGATTTCATTTCCCATTTTTAACTTCAATATCAATACAGTGACTTAATCTTTCAATGCAAAGGGTAAAAAGATAGGGAGAGGGGGGGGATCCCTGTCTTAAGCCTCTGGAGGCCTTAAAACTTTCAGTTTCACCTCCATTCCACATAACCTGATAGCTAGTAGTAGTCACACATTTCATAATCAGATTGACAGTGCTGGCAGGAATCCTAGCAGCAATGAGAGTTTCCTCCAGGAAATCCCACTCAATTCTGTCATAGGCTTTAGCTAAGTCGATTTTCAGGACCATAAAGCCCTTCTTCTTTCCACTTTTCCTTGCCATTGAATGAATGGTTTCCTGCAAGATGATGATGTTATCAATAATGTGGCGCTTGGGAATGAAACTGGATTGGTTTTTATTCACAAGCATAGACATTAAGGGTTTCAGTTTGTTAGCAATCAGTTTGGCAATCACTTTATAGCCAACATTGCATAAGCTGATTGGCCTAAACTGACTCATCGAGGTGGGGTAATCAATTTTGGGAATCAAAGTGAGGAGGGTCTCATTAATGCATTGAATTCTATCTGGGTTCCTAAAACAAGAAGAGATGAAAGCACAGAAATCATTGCCCACAGCATTCCAACATTTCTGGCAGAAGATGGCCTGAAAGCCATCTTTGCTAGGAGCTTTAAGTCCATTCATCTCCATAACCACCCCTCTGATTTCCTCAGTCCTAGGGAGGGTGCACAGGCTGGTCACAAAACAATCATCAAGTTCAGGAAAGCTAGCACCCATGTTTTCTCCCACCGTGATTTGCAGAGCCCTGCTTGATTACAATCCCCCCAAACCATTTAATTTAATTCAGCAGCATGATTCCCAAGTACAACTCAATTGAATCGGAAATTAAAGCAACTAGAATCGAATCGCTTCCAAGCCGGCATTGCGTAGATGGGTCATCAAACGAGGTTTGAATCCATCCGAAGATCTCTCCCCAATTTCGCTAGCCAGATCTCGTTCCGTCAAGGAGCGGATCCTCTCTCGCTCTTCATCGTCTGTAGCTCCTTTGAGCAGTTTCTCCAACTCAATAATCACCGTTTCCCCAGCGCACCCGCCCTCGTGATCCCCCTTCGACTCCTCGAAATCCATATTGTGGGACTTTTCTCTCTTTTCGGCGTTGGGCCTGCAATCGAAGAACGAGTTCACGAGATTGGAGACAGATGGCGTGAAATGCTCGCTGCCGCTGCTCTCGCACGGAGCCTTGTGCTTAATGGCCAGAGCGGCTTCGTCGAAAGCGGCAGCCAGCTGCCGGCTGAATCTTCTAGTCATTTAATTTCTCCCCTGTCGATCGAGCCGTGATTTGGGGAGGGTTATAAATATTAGAGGGGAGAATGGGCGCCAAGCAACTGATCATCCGCTATGGATTGGCGAGGGGATGAGGAGAGAATGGCGATATAATCATTGTCTTTGTGTTGTTAATTGGGGAATGTACAACACATAGATGAATGAGCTGAAGATGTCGATATAATGTCCTATAGAGATACTCGACCTCTATTGTAGATCCCGAGCTAAGAACCAGCTCCCGCAAGATTGGATCCAAGTTCTTGAGATTTTGGCTCCTCTGTTGTAACCGGTTTTCCATCCACTTTTTAATGAATTCAGTGTCTTCATGTAAAAAAAAAAAAGAGATACTCGACCTCCTTCCTTATTGTATGGACATGGCAGAGGGAAGGAGAGAGACGGTAATTTTAAAATTTTTAATTTTATTATTTTAAAATTGCCACATCATGCATTTAACGGTCAACTTTTAAAGTTGACCGCCACATAAGCAAAAGTTAACGGAGAGTGACCAAACGTGAACGGTTTCAACAAATTAAAGTACCACCAATGGATTTAAATATTTCGAATGACCAAACTTGAACGTTTTTTGTAATCTCAGTGACCAACCATACAATTAACCCAAAAATACTCATTCTAGAATCTAGACATAGCCATAAAAATATTATTAAAGAGTTGATCGATACAACAACAAAATGTTCTCGATATTCATATAATTTCGTATGCAACTAAAATTTTATGATAGCAATGGAGATATTTATAATCACAATTGGTCGTAGCAAGATAAGAATTTTGTGTTATACTAGGATTTCTTCTCTAACTAGGAATATGTAGTCCAGAGTGCTTTTACTGTCTTCTGATAAGGATTACAAGTCGTGCTACGAGTACAGATATTATCAAGCCTATTTGGAATCCTTTTTCCAAAAGAATTCCCAATATATGTATGAATGAGATTGATAATTTAGTCAATAATCCCTAGGCGCTACTCATTGCATTCTTATACCGTGTTAATAATCCAAAACGATTATAATTAACAAATGGATATGTAAAAACACATCATCGTTATCCAACCGGCTAGAGGTTTGGTACCTACTCCCAACAATGCCTTCATAATATGTTACCATTATACGAGTCAACAAAATTTATCCAAACCAAACACCCACCCATAGCCATAGACATGTAAATCTCAAAACATGGTTTCTCACTCTTGTGTGGTCTAACAAACACCAAAAGCGGCAGACCGACTCATTGGAACATGACCCTTCATTTCATAACTCAAAATATTGAACAATATAACCATTAGATGACACATTGGAACATGATTCATCAGCTTGTTGTAATCTGCCTTGCTTAGCTTAATCTCCTGTTGAGAGTCATCTAGAGTTGTGGCAGGAGTTGTATTGGCATAGGATATGTTTCTTGCAAGGCCCCTTGCAAGAGGATTTGAAGGAAAACAATGCTTTTGGAAGCATTTCTCTTCGGTGTGACCTTGCTTCTTGCAATAGGTACACTCCACAACTCGTCCAGAAGGACCGGATCCCCTAAGGTTCATCCATGGAGGCCGTCCATGCTTGTGGTAGCACACATTTTCTAGGTTCCCCTGCATTTGCAGTGAGTGCAATATGACCTCACCCTTTCTGTTGGTGGTATGTTGCCTTGGGATGCCAATTGTCGACGTCGCTCTCTCCACTCAGTCCCAATGCCACTTTCTCATTCGTGCGTGAAGGTATTCCAGGGGGACGAGAGAACACAGGTGTAGGTTTCCGTGAATTGCGACGTGGGGTGAGTTGACAATCGAGGACTTGAAAAGAGACCGAGGGAATCGACGATGGTGTGGATGGATTCTGGGGCTGTGATGCGATGGGGGTGTGGGATTTGTTGATTAGGGTTAGCAAGGTGACGACAGGACGGGGTAGTCGATAAGATTGGGGAAATTATAATAAGTTTCTTAATAATTATAAACAGGGGGCAATATGGTCATCTTGGATACCCTTTAACAACCCACTAACAAAAATGCCAACGGAAGGATACAGTTTTGTTACATTGCGATAATACAAGAGTATGAAAGTGCAAAATTATAATAGAAGGGCACATTTGTTAACTAGCAATAATAGAGAGGTATAAAATGTTGTAGATGTATGGTTTTGGAGTGGGCTACGTAGTCGTGGCTCGACGCGGCCCAACAAAACCGATGGCAAGCCCATATCCAAATATCTTCGTTAAGGTCCGGCCCACTTCTAAAGATTTTCCACTTGGGCCCTTTGGGGGACAAGCCCAGACCGCCAAATTGGCGGTACATTGAGAATCCGAAAAGTTTTCAGGGCGGGAAAAAAACATTCACACTTAGATCTCGCGCGGGAAAATGACATCTCCCGCCCAAGAAAGGCTGAAAGAAGAATCCGATCTGACCCATATTCTGCTATTCCGCTTTCCCTTAATCTCTCACCAAATCGGCAAATCCTCCCTCGACGATTCAGGGCTCTCTTAGGGTTTTCGAAAAATGTTCTCCAGCAGCCAATTCGACGGCGGTTTCATGGCCTCCCAGTCGACTCAGATGGGCGATGGCACTCCATCTGCCGCCAAAGTAAGCCCTCTCTCAATCTCACAGCACCCTTCTCCTATTTTTCTTAAACCATTTGATGCCCGCCCCAAAACTGGATACTGCCATCGAAGTTAATGACGCAAAGTTTTGGTCTTGTTGCAGACTCGTGATTCTCATGGTTTGGTCCCCGCTACGGTGAAGATGATCAGCCAAGCTTCTCAGTCCGGCGACGAGAAGTCAAAATTCGCCATCAACGGGGTGGATGTAACCAATGTAACGATCTTAATTCTGTCATGTTGTGGTTTGGTTCAATTTTTTTTTTCTTTATGAAGATTTTGAAGTTGTGTGATTGGTTTTTGTTTCCTTCAAGGTTACTGTGGTTGGAATGGTGTCTGATATAGTGGAAAAGGTTACTGACATGGGATTCATAATAGATGATGGAACTGGCCGCATTGGTTGCAAGAGATGGTACTTATTCCTCCATTGCTCTTCTTTTATCAATCAAATGGTTAATTGTTATGGTTGCTTTCCCACAACTTGGTATTGCTATATGCCCATCATTCATATCAGTATATGATTCTTTGAAATTGAGTTTCAGCACAAACCCAGATGAATGTTATCAGCAATCAGCGGTTCTGCCTCTTTGTTCTGATATCTGTAAATGTTTTGCTATTAGGGTTAGTGACGGATTTGACAAAATGGAAGCTGAAGCAATACAGTGAGTCTAACCAACCTCTTGTTGATCTTAGTATTAAGCACATATAATGTCAATCTTGCTCATGGCTGAGAGAGATATGTTGAGCTGATCTTGATTTGGTTTTGCTGCAGGGATGGGAAGTATGTTCGTGTTAATGGTCACCTGAATTCCTATCAAGGAACAACTAATCTGGTTGCTTTCTCTGTAAGGTATGAATCGAGTTCCCCCTTCCCACTAACAAGTTCTTTAAGGACTGAAAGCTCAAGCAAACTAAACCATATTTAGTTCCAACAAATGTTTGCTCGCAACATAAGCTGTGGCTCTTCAGTTTGTTCGTCCTTCTATCATGAATGTGATTGTGATAGTTATCAATCATAAACCTATATCTGTAATGGAACCTAATCCAGCTAGGGATTGGTATGTTTGCAGGCCTGTGACTAACTTTGATGAGGTCACCTTCCACCATATCGACTGCATATATTCTTATCTGCAGAACACCAAAACAAAGGTAACTCCATAGTCACATGTTGAATTTATTCAACCTATATTTACAAATTTATGATGACTAAATTGGGTACCTATCATTGTGCAATAACTGAAGCTGCCTCAGAAGGGAGAATCCTCTTTCAGTACCCCTGTGAAGACTGAACCAAATGGCTTCCAAACGTCTTCTATGGACCATGTATGAAATCCCATCCACTAACATGTTTGTTTTGTTTCTCACTACTCTCTTGTCCCCTTTACCGTTTGCCATAAATGTCTAACTGACACTTCTCCTTGCAGTTGTCGAAACAGTACAGTATCGACGGATTGAAGGACTGTGATCAGTTGGTCCTCGAGTGTCTGAAACAAAGCTCAGACATGTAAGTTTGTTTCCAAATACTCCCCCCACCATTCTGTACATTTACCTCTAGTTCTTAACCTCTTCTGAACAATGAGATTGGTAATGAGCTCGAGTAACCAATGGTTTGACAACTTCCCAGGGGACAAGAGAAAGGGATGCACGTCGACGAAGTATGCAAACATCTGAAACTCCCACTGGAGAAGATCAAGTAAGTCATCTCATCCCCTACCAATACCATCTCCACCCTGTTTCTGCTCTCTCTAGCCAGAATGTAGCAACGAACATCTAGTGCGCCTAAACCATTCATTCAAACAATTTCTGTTTATGCAGGGAATCTGTTCGATCTCTTGAAGATGAAGGTCTGATTTACTCAACGATCGACGAGTTCCACTACAAAGCTACCTGATCTTTCAGGACTCACAAGTGGCCTTATTATGCTGATTATATAGTACCCTCTCACTCTTCTCAGATTCTGTCCTGGTCTTTTATTTGGTAGCATGTGTAGTTAGCTATATTTCTTGCGCGGCAAGTGACAATCTAGGTTTTCTCTAAGTCAGTTTATTATCTGTTAGAGCAGGGCAACCTGCCTGTCTCCCCATTGTCGTCAACTGCTGAGCTTGGCATTGGCCATAGGTAAGCTTGCAGCTTGGGAAGTGATTGCAGACTTGCAGTTGGTGTTGGTTCACCCCTTTCTATCTCAATATATTGCATAGTGAATCAGTCATTTCGGGCTTCGAACCCACTACCTAGTTTCACGAAGTCGTTGGGCCATTTTTGGAAGACCGGCCCATTTTCCTACAATCGGATCCAAGCCCAATGGATCAAACAGAAGTGATTCTCCTGCAACATTTTGGACAAGGGTGTCACTTCACTGCACTTTTTCCACATATTCCACCATCCAAATAAACCAAATGATAATTAATTATTATAAGATAATGTGGATTTATTTAATCAATTAACAATCAAACAAAAGTAAAAAAAAAAAAATGATTGTGGCTGCGGGAATCGCCAGCGTCTCACTCGAATTGGCAGCTAGCTAAGCAGAGCCAAGTAAAGGATACGCTCCCCCCCCCCCCGGCCACCTGGAATCTCGGATGTCGAGACACGTGGCATTGTGGGGCCCAGAAAGAAACAGAGTGGACACTCTTCACGTGACCAGCCCACCACCTCCATCCTCCTCTGCTATCTTCTCACCTGGACACGGTGGAGGATCGGCGGCTCTGCTTGGTTGGTTGCTTAGTGGCCGTACTTTTTTTTTTCCTGGGAAAGCGGTGGGTCCGGCGCCCACATGGCCGCAATCTGCAGATGCTCATGGATGATGATTATCGAATGATTTGAGCAATTGTCAGCTGATAGCAACGTCGTCCATCCCCGGAGTTTACTGTATCGCCGGCCGGCGGAGTCTTGCCTGGAATCTGGGATGTCGACACGTGGCTTTATGGTGGGGCCCGGGAGAGGGGGAACACATGTGGCCGCTCTTCACGTGAACAGCCACACCATTCACAGCGTTGGACAATCTCACCTTTTTTTATCAAATGATTATCATCCGAGAGGATCAGGACGGCCACAACAATTCCATCCCATAGATACTGGAAAAGAGATGATATGATGAATTTGTGATGATGATTATCAAATGATTGCAAAACAGCCTTATCCGTTAATATCATTCCCTCCAATCCGCAGCCATGCATCTTCCACAATGATTTCCCTCTCATAATAACGATAGAATGAGCTAGCTAGCTAGCCAGACAAAGATCAATGTTAATATATAAGTGGTATATATATATATAGATATATATTTATATTATTCATTATTGAACATCGATCTCCTTAAAAACGCGTGACCAACTGGTCATTGATATAGCATCTAAAACTTTTTTTTTTTATGATTGAGATGTCGTATTGTTGAATCTTGGTGACTCCATTTGTTAAGCACGCACATGGTATTCTATTGCCTGTCCAAACTTCAAGTCCTCTCGCGCGCGCGCGTTAGTTTTCGTTTCAATGAGTGTGTTAATAATTTAAGTTGTATATGATCCATAATAATCGAATCTCTCTCGACGACTCGAATGGTTGAAACCAATTGGGTACTCGACAGTCTGGTGAGCGGGCGGGCAGACATAGAAGCTAGAAAAAAACAGTCACTTCATTTCACTCATTACTGCAATTACTTCTGTATAAATAGTACTTCGGTATAAATAGTATAGTACAAGAACACAAAATCTCTGAAAACAAAGCTGGCACACCTTATACATAAAAACTCCACTCTCCAAAACCAAAAAACACCCAAAAAAAAACCCATTAATTCGTGTATCACTAGCTAGTATATATATATATATATAACGAAGCAGAACGTCCTCCAGCTTCCAAGCAAATCAACCAAATTAAGAGGATGGGATAACAAGCGGCAAGCGCCACACAAAAGACAAAGCAACCGTACGTACGTTGTAAATATATTGGAGGTTATACGAGTAGAAGACACTCTATTATTTTTTTGCATGGATCCCATGCATGCATGCTGGCCGTAACAATCATATATTAATTTAGTGGATGTCGCGGACGTGGAAGAGGTTAGGGTTCTTGACGACGATGTCGTACATGTAGACGGAGTTGAACCTGTGGAAGTCACGTGGCAGGGAGATGAGGTCGATGGAAGACCTCTTGTGGAACTGCAGGAGGTCCGGGTCGCCGCCGTAGTACCTCTCCCAACCCAAACCGAACAAGATGCGCTCCAGCGACGCGTAGGAGGTGACGGCCTGCCCGCTCGGCAGGTGCACCAGCACCTTCCTCCTGCTGCTGCTCTGCTGGCCGCCGCCTTCCGCCGTTTCGCCGGGGTTCTCCACCAGACGTATTACTCCGTTGTTCTTGAACACCCACACCCCTGACATGATCGATGGAGGGATGACAAAGAATGATATGAAGATCTCTTGTGCGTTTTGGGTTGGTGAGGCTGTGTTGTGTGTATCAGAGAAGAAGGGTTTGTTGGAGAAGTGGAGTGGGGAAAAATGTTGATAGTGAAGAGGGATGAGGGGGGGTGATATGAGGTTTATATATAAGTGGAGGAGGAGAGGTAGATGAGACTAGTGATTGATCATTGATGGCTTTAATTGGGTTTGGATGGAATCTAGATATTGTGGGACCTTTTGTGCCCTAAAGTTTTATGCCAATATTCTCCCTCTCTCTCTCTCCTTATGTCATTGTTCTATGTGGGTTAGTACGAAGGGGTTGGAAAACCGTATTGGTGGTTCGACTAGAAAAAAATTCATATCGTGGAAGCAAAATCGGCACGTAGTATATATATGGGGTATGAAACGACTGAACCACGGTTAAATTACGGTTTCAACGTAAAATACTCTATGCTGATTTTTCCGGTACGACTTCAATCCTTGGTTATTATAGTCTGTAGCAACGATGGTAAAATCACACTAGAAGTTGTGCCGATAAGTTAGCGGGTGATATTTTATGCTGAAATTGTGGTTCGACTATTATATACCATTAAAAATTGTTTATTGAATTAGACTCCAATAAAGAGAAATTTCGATCGAACAGTCGGTACAATACGATTTCAGAAACGCCGGTTTATATGGATTGCTTTTTGGTTGGGGAGATTCTTGTGTAAGGGGGGGGGGGGGCGTAAGGAGTGGCCGGGGAAGAATGAAATGCGATATAACAGATAATATTTTTGTAATTTCAGGGACGAAAAAAGAGTCAAAATCGAACAACGACAGACGACGTCGTTTTCCGCCCACATTGTCTCACGAGCAGTCCACGTGAACTATGTGATGGGCCGGCCAATGAGAGACAACTTTGTGATTTCTCTCCCCTTTTTTCTTTCTTCTCCTGTTGGCAACATTCGACGAGTCAAGTCAAACCACGACTTCCATAAGTGTGATTGATCATATGATTAAGCACATGTCAATAAACTAACCACCACATTCATTCAGTAGCAAATTTGTTACGTAGGGATGACGTTTTTTTCTTAAAAGCGGTCTACCTGTATAACAAGACGGCCGAAAGGTATAATAAAATGTTGTTGGTGTACAGATCATGTACAATCAGAATTTATTTTGGTTTGGTTTTTATTATTATTACCGTCTGAGTAGTTCAGGTTACAGGTTTTTACGTCTTTTTCTATGTTCTTTGTAATTCTTTATTTGCGGTTAGGGTACATACGAGTGGAATTTCATTAAATCAATAATGCATCTCGACTTCAAGAAAACATATTTTGCTTGGTTCACAACTCTTGAAACACTACTTGAATGAGGGTGTTCGATGTAATTAATGCACCAAGGGAATTTTACTTACGGTTACCTATACTCCTATACAGATTCTTTGAGAGCTCAGTAACTACCGATTATGAATACATATGAGCCTTGTAGAAGGTCTCTGGTGCTACAGGTATACGATCACAGTTCAGAGGAGAGAAAAAGATAAACCTTGATGACACTTTTTGTGGTAATTTGATTTTTCTGTTCTTCTAGAAGTTTGATTCAAGTTTTTTCGTGGAGAGCTCTCCAACCGATATCTCTATCCTCTCCCACAAAATTAACTCCACGCAACACCCATGGATGGATGATTGAATGGTAACCACACATCTAACAAATCATTGACCGAGACAACATATCTTGGAACTGGTAATCAGACAATTGGATGGTCACTATACAACAACATGGATGGTACCATGCATCTAGTAATTTGGGTGCGATGACCACGAGATGAGATGACATCGCTCATTTATAATTAGATGGTATATAATATCCATGATGTCAGATTGACTCCACCCACTTAGAGTTTGAACGATGTTCATGTAGAATGAGATGACGCGCCATCTACTAAAGAGTTTGATGATATCCGTTGTGTTGAATAGCAACATCCACTTAGAGTCTTGCATGCCTACCATGGTGATGGATGGATGGATGGGTGGGAACATGAACCATCACTATTTCTCTTTATTCCGGTATTCATGTCCATATCGTAATCGGAGTAGTCGAAACATGTATAGAATATTCTTGATCAAGTTTCAACATGTTTAAAAGATTCTTTACAAATCTAGCTCGATCTATCAAAGAGCGTCGCATTTACCAATTCATATGATTAACCCTATGATGATATGATGATTAACGATATTCTCTTACTTTATGATCACATTCTATGAACAATCACAATCGTATATAATAATGTGGGCTGAATATCCCTTTTTCTTTTGGCCTTGCTGCCTGCCTGCTGCGAGCTCAAATATGTATGGATAAACGGCTGCAACTGCTCAATATTTCCACATGAGATCACATGGGCTTAGAATTTAGATGGTCCATTCCTCCGTTTCTACGTCCCATGCACACACAATGAACTGCAGCCTCAAAAAACTACGGATAGATATTTTCCCCCTCGCAAGTTGGATAATGCTGCTAAAGAAGGAAGCAAGTTGGCTCCATTACTCTGACCGGTTTAATTTTGAGAGGCTTGGAAGGAACAGAGAGAGTAGGTTAAGTTTTTTATGATGATTAATTGTTGAGATTAGGGCTTTGGGAAGCCAGGACGGAACGGATGATTGGAACCGTGGTTTTACATCGAACTGTACAGTTTGGTCCAAATCGTAGTATCATACTGGTTGGTGGCCGGTCTCCCCCCTTCAATACGACTATGGATAGATTGAAGGGGATGGTGCATGCAGTCATTCTCCTGCAAGAGAAATTCCTATACTGTCCTTACCAAATCGGGTAACAATTTATAACACAAAAACAAAACTTTTGGAGATACCAAAGACAAAGAGGATACCCACTACAATAAAATAAAATAAAATAAAATAAAAAGACACCCTAATTATATTTGCCTCTGCCTATCGTCTCCAATGTTGCCCTACCACATATGCATATGATTATTCTCCTTTTAAAAAAGAAAGAAGAATAAAATTCTAAAAAAAGTGACATAACTCAAATTTCAGCCTTCAATTAGTCGGGTTCTCTTGTTCATCGTGTCGTTTTCAAAATCCGCAATTTATGTTCATTCAGATTATTTATTTAGTATTGAGATATTGAAAGTTGGCTATTTTGTTGAATGAGGAGAAACCTATGTACGTATCCATACGTCGTTAACAATCAGATTCATAATCTTACGGCTATAATTATAGGTGGATAGAGAGAGGGGGGGGGGATAGATATGATATTGTGATGATTAATCTTATACGATCATTCTAAATTTAGTAAATTTATGTGCATTTCTACATCGATTTTAACAGTAGTGACAGACTGACAGTGATGGGGTTGTGGCAGGACGAGTTTTGGTGGATAACGGGGTCCATCGTATCACTAACTAATGAATAAGTATTGGTACAAAAATTAAGTTAAAGAATGCAACATTTAGATTAAGTGACAAATCATCCTCTACTTAGTTGGCAAGTAAAGTATCTCAACAAAATGTTGGTGCAAAATATTTAAGCGTAAGTACTTCTTTATTAGTGGCTCGATACTCGGTGGCGGGAATCATACATGCGAAATGGCTTCCATTAATAAAAAAAACCTTAAACATCATTGCTGGGATCTATACCCAATTATACAGCATTAATGGTTTACTATAGTTAATGGATGTTTCTTAATTAGAGGCGAATAAAGGGATCAACTAACCATTCCATGAAATGCAAGGGAATGATTAACGGTAATTGGCCCTTCTTGTTTATGGGGAATATATTTCCCCATTTTCAAAGTTAAAGTTTCTGCGTTTGATTACGTGTTCATTATAGTTTGGACAATTAATCATACCTTAATTGTAGACAGAACAAATCATAAATATCAGCTACGTTGGAATATGAGTAAAGCATATGTTTAAATAAGATTTAAATTGGCCATAACTTTGTTTGGAGAGGGAATCATTCTAAAATAAAGTGATAAGATATTACTTATTAGTATAATAAACAATTTGGAAAACCGATTGAAACGAAAAGAAAAACACAAATGAAAATACTGGAAGGCGGATAGATATAGTAGAAATGATGATTCATCCGGGGTGCATTTTCGGATGGGGTTATTCTATACTTTAGATGTTAGATCAGACCGGTTCAATGTGAATTAAAAATTAATCGAGTTGCAAATTATTGAGATTGCGAATCGTTAAATTATACCTGAATTGGGTTGATTTGATTATATGTCAGCGCCCTAGCACCAGGGTTACTGGTTTGATCACCGGTTTTCCAACCCGACTCCGGAGATATCATCTTCATTCCGGACCACAAACACTACACCATCCCGGGCTTCTTAGGTGAACAAAATGGCCCATCAGTTGAACGAAGGCCGGCCCACTCCAATATCGGGCTAGCTCCCGAAATTGAAATAAAGCCGCGTTCAACAGCCCAAATTTGGCCCAATGCCAATACGGATTGTGCCATGAACAACAAGATTCCAACCGACCAACTAGCCGGACGCCGACGTGTCCATCCTTTCCTCCGGCCAACTTTTTTTTTGTTCTAGTCTCCAACTTCCGACTCTCTCGCTTTTACTAACCAAAACCAGCTCCGACATTCTGTGAACACCAAGACTATCAAACTTCAAAAATAACAGAGTATCCTTTTTCTAAAAACAGGGTAAAATTTGTTCGTATAAAACTTCATCGTCAAGAGCCTTACTTGATCGATCTCCTCTCCCATCTTCACCACTCCCATCCCCACAGGAATAAAATTCACAATAATAATAACCCTAAGCCAGAGCCATCAGGGACAAACTCCTCTGTTTGTGTAGGAGACTAATAAATCCCCAAGGCATAGAAGGAGAGAAAACAGAGACATGGAGACTCTGAATTGGCTCTTCCTCGCGGTGGTTTCCCTCTTAACCTTCTCCTCCCAAAGGGCGTCCGCCGGCGACTTTAACATCACCGAGATACTCGACAATTACTCCGACTACAGCCAATTCAACGACCTCCTCTCCAGAACCCGCGTCGCCAACAGAATCAACGGGCAGGGCACCGTCACCGTCCTCGTCGTCAACAACGGGGCCGCCGGCTCCCTCTCCGGCCAGTCCAACGAGACGATCAAGGCAGTCTTGAAGTTGCACGTCATCCTCGACTTCCTCAACATGCAGAAGATCAGGAATCTAAAGCAGCGGTCGGCGACGTACACGAACATGTACCAGACCACCGGGGATGCCAACGCGTACCAAGGCATGACCAACATGACCAAAAACGTCGGCGACAGTAACGACCAAATCATGTTCGGCAACGGGAGGCGGAACGCCAACCTCACCGTCTCGTTGCAGAAGGTGGTGTCGACGGTGATGGCGCCGGGGGGCTGGGTTTCCGTCATTGAGGTCAGCGGCTTGATCGAGCCCGACTGGGTTTTCAACCTCAAGGCTTCCCCGCCGAAGAAGGCTCCGTCCCCTGGCCCTTCCGACGCGCCGGCGCCGTCGAGGAGGCACAGGAAGGAGGCTCCTGAGTCGGCGGAGTCGGCGGAAGATTACTCACCTCCCGAGCCTGATGCCGATGATGAATCCTCCGATTCCCCGGCTCCCGCACCCGCACCTGGAGGCCCCAAATCTGCTGCGTCTTCTCCTTCCGCGGCCCCAGCTGCTGCCTTCGCCGCCGTGCTCGTTGGATTGCTGGCCTTTAAACTCGGCTTCTGAAGCTTGCAGTGACGACGAAGAACATAGTGAAAAGGGTTGGTTGAAAAAACAAGGCTGGGCCGTTAAGCAAACTGCAACAATTTGATCTTACTAGAGTGATCGGCTTTCACTTTCCCTTCATTAGCATACACCACAGCTTTTTATGCATTTTTATATCCATCCATTTATGTAAGCAGCAGCATTAGAGAAATAAACATTTGAAAAGAAAGAAACAAAAAAAACTTGCATCAAGAACTGCGTAAATGGAAAAGCCAATTCAACACTAACAAACGTTTTAATGCAAATGCAGAAAGAAGATTATGGGGACAATGAAGGAATTCAAGTTTTCATTAAAGTTGACAGCAGGTCAAGGTTAGGGCAGAGAGGAACTATGTAGCAGAGTTGCAACTACATAAACGTTTGATCTCTGCCCAACCAGCAATCAGAATATAGAACAACGACAGAATGACCCCTCTGACGACGAATTCGTCCGAAATGAGCTGTGCCTGTGGTTAAGGCTCCGGCCCTGAACTTCTAAAACCCAGCCGCAAGATGAAGTTTCAGAGCAACCAATCTAAAGCAATGTAGTCATATGTAGTACTAGGTACTGAAAAAATGTCTCTCTCAAGGACCAAACTATGTTAAAAACCCATTCCACTGCTCTCCCCAAAATTGATACCCGCCCGAGCAGCAAACCAACCTACTCCACTGTATTTTGCTGTCAATTGAGCTTGCTAACGATGTCTGCCACGACTTGATCCAGGTTAAGCTCTTTCATTTGAGTGAATGGGCGCTTCATACCCTGAAATAATAGAGAAGGTGACCAAAAAAGTTAACAGGGAAAGGTAGAGCCACTGCAACGTGATGATGAGCGTAAATAAACAGACGTATGGTCATTGTAATTACCAGAAGACTGATGAAGACTTCCCCTCCTTCCTCGCGCACCTCAAAGCAACCCTTCCTACCCTGGTGATGAGAAATTGATCAAGAATTAGCATCAACTGAAAGACAACTGTCAATCCGAAAACTATCTGTAACTTGCATAAAGGCAATGCAAGACATGTTATGTAGTGATTCAACCCATTGTTGAGTTCTACACCAACATTTAGACTAACACCAGTGCAAGCACTGACTGGAAAGAAAGACATTCCGAACACTGTATACAATCACTTTCCATTGTTACAGTAAAATACATTCCAAACATTGTATACATTTGCATTTGCAGTTTGAATGATGCAGTGGATGCAGTTTCTATTTGCACACAAGAAGGCATTCAGGGGCGAAAGCTTCGAAGTTCACAAATCAGGAAAAATAAAAAGAGAAAAACTAGAAGTCTGTCGACATACCGCCTTGTAAGGATTGAGCAGCACAGTAATCCCAGGTACAGCTGCCTCCAAGCCAGCTTTCACCTGATCAGCACTCTCCTTGAATGATTTGCACTGTTTGCTGCATGAATCAAGGAACAGTCACCATGCGTACCAAAGAAATATTGCAAGAACCGAATGAAAACAACAGTAAGTTGTTGAATCAGACAACAACAATTTAATCAATGTTTCCTCCCAATTTCCTCAACAGACTGACAATTGGGTTTTCGCTTTCTTCCGTATGTCTCCAGCTGTTTAGTTGAAGTTGAAGAATGCACTAATTGCAATGTTCATGCCTTATACAACATCATCCACTTCCATGAATGTCATTTTCCATCAAATTTTCCACAGCTCCTCAAAATAATGAACCTTCTACTACCTAAACTATGACGCAAAAAGACATTAGCAGATGCAGTTTGCAGGGCAAGTAGCACATCATCATGCAAAGAGGCCTGTAACCATCATCTTCCATTACTTTCCAGATAGTAAGATGAAAAGAAGATATGATTCAGCAATGGAAGAATGAGTTCGAGATGCCCTAACACTACCACCACAAGGGGATAAACTTTCTCTTGACTCGTGAGCTTCACTTATTTTCCACCCCTGGTCAAGAATAAAGATAGAATTCTCAAAACTTCCATTTCTTTAACACCATTACTTTGATCAGGACCAAACATAATTTAGTGAGTAGGCAAACTTAGGCTCAAATCTTACGACAATTCTATGGTCAGGGCCAACACAAAACCTGTGCACCCTTCATCGATGGAATCTTCTTCAGAGCTACATCATAACCGTATGACCACACACGAAACCCTAATCTGCAGGCAACGATGGAAATCAATGCCGCCCCTGAAGCGAATCTGTAATTGTTATTCCTAGATTTGACGTTTCACTTTCCGCTTCTTTAGGTCGCTATCAACATCAATGGAAGCCAAACGAATGTACTAAATCTTCCAGTCCAGAATTCGTTGCTACTAACGAAGCGAAGCTAGACAGCGCTCATCAACAAGAACTAAAACAGAGAAATCTTGAAGTATTTGTACCCTAACTTTCTCAGAAGCCAAACAGTCCTCAAACGAGATGCAGGAAAGTTTTCGGGAACAAGATAGCGAGAGCTAGCAGGAACGAAATCCTCCAAACAGGAAATTAGCTGTTAATTAGCAACGAATCAAGACCTAAATACGCATTCAAGAGCTACGACCTATAACAGATAAATCTCGAAAATCCTGTACTCAGCTTTCTCAGAAGCCAAACAGACCACAAACGAGACGCAGAAGATGAAAGAAAAAGAAAATGAGAGAGAGAGAGAGAGAGAGAGAAATCACCAGTGTTCGATGATCAGAGTCTTCCCTGCGGCACCGCCATCGTCGTCCTGCTCAGGCGCTTCCTCTCCCGCTCCATCTTTCTCGGCCTCGCCACCGTCATCCTCAGCTTCTCCTCCGTCGCTGTTGTCCTCCGCAACCGCCTTCCCCTTGTCATTCTTTCTCTTCTCGGCGTCGTCCTCCGGCTTAGCAACTTCTTCAGAACCTCCCGCTTGCTGCTGAGATCCCCCAGCGCCACCGTCATCCGCCGGCTTCTCCTCCGCTTGCTCCGGGACTGCAGGCGGTTCTGGCACTTCCTCCTCAGGCTTCACTTCCTGCTCCTTCTTCGGAGTCGGAGTTCTCGCCTTCTTCTTCTTAGGCGAAGCCTCGTTGCCGAGGGCAGGGGTTAGCTTCACATTCTTGCTACGGGTCGCCCTTGCCGGAGTCACCGAGGCGCTGCGTGTCACCCGCTTATCTCCGACGGCCGCCGGACTCTTCTTCGGACCCGGACTCTTCTTCGGACCCATTGACAGCGGCAGAAAGGACAAAGCCTAGCAGAGGAACGCTCTCTTTCTTTGTTTCTTGGCTTGCTCTCTCTCTCTCTCTTTTCGTTCTCAGCCTAGCTTCTGTTGTACTCTAATTTTCTCTTTCCAGAATCGCTTTCTAATTTGGTGTTTATATGGTGTTTATTGCTTGCAGTGCTGCTGCTTCTGCAGTAGCAGCTCCTAGCTAGCGAAAAAAAAGGAGAAATTTACAGCTTTTCGGGCTGGGTGACGTTTTGCGTGACAGATTCTTACAGTCTCTTCGTTTTCCCGCGCTTTTGTTATGGTTGATTTTGAACGAACGGCGGGTATCATATACAATCTGGGAGGTTTTGATCTGATGGCTAGGACTCCACCACGTGTAAAGGCGAGAGGTTTAGGATCCATACCATAGGGCCTCCTCTCCACCAAAATAGTTGGGGAAAAAGAGTGAACGATGAAAAATATTTTTATTTTATTTTCTGAGGGAGAAATGTGTCTCTTTCGATTTACCTAGTGAGATTATTAGTTTATTACAATAAAATTGATAGGAAACAATCATTTTGGACGAGTAATGTGTGTACAATGTAATAAATTAGTTCCAATTCCAAATGTTTTTGGTTACTAGCAAAAAACATTTTAACATAATATCATCAAATATTTTAGTTATTAGGTGTGATTAGATCATTAAGAAAATTTGAACAATCCATAAATCAACCTCATTAGAGTTCCAATAAATTAGACTACCATAAATATAATATAGAGGTTACTAGGGGTGATGTATATAGTTTTTGATCAACGGGGTCATTTTGTAATTGGAAAAAAGAAAAATACGGGTATACTATACCACATTTCTGTTTCATCAAATTCACACTTAATACGAGCCACATTGTGGTTTTCTTATTGCTCTCTCGTCCCCAAAATCTCCACCGGATGTGTTCCTCTACCTCAACCTTTTCTCTAGTTCTTAAGCAACAATCTCTCTGTTCTAGATCACTCAATTCTTCCATGTTTAATGAATGTGTGAGAGTCAACAGTATGTCTCAAGTAGAGCAAGTCTTATATCGTGTTTAATCATCATTTCAATCCCTCACGGAAAAGCTATCGCTTCTCCCATTGGACTTTGTCACTTTGAAACTACTTTATCTCAGTTCATATAATTTGTATTGTATATAGCAACACATCTATTTGAGAAATTTATTCTACTTGGGTAATACATGATCAAACTAGTGTTTCTTAATCACACCATTGTCCAAAAAGCCAATATGACTTGAAATTGTATATTTACTTTGCTAATTAATCAACTAACTAAATCTATTTCTCCCGGGCCTAACTCCATTATTCGTTTCGCTTCTGGTGTGCATTTGTATCACGTCACCTTAAACTTTTCGGTAAACTCTAATTGCTTGTACATTATGGAGAAGCTATTCAAACTCTTGAAAAAGGGTTGGGGATCACTATAAAAGAATAATAACATACTACTTTCAAGCCAATTAAGAGTGATGGAAAGACATGTGTGAGTCTAATTTGTTGTATAATTCGAAAAATGGTACAACAATTTGTCGAGAGTGTTCGGGTAAAACTTTCTGGCAAACAAATAACAAGGCCGCTTCACTCCATTCCAGAAGCAAGGTCTCCATGTCGTCACTTTCTGTTCATAGTTGCCAAAACGTCAATCATCAACACCAATGACCAAAACTCAAAAGTAGGAAAAAAAAACACGAAATGCACGTACCTTTCCTTCACTTGTGACATGTATGGCCTCGTCGATAGTCTGATAAGCAACAACAAAATAAGTAAATAAAGTAACTTCGCAACTAGATAAGATAGAAAATCTTCCTATCATATGAGCGATCAGTGCGTGCTGATCACATCATTGGATCGCCCTCTTGTATATTTCAGACATTGAAACACACTACCATGTAACGATTCAAATGACTGTGAAAACGTACTGATCGCCTCAATGATCATCAACATGCTAACCCAATCGAAATAGTTACACTAATAACTGAGTATTAAGGTTGTGGACATTACAGTAAGGTTCTTGAGGAGCTCATAAGTGATATCAGAAGCTCTGTAAGATCTTGGATGCCACTTCCCCTCGGACCAGTCAACATGTGTAACCGATCGCTTTGCGATCCCATCAGGATCAATCATCTGCACAAAAGACCAAGAATCCATGGTTACTCACAGTAGATTGGAGCAAGATGAACTATGATAATGACAGCATTCAGTATGCTCACAGTGAAAAATGTTTGCAGGTAATGTTCATCAGAGTAGCAATTCTTCCCATCCATATTCGGCTGCAAAAAGGGTACAAGAATCAGAACAAGTTAATCAAAATCCCCTTTCTCAAGATAATCTTCCAGATTTTGATCGTTTGGTTCATGTTAGAGGGTGTAACGTACTCTGCAGTAGAGCCTGAACTTTCTGTAGTACAGGCTATCTGCCATGACTATGATAGCATGCTGTCGCTTCATCGAGAACCACTGCAATCCGAGTTTTTTTTTTTTTACAGTTTGGTAACAGTAAAAGAAAAGAAACAGTAAAAATGATGAACTGTGGTTTAATTTATTTACCTGGGCACCCTTTCGGAAATCAGAGTATCGAACTTCCGGCATCATGCGGTCCGAGTATCTGCCGTTGCCATGCGGACCCGGATCCACATAACTGAAGAGAAAAAACGAAACAAATCGATCGGTTGTTGAACCTCTGCCAACAACTCAATCTACTATAACTTCTGGTTTCTCGCGGCATAATATCGCGGAGTTACCTGTCGATGTAGCTGACGTTAGTGAACATCAGGTAGTGATACACATAGTTGAAGGTACGGAGTGGTACGCAGCTGCAAAAGGAGATTAGCAGCAAGATAGACAAATGTCATTACATTGGTGTAAACTTAAGATGGTAACATTAGTCAACACAGACGGTAAAAAAAAAAGTTTAACCTATCAGAGAGCAAGACAAACTGATGGTTATCTGGATCCAAAAGTGCATTGGCTAGTAGTCTCCTCTCTGCATCAACCATGGAGATCTTCCCCCACTCTACCTGTTAAAAAACCAGATAGAAACATGATACATAAACTCAGTGGCGGATTCAGAAAATTTTCATAGGGGTGTCCTCTTAAAAATTAAATTTAATTAAATAATAAATTAAATAATTCGCATATTAAAAATATCATACTTGTATAAATTTTTTATTAAAATTCATGATGCGTTTTCATATTTTGAAAAAATAATATAAATAAACTCCGTGTCTGCACTGTTAAAAAAAATCTACATATCCTACTAGACAATACTTCACGAACTTATCACATATTCAATTTCTAACCTTGTTCTTAATGTAGCTCGAAGTAGAAAAGACTCTTTCAACACTTGCCATGTAACCATAAAATCAATTCAAAATTAAGGGTAGCGTGTACGTAGTTTAATTATTAGGTATTGAAAATAGTTGGGGATAAAGAAATAGCGTTTTACTATTGCATGATGTTTAAAATAGAATAACAAATGAGTAGCAACATAATTAGAATATGTTTGATAATAGTAGTGTCCTAGGTTGGAATAACACGAACTACCACTTATATTTTGTTAATCATAAGCAAACTATTATCGAGGGTAGGATAATCATTTTTTCAAATGTTAGGGTGTCCTGGATTACCAATTATATTTTGTATATCCATACGAAACTATTATCGGAGGTTGGATAATCGTTTCCCCAAATTTTAGGGGTGTCCCGGGACACTCCTAGAGGCCCATGTATCCGCCCCTGCATAAACTGATAGTTCGAACTTCATGTCTAGGTGGTTTGATGATAAAATAGGTGGTTAAGTCATAACTCATAAGTGGCTCTTAAAAATCTGCGTGAGTGTGTTAATAAGTAATATATGATCCATAATTTAACACTTTTTAACAATTCTGAATTATTGGGAACAATTGGTTTTTTGAAATGGTAGCAGAGCCTTCTGTTCGAATCTCGATAATCCCATTTGTTAAGCACATAGTATTCTCATGTCTGTTAAGCTTCAAGCTCTTTCGGGTTAATTTTCATCGGAGGGGATGTGTTTAAAATCATAATTGAACTGCTCCTAATAAGCAGAGCTGTTGGGAGACCAACTAGTTTTCGATTTACATACCTTTTCACTGCGAATCTCTCGGCCGACGAAGTAACGGCTGCTATGAATTGGCTTATCTCTGGAAGAATGTATGTAAACGGTGAATTTGTCTTCATGACCCTGCCACCACCAGTAAATTCAAAATGTACAACCTGTTGTAAACCAATTCTCATACTATACCATAAATCGACCAGTCCCAATAACTCGAATTGTTGAAACAGAGGCAACATATATATCACTTACTACTCAGATACCTGAAAGAATCTCTCCCATAGCATCTCAAACGGGAGGGAGGAAGGAGTCAGGAACATGAAGGCAATCTTGGGCGACTTGGAGAGCGGCGGCGGCGTGCTGAGGATCTCGCGGATCACGACGTGAGACGACGTCTCCTCGTCGGTGAACACTTTGGCCGGAACGACTCTGTCTCCGTCGTACGTGGTGGTGCACCCGCCCGGAGCGAAAACAGAGCAAGGAGCGGCGGAGACCGTGCTTCTCGGCTGGTAGAGGTAGTAGGCGCTAATGAGGAAGACGGCGGCGAGGGAGACGAAGAGCAGGATCCACTTTGGTGTCCGCTTCCCGTGTGCTCTTTGCCTGGAGGTGGCCGGCGGCATTATTAGGTAATCCCTCGTCCCCGTCCACCATGAACGACTTGTCTTCATTTTATTCGTTATAAATGAAGTGCAATGGATGGTTGAGATGTTGGATGATCGGTCACTTAAGACATCTTCTGGGTTTTGATTGTACACCTCTGACACTTCAGTTTCTGAGGAGTTCGTTGGCGCCAATAACTCGAATGACCACTAGCTAAGAAGAATCATTACACATACATAATTATCGACGACGACCAACGTAATAATAATATTATGGATACATACTTTGGGGGAAAAAGTCTGGTTAAATCACAAACTTCATTTTGCTAGCGATGGTTGACTGTGAAATGTGAACTTATGAGTTATGACATGGTAGTTCTCATAACTTTTTAGGGATGATGTTAATCCAAATATTTAAATTTGAGATTGGAATTGTTTTTCCGCTACTCGTTTTGAATACCCGTAGCCAAGGGCCAGGTATTCATAGATCAACAATGAAAAGTGGAAAAATCCAGTTTTTTCTTTTTTCGAGGTGCCAATTTGTTGTATAGGTGATAGACAATCTAGTTTCGATTCAATTTTTTGAGTGTTCTGCTGAATGAGAACGCTATATTTTATCATAGAAATTGTAAGTAACGAAGGAAGGAAGACGTGAAAAAAGTACAAATTCACGCACAAATAAAATTAAGGATGCAACTATTAATTAGTTGCATAATGAACATGTTACACTTTATCATTAACAGTGATGCCACTTACAAAGGGAAAGCTCCATTTCCACAGATTGACACCAAATCAGGGAAGTTCAAGAAAATATCACAAATTTATGGGTTGAACAATGAAACATGCGTAAAAAAGGACTGAAAACCTAGGGGGAAAGGACAAATAATGGGATCAAGATTCAAGAAAACGACAATGGCGAGATCGGAAAGTACCTGGAAATGAGGATAAAATTGCAGTAGCTGTCGATCTGCAGGGCAGGGCAGAGAAGAAGGAGGACGAGGAGAAATGAAATCCGAAGCATAAGCTGCAAGAGATGTCAATTTTTTTTGTAATTATGAAGTGGAATTTGGTAATCGAGAGAGACAATAATAATTTGATCTCCAGCTGTTTGTAATAATTAATCACTGTCTGGATCCCTTCATTACTTGTGAATTGTGATTTAAATATGGTTGATTAATTACAATTCATAAAAAAAAACATATATAAATTTTAAAATTTTGACAAATATTCCAAAAATAAATCATTTTCAAGACGATTTTTTTTTTCTGCTAAGAAAAGTCAATGAACTACCTGAAACACGTAAGCAACTAAGCATGTAGACTATTCATCAGTATGTAAAAACAATTTAAGACTACGGTTCTGTTAATTAACTTATTTGTTTTCCTCTTCTGTTGGGATAAATAAATGTGGTAAATATCTTATTTTATGATGGCATAAATTTTTTTTTATATATAAAATGTGCATATTTGATACATATAGTACTATCCTCTTTCCGACCCAAAAAAACACATGAACTGCCACAGATTTGAGTGCTAAATGAGTGTAACATAACGTTATTTTATTCTACATCGTTGTCCGATCAACTCAAGAACGACGGAGGACGAAGAAGGAAACATTGCAGATAATAAACAACACGAAAATCGTAATATCTTTCCGCCCACTAATTAACTAACGTACCCAGATGAGCGGGCCGGCCGGCGGCAGAGTTCGGCCTACGGAAGATTCCCCTGCCGCCGCCGCCGCCGCTTCATATCGACTCCGACGACCAGAAGAGAAGGGAAGCCCGAGTTGGTGGCTTGAATCTGCAGCTCGCTGGTGAACTAATCAAACCCCAATTAGGAGAATTTATTGAGCCAAAATCTAGTACTGGAGCGGAACACAGACAGAAAGAGAGAGAGAGAGCGAGAATTGTAACTTTTCTAATGCGGAAAAATCAAAGAACAATAATAATAGGGGCTTTTGGAGTTTAGGGGACGGCGCTACTGGAAGACGCAAACACACGACAGCTAACCGAGGACGTTTCTAGTTATTCCGATAGCACCAACCCAAAAACAAAGAGACAACGGTCCGATAGGAACAGGGCCGGCACCAGCAATACCTCTAATTTCTCCGAGCGAGAGAGAAAAAAAAGCGACTCTTTTAACGAGCATCCAATATAACGGGGAGGAAGCCATGATAACTAAACTTCCACAATGGAGAAGAAGTTAAATCTTACAGCCAGCTTACCGGGTAGATCTCATCATCTACTTTACAAATTCGCCAAAATGATGGTAAGGAACACAGTAATCCGTTGTTCTCAATAATCGAGTTGTTGGAAATAGGGACGGACGGAGGGAGAGTGTAAGAGGGTCGGTTCCGAGCACCATTCTGGTTCGAGAGAAAAAATGATTAAATTAGGCATAACAGATGACCAATACTGAAAATTTCAGGACGCGTCTAATTGAGAACAGTTGATTGAAAGGTATTAAAACGGAAGACTAACTGAATTATGAATAATTGTTTGGTATAAGATTCATTATTAAATCCCTCCCAACACTTCGAATTGTTGATACTAAACATTTCTTTACAAAGAACACCATTCAAATTTGAACGATTAATTAATTCATGAATAATTGTTTGGTACACAAAGATTGATATACTTGATAATTTAGACTTTATTTGATGTACCAAAAATTTCAAAAAATAAGATTATATTATGATTGATTAAAAAAATTAACAAAAAATTAATTTATAATTTTTTTTTCCTAAATGAGTTCAACTTAGATAAAATGGTGACTAGGCACCTGGTTAGGACAGGTTCGATCTAAAAGAAGCACTCCAATATCCGAAAGACTCAAACCACACCTAAAATCCTAATATCCTATTATGGCGGGCCGGCGATCCAAGAAGTGTGTACATAGATTGTTCGTCATGGGCCGTGAGCTGACTTGCAGAGGCCCGTCTAATGGACACGTGGATGAAATGGCAAGCCAGTCAACTACAAGGAGCGCAAACGAGTCGCTCAAAAGTCAAAACAGTAACACTTGATAGCGACGACGACGGAAGACGGAAGAGACTAGAGATTGCAAGTGTAATTGAAAGAAGAGGCGGGGGGAAGAAGACTGAACGGCGAAGCGATGCCGGCGATGGCACGGTCACTGGCAACTAGAGCTCTCAATGAGCCGTCGCTATCGCTACTCAATGTACTACGGCGGATCGGTACTACTCGGCCGCAACCGCAACCTGTTCGCGCGTTTTCTGCTCTCATGTCGCCACCGTCAGGGCCGGCCATGGGCCTGTGCTGGTCAGCCCGCCAGCACAGGGCCTCATGATTTTTGGGGCCTCCATAAAATTCAAATTCCTTAAACATTAGTTATTGTTGGGCTAAATTATAGGTATGCTATGAAACAAAACTCTTTTAATTCATGTTTACATGGGCCACAAAAAGAATGAACGGGCCAAAGTTATAAAAACATGAATTAATCTAATGGACTTTAATGGGCCATTTTCCTTCTTATAATTTTTCATAGAAAATTCAGCCCTCAAAGTTAAAACAACCAAGAGCCAACAAAATTCAACACTTGCTGCCAAATGTAAAAAGGGCAAGTCAGCCTATCCCCACGCCAAATTCCATGATGGTTTCGTTACAACATTGTAGTTGTAGCTAATGGCCCAAAATTTAATATAATCAAATGGTACAAATAGTTAGTATCCTTTGAGAATTATACATTTGAACCCAAAAACATTCATACTCATCTAGTATTCTTCTCCTTTATTCTCTATTGGGCAATGTCTATTTTTACCCAAATCTTTTTTAGATTCTTTTATTTTAACCAAACCTATAGAAATTCTATTTATTATCCAAACGTATAATTTATCAAAGTCTGGGCATTCATTCTGTTACCGTTACTTATTTCGTCCACGTGAGGGGTGGGATTTTGTTTAGTTTTTTTTTATAATCTTTTTATTAAAAAGAGTAAATGATGGTATTCTGACCGTCATGTAGGAAGTCAACTCATTATGGTCATATACTTAGTCAGCATTACTAACAAAAAAGTTGACGGAGAGTTAACGTTTGGATAATTTTTAGGAATTCTATAGATTTGGTTAAAATAAATGAATCTGAAAAAGGTTTGGGTAAAAAATAGACATTGCCCTTCTCTATTCTACTCTTCACTTTTTTAAATTCGTCTAATATTTTACTCAATTGAGGACTTCTAACATATCCAGGTGGGTCCAGCAGATAAACTAATTTTCAACAGAGTTAGTGTTTGGATTCTTATATTTGTTTCACTCTCTCAATAATCAATTTTGTATCATTTCAATCCGTTGACTGCACAAAGTCGATAAAGATTGTCCGATTGAATATGCTGCTACAATTATTATCAATCCGTTGACTGCTTTACTAATGCTTGAGGACGTCATTGCCTTAAATTCAGGTTTGTATTTGTCTTAGGATTGTTACTCTCAAGTTTGAATTCTATATGCCAACCGATTTTGCCTTACTTAAGTTCGACTGCATTCAAGCAGGGGATTCGGTTGTCCAAAATGGAGCTACAAGTATAGTAGGCCAGTGCGTTGTCCAGCTTGCCCACCTTCGTGGCATCCGTACTATTAACATTATAAGGGACAGGTGCTTGTTCGAATTTGATTTTGTGAAGTCTGCTTTTTTTTTCAAAGAGTTAGCGTTAGTTGGGTTTGCATGCATCTCTGGTTTCACATTTCCCTTCCTTGGTAAGAGTTTTGAGTATGAATATTTTTCAGTGCACGGTTCAATGCACCTATTATTCTTCCTGATCCTGGAAAGGCCAGCTCCAAGGTGTGAGGCAGATTTGGGAAAAGACCAATGGCTATGTATCTTGACTAGCAGCTTATTGACTTGATTGATGTGTGCTGCATTTGTTTCGGGATTCCATTACTGACTTTGGTCAAAGGCATGAGTCTTCTGTTGGCAAATGATTTGATAGAAGTATTAGAATATTTTGCTGTTCTTTTATTTCACCTTTTCCTTCTCCCACGATAGTCTGAATTTTACCCGCATAGCATGACTTTCTTCTAAAACTAGGAACTCAACTTGTCAGTATTTTGGTATAATAATATGTGTTGTTAAGGGCAGATTTCATCATTTGTTTAAGAGTGAAGTCTTAACAAGCAGAGTAGTCGGAAAAGTTATGTTAATGGTCTTTCCTTGGGTGACATACTTTACTCTGCTAGTGCATCTGTCGGGACTCATTTTATTCCACAATATCTGCTTGCTCCAGGGCTGGGTCAGATGATGCAAAGGAAATGTTGAAAAAGCTCGGTGCAGATGAAGTTTTCACTGAAAGCCAGTTGAATGTGAAGAATGTGAAGAGTCTCCTGGTATCCTGATATTCGGACCTTTAACAGCTCACAATTCATAATTGCTGAGTTAGATTGATTTATTTTCTTCCACACATCTTTTCTATCAACTGGTCTTCATTGCATAACCTGTTTGTCAAATCATCAGCATCTGAGCATTGGAATGTATGTCCTCTACTAACTTATCTCATCTCTACGCCAGACTGATTTACCGGAATCTGCTCTGGGATTCAACTGCGTTGGTGGCAATTCTGCTTCCTTGGTTCTCAAATTTCTGAGGTAAAACTTTGGTTCCAATAGAACACGTCCTATCAAGGTTTATATAATGCTTATTGCACAAAAGATCTCATTTATTCTTGCACTATTCAGGCAGGGAGGAACGATGGTAACTTACGGGGGCATGGCAAAAAAGCCCGTCACAGTATCGACATCAGCCTTCATTTTCAAAGCAAGTCAATCCCTATGCTGTGTTTTTCTGCTCTCCTACTCTTGAATGACGCCCGCCAATGCTCTTGAATGCTACAATATGTAATACTAGCTACCCAATATGGTTGCAGGAACTCTCGCTGAGAGGATTCTTTCTGCACAACTGGCTGGGCAGTGATAAGGCGACGGAATGCAATAGAATGATCAATTATCTTCTATCGTTGGCAAAGGAAGAGAAGCTGAGATACCAGTAAGCCAAGCATCGCTACTCCCTTTTAGGCCCTTCTTTGGGGGTTTTTTATGGTTTCCAGCTATTGAATGATTCATTTGTGGGTCACTCACTCTGTGCAGGATGGAGCTGGTTCCTTTCAACAATTTCAATTTAGCACTGGATAAAGCACTTGGAAAGCTTGGGAGCCAGCCAAAACAAGTTATTACTTTCTAAACCTATCTTTCTTCAGACAACACTGAGAATGACCTCTGTTAAAGACATGATGCTGCAGTAGTGAACCGGTGATTACTGATTAGGTTCTGCTAATAAATCAAATTTGGGTCGTTGGGTGGTTCAATTGGGTCACTGACCCTTAAGCAGGCTCCATAACCTGATTCGGTCAGGTTTTCGGTTTACCCGGACCTGGCCAAAACCTGATAAACCATAAATTGATAGCGCGCGAAGAAGTAGATTTCTGCGGACGTGGCATCACGGTAGCCAGTCAATTAAATTGCGCCCACCCGAATGAAGTGCTCACGTGGCACAACTTAAACGACTACTTTTCAATATTCATCTGCTAAGTTGGACAAAAATTCGACGGAGGAGGGACCTCATCGGAACTTTGTCAGTCTGTCTCACAAGGAAAAAGAGCCATGGCTGCCGCCGCTACCTCAGTCGCCATCTTGCCTTCCGCCAGAAGAAGCTGCGACGCGGGAAAGTCCAGAAGCATTGTATTTTCATCAAGATCCTCAAAGTCCGTCTCGTTTCCGTCTCAACCGCGACGACGGAACGGGAACTTGCGAATCGCTTGTTCCGTATCACTGACGGACCGGGAAGTGCGAACGGGTGGGCCAGACGATCTCGTCGACTCCATCCTTTCCAAGGTAAAAAATCATAATCCGATCTAGATTGCTGTTAGTCTTCACCGCATTTCTAAGTAGAAAAAGTTTGAATTGGAGCTAACTCTGTCAAAATTTCAGGTTTCGGAGACAGACCGAGGAGTTTCGTTGAAGAAAGAGGAGCACGCAGCGGTGGGTGAAGTTGCTGGAGAGTTGCAAAAGTACTGCGTCCCGGAGCCTGTGAAATGTCCTCTCATATTTGGAGGTGAAATTGCTCAACAAAAGCTTTTCTTTCTGCAATAAGATTTTGAATGGTTTGAGTAGTTGCTTATGTTCTGCACACCATGTGTTTGGTAAATTGTTCCAGAGTGGGATGTGGTGTACTGCTCGAACCCAACCTCGCCAGGCGGTGGGTATAGGAGCTCAGTCGGCCGTCTTTTCTTCAAAACGAAGGAAATGGTGCAAGCTGTTGAAGCTCCCGACACTGTGAGAAACAAGGTCAAATTCTCCCTCTTTGGGTTTCTTGACGGAGAGGTATCTCTCAAAGGTAAAAGCTTTCTCACTTTGGAGTATCTCCCTGCCCCTATGTGAATTTGGAACAGGTTTGCTGAGTTCCTTTGTTTCTGTTCAACGCAGGGAAATTGATCGCTCTGGATGGGAGCTGGATACAGGTGATATTCGAGCCACCTCAACTTAAGGTTGGAGCTCTGGACTTTCAGTATGGCGGTGAAAGCGAAGTGAAACTGCAGATTACGTATGTGGATGAGAAGATCAGGTTGGGCAAGGGATCCAGAGGTTCGTTATTCGTCTTCCAAAGAATCGGTTAAAACCCTCTTGCCTTAGCTCTCACATTTCGCCCGTAAAAGCAGTGTTCTTTCCTTGAGCTCGTATGATCTCAGCTTTCTGTTGTACACCGACACTGTAGTTCTCCGAAGTATATATAATCGTTTCAGTGAAGTTTGAGTGTGCTTCTGCTATGGCTATAGTCTATACTGCATTGAGTAGTTTAGGTTTAGACAGCCGCTCATTCATACTTGTGTAGAACAGGGAGAGCTATGATTAAGAGTTTGTAGAAGTTCAATAAGGCAAACTAATCAGCCAAGTCTGAAGGCACCAATCCAAGAAGCAAAGTATATTTGTAAGTAGCCAATGCAAAAGAATTACAGAGGATTTGGAGAACAATGGAATTGGTGGGATTGATTAGCCAGGGCCAACTTTAGGAATTTCGTAATGTTCAGTGAGATTGGCAAGATACTGGTTGAACTCGTGAATCCGGTCGCGGTGTGATTTGCTTGCCATCTTAGCCATCCTCTGCCCATCCAGCTTCTCCCATTGCTGCAGATACCGCCTCTCGGCTGGTGTCAGATACAGGGATTCACCTTCTGCTTCTCCTCTCTCTGTACCGCCTTCAGCTTGACCGGCCGTAACAAGTTCTGTGCTTCGACCTGTCAACCTCCAAAATGGCAAACACGAATAGAGCTCCCGTTAGCACAACTGCATGTATCCTGGAAAGAGCTCTAAACTTGAACCAATTCGTAATCAAAATTGATATTCTAAATTGGCTCTTTCTGTCGAAGTTTCCGACATAACGTATCAAGAATTGATTGAAAAGAACATAGATCTCATGTCTGAACGATCAACAGCACATTTCGATGTCTCAAAGGGAAAAGTGAAAGGAAAGAAACCTGATGTGGAGGAATCTTGGTGATACAGATGCTTGTTGCTGTTTCGCTTCTTTTTCTTCTTCACAATTCCACCATCTTTCAGAAGCAATGGCTTCCCTTTCAGCCGTAGCTTTCCTCGCACTACATTCTCGTACGACGCCGACATTTCATCGCCGAACTGGTAAATTCGAATCGTATCAGATCTGGACAAGGAAGAAGATGAAAGAAAAGGTGCTGGTCCGTCCGCCGGTGACGATGTTATTATCAGAGAAGAACCGTCCCCGTCTTATTCCCCGAGAAGCACGTCCCAGAAGCTTACAGAAACCGAACTCTCTAGACGTGTATTGTTTCGCAAAAAGCTACGTACTTGTCATCACTTACAAATCAGTCATTCAGCATTTATGATTTAACAAACTCATCACTGAATTTTGAAACGCTAACACAACTTACAGTCGATTATTCAGGGTAGAAATCAAAATTAATTACCCGCGTATAGGCTAGCAGGCTATTGGTCCAGAAAACAGCCACGTCACTGTCGACAACAGACAGTCCACGTGGCAAATTCCTAACTGCTGAATCCCGTCCCTCCCCTGCCTCCCTTCCACCACGTGCCAATCGAGCTCAAGCTTTTTTCCTTCCTCGCCTTCAATGGCGGGCATCCTCCGCTTCTCTTCCTCCAATTCATCCCTTCCCCTCAAACAACTGTCCAATTACCCGCGCATTCCCTCTTTCTCGAACTTCCTCCATCCTCCCAAACTCTGTTTCTCCCACTTTCGCTGCATAGCCATGGCGACGAGCAGCAGCAGCACCAAAAATCCCTCTTCCGCAACTACTTTCCAGGTCCCAGAACTCGCCGCCGACGAAATGGAAAGAATGGCCGAGCAGACATTTCAGAGATACTCTTCAAATACGATCAAAAGAAAGGGAACAGGGACCGCGATTGTTTGGTTCAGGTACGATCTCAGAGTTCTGGACAATGAGGCTCTCTACAAAGCTTGGGTTTCTTCTGAATCGGTTCTCCCTGTCTATTGTTTGGACCCGCGCCATTTCCAATCCACTCACTTCTTCGGATTCCCTAAGACTGGAGGTTAGTCTCTCCCCCTGTTTTCTTCTTCATCGCAAACAAAATTTTGTTAGGGTTTTGATTATATCTTTGATGATACGCTGCCAGCTTTGAGAGCCCAGTTTCTGGTGGAGTGTTTGGCTGATTTGAGGAAGAATCTGACGAAGAGAGGGCTGAACCTTGTGATTCGCCATGGGAAGCCGGAAGAAATTCTCCCTGCTCTTGCAAAGCAGTTCTCTGCTCATACAGTTGAGCTCTTTTGATTCTTCAAGCTCCAGAATTGTGTAAAGGGTTTCGAATTGGTGGTTATTTAGATGTCGTCGGCTCTTTCTTTTGCTCAGATATATGCACAGAAGGAAACTTGCAGCGAGGAGCTAAGAGTTGAGAAGCTTGTAAGCAGAGCATTGGAGAAAATAAGTTTGACGACGACAATGATGGCTTCTTCATCAGCTCCGAAGAATCCCACACTTCGACTGGTTTGGGGAAGCACAATGTACCATAAAGACGACCTTCCCTTTGATGCTCGTAGTGTTCCTGATGTCTACACAGAGTTCCGCAAGGCAAGCCAGGGGTTAGATTGCAAATTGATCTCTTGCTTCTGAAGACTATTTGAGCCTGCAATAACAGAGGAATTCTTCTTCTTGCTTCTATCTCTTTTTGTTTTTCGCCAGTCCGTTGAAGCGAAATCCAGAATCAGACAATGTGTCAAGCTTCCCATGTCTCTAGCACCACTTCCACCCGTCGCGGTGGAAGATTGGGGGAGCATTCCGACGGTTGATGGTCTTGGCCTCCAACCTCAACAGGCAAGAAAGCCCTTTTTCCTTATGCTTTCATTGACTGTGGATTTGGGGCCAATGTGTTAGGCCTTAGGTTGGCTGATTTTTGGTGCAGGTTAGCAAAGGGATGAGGTTTGAAGGAGGTGAGAGTGCTGCAATTGGCAGAGTGCACGAGTACTTCTGGCAAAAGGCAAGATTGTTTTGTTATTAACTTGTTTACTAATAATCTCAACGGGTCTGAAAATTCTATCAATCTTATATGGAAATGGACATTGTATGTTTTTAGGACTTGCTTTGCGTGTACAAGGAGACGAGGAACGGGATGTTGGGATCCGATTACTCGACCAAGTTCTCCCCCTGGCTGGCCTCTGGATGCATTTCGCCACGGTTCATTCATGATGAGGTTGGTTGATGAGTGATCCATGAAATATCAAGCTTACTAATTTGGTCATCAATTGAATCTGTTTAAACGTATTGTTTGGTGTGTACAGGTGAAGAGGTATGAAATGGAGAGGCTAGCAAATGCTTCCACTTACTGGTACCTCTCCTTCGCTCTCTCGTTCACCACATTAACACATTTTCGAAGTACGGAGTGGTTCATTGAACAAAATTTTATGTTCATGGTTTTGAAGGGTGTTGTTCGAGCTACTCTGGAGAGATTACTTCCGCTTCATATCGATCAGACATGGCAACTCCATTTTCCAGTTAGGTAAGCAAACACTATGATGTTTATGAAGGAGACCAGTTGAGTTTCAAATGGCGGTTATAAAGAAGTGCGTCAAATGACTCTTAGGTGGCCCAAGAAGAGTGGAGAAGAGATGGAGCCAGGACCAGAAGCTGTTTGAATCCTGGAGAGATGGCTGTACAGGGTACTCTGTTTTGTTTTCTAAACTGCTATGGTTGTGCTCTGTTTTACCTCTGCTTCTGCTGTAATAAGCTTTCATGGATTTATTTCTCCAGGTATCCTTTGATAGATGCAAACATGAAAGAGTTGTCAGCAACAGGATTCATGTCAAATAGAGGAAGGCAGGTTAGACAAATGATTAGCGATTCGCTTGAACTCGGTCCGACTTGGTTCGAATGATGTTCAGACCCAATCTTGTGTGCAAAATTGTAGATAGTATGCTCGTTCCTGGTTAGGGACATGGGCATAGACTGGAGAATGGGGGCAGAATGGTTCGAGACTTGCCTTTTAGATTATGATCCCTGTTCTAATTATGGCAATTGGACATATGGTGCAGGTTTGTGCACATTACTCTGTTTCTCACATTGGACTCCTCACATTGCCTTGTTCTTTGTAGTTTCACAACTTGCTTCTGAACATTTTCGTTCGTTTGTTTCAATCGAAAGGGGTTGGAAATGATCCGCGAGAAGATCGTTATTTCAGCATTCCGAAGCAAGTAAGTTGCTTCTTTAGTTCGATTTGGGTTCTCATTTCATGATTCACGTAGCATGCAATTTAAAACCTTCACCTGGTGGTCACTTTTCTGCGAAATTTTAGGCACAGACTTACGATGCTGAAGGAGAGTATGTGTCATACTGGCTTCCCCAGCTGCAAAATCTGCCGAAAGAGTCGCGTAACTTTCCTGGGAAATCGTACATCAATCAAGTTGTACCTCTAAAGTTTGGTGGCAAACCTAATTATAAGAGCCATGCTCAAGCCACAACCTACAATGGCAGGCAGCAGCAGCAGAACAGCCGTGGAGGCAGAGCGACCAGAGGAAACAAGAGATGGAACTAAAGCATGTCGACGAGATCACTCTTGGTACAGAGCAACAATGATGGAAAAGCAGCAACTTTGTTGAATAAAATTTCAGTTCTGCCTCATTTAGGCAGGAGATTATCTTGAATGAATGGAAAGAACGCTTTGCAAATTTACATTGGAGGAAGAACAAGCAAAACCATGTATACGTTGTGTGTTAAGTGATTCAAATTTTCCGTGTACTCTGATGACTAGATGAGAATCGTAGCGGTCTTGATTCGTGATGCCAAACTTAGCAAGCCTGTATATAGCGTTCCATTGAACTGAGAAACTCCATGCAGCAATTTGAAATGGATTTTTTTATTTGTCCAGTTTGAGTTCATTTTCTCTTCTTAGCAGCAAGACGACATTTCAACTGCACAAGAATGGCAAATAGCTTCAATACTGGATTTAAATTTTAAACAAGGAAACAGATATTGATTAGTGCTGCAAAGTTAATGTTGAAAGGACATGGTGGTATGAAAACCAATTCATCATAAAATGCCATTTGTGCCAATGATTAAAAATTCATCATAAATTGGCTTGACACTAACAGTCTGTCAAGTTTTGCTTCAGCAAGATATACAATGTAATGTAATGATTCCAATCTCAACCATTACCAAACACAGATTCATAGTTTAAAACTAAGAGACCATACCTGCTCAATGTATTTCAGTTGCACTAGTACTTTCTCGGATTCCAACTCCTAAAACAAAAACAAAAAATTGCCAATATAACTTCAGAAACAAGCTAAATGTGGTTCGGTATATGCATGGAGAAATATGTCAAGCATGCATAAAGAGATATCAACAAAAAGCCGGTTCTAGGAAATCAGCTGTTCGGATATAAGCCAATGGGAGGAAGTGAAAACAGAATGCTCACCTGTGGTACATTGCAATCTGCATGAAATGGATCCCAAGGAAGAGCACAAGAACATTCCCAATCATCACTTTGGACTGCAGAGAGTGGTGCCCTGGATGACAGCACTTTCGATATCAGCTTAAGAGCAATGGCTACAAAAAAAACCCAGGTAATGCCTTGCCTAGAAGTAAAGTGTTATGCAGGCCATTCATTTGTCCCAAGTACTAATAGAACCCATATTCACTTGAAAAATAGCAGAAAGCACAAGTCTCTTCTACCCGACTCAGTTTTAGCAATCAAAATCAATAACTTATCAAAGAAACCATGAAATTTTAACCGTAACCATTTTAGCTTACATATTCAACCATTATAGTAAGTGAGAAATGAATGATCCAACGAAACTCAGAAATGGGGAACATTGTGTTGTCAAGGTATGTGATAATTATACAAATGAAAATGCAATGACCATAGATATGCTTCATGTAATTAGAAAATCATTCCCTGTTAACCTCATTTTGTAACAAATCATCAATCTCTAGAAATCATGAAGCATCAAGTTAGGAAACCAGTTGGAATCACCAAATAGTAAACTTGTTATTGTACTCACTTGTCGAGCTTAAGAAACCTTGAAGTGTCTAATCATCTATTATATGAGTCGCTCCCACTATGCATACAGGATGTAAATATGGATACCATCTTTTACCTGCGCCACTTCCCACATACTCTTTCGTAGCCCCGTTCTTTGGGTTGATCATCAAGGACCTCTCGACATTGCAGCCAGTTGCTCATGGAGCTGGGTTTTAAGATATTATCTTTAGCACACCCCTTAAGAAATGAAAAATATCATAAGATCAAAACCTTGGAAAAAGTTAACCCCACAAAAGCATTTAAAACACAATTTTTGGCCAATGCTTCTAATTAATTTCCAAGACTATCAGCAAACCCTTCTGTCCTTTCTTTTGAAGTGAATGATAATTCACTTACATGTAATCCCAGAGTCTCAAGTGGATCCATTTCAATTGGTTCGCCAATGCAGTCAGAACCCCTAAATACCAAACTGAAATTAGGAAACCGTAGAAGTATGGGAACATCTAGAGGTTACAATCTTATAGACAGCACCATATGATAGAAGGATAGAAGATAAAAATACTTACTCAGTATTTTTACCACGCCATTCAGGCACTGTTGCCTGAAAGGGGTCACCAATCCTCACCAGGGACACATGTGAATCAGGATACTTCAACATACGTGCTATTCGACCTAATTTCTGGTTAGGACCCAAACTCCAACCTTTCATGCCTCGTGATTTAACATGAAGAGGTCCCTTTGCATCTTTGCCTTTCAATTTCAAGCAAGCTTTACAATACCATTCGTCAGCGTCCTCCAATGTCTTTTGGTTAGTACCACTGCAAGACAAATGAAATGCCTCCTCACAATCATCACATATTATCATATTCACAATACTGTCCAACACGCCACATGCCTCGCATGACTGATATGCGTTTTCACTTGCAGGATCAAAAGCAGGCTTGCTTTTGGGACCATTTCCGAGAGGAATTCCATGATGCTTAAGAACAGAAATGCAGATTTCTTTAATCTGGAGATCTTGTTCTGACTCCTCTGGGTCAGAAATCCAGCACTTCACATCACCGGTAGTTCTTGTCAAAGAAGTGCCGCACGAAATATGCTCTTTGTCACATTCTCTTGACCGCAGTTCAGGGCCACCAGATTCATCAAGAAGCCGAAGATCATCCTTGCCTATTTCAGCACCTATTACTGAACCTTGAACCCTCTTACTACTAGAACCACTAGCACTCCTTTCCTGCTGAGAATCACTATCGAGCTCAACCTCATCCTCACACGCAGCTTCAGTAAAAAGAATTAATGAGTTCCTTCGAATTCTTCTCCGCTTGTACTGGACATTTGATCCGGAAAACAAAAAGGAACTGCAATGGGATGAGGGATCTGCATTATCATCTTCAGCACCGTCTTCGGGTTGTGAACAAGGCTTCCACGCTTCGCTCTCAGGGATCCATTCCCATGCTACATCTTCATTTTTACGATTCAGGGAGCAAGATACAGGTCCTTCAACTGAACGTTGGAGCACCATGTGCGTTTAATTTTCGCCTGTCATTACATGATAATAATTCAATTTCTCAAGATCTGTCCAACTTAAAATACCAAAAAAATTTACCCTAATCCATCTCCAAAAAGGAAACCCTAATCCATCTCTCCAAATCCATGTTCAACCCCAAGAGTCTAAGACTTGTGGGATTTACTATGCATATCTTCCTTCAAAACACGCCGAACCACGAAAAGTTATTGATACATTCGTTCAATGATACGTCCAATACTATCCCAGCCCCATTAATACCCAGAAAACCAATGAAAGCAGGCAATTCGGGCTTACAGCCCTACCAGAGGCCTCAAGAAGGTTTCCATCAGATTGGCAAACTCATCCATCCACGTTCAACAAAAAAAACAAAGCAAGCACACAAACAAACAAACAAACAAACAAACAAACAAGAAGACATATCTCGAATTGCCGGACGTTTCCCAGTAAACGAATTGTACACTCAGGACATTTCTACAGGTAATCGAGGAAACAAAATTACAGGAAAGCTGAAGAGACTGCGAAACCGAAATTCAAATTCCGCAAATCCAACTAAGGACTCGTAAAGTGACCAAAAGAAACAGATACTCTTAACACCCACAGAAAAGTTACCAAACAAATGAATACGCACAAAAAAAAAGAGCAGATATTCAAGAACAGGAAACAGAAAACGGCGAATTGAATATTCCAAATCCAAGGCGTACCAGAGAGAGCAAGTCCACCGGCCGGAGTTGCTGTTGCGTTGGCACTGAACCGAAATGGACGGAGAAATAATTAAATAGTGTATTAGGAAAAGTGACGCGACGTTTGGTTGGAAGGAAGGTGGTAAGTTAATTGAGGAATTTTGCTTTAGAATGATTTAGAATGGTTGTTTTTATTTAATAGAAAAAACTGGTATTTAATGTTACTAAATTTAATTTGTATCTATATTTTTGTATAAATATTTTTTATTGTACAAATTTAACTTGTAGTTCAAATTGAGTTTGCAAATATTACTTTATGGTACAAACTGAATTTGTACATTTATGTTATGAACTTATGATACAAAGTACAAACTGAATCATAATATAAAGTACAAATTTCTTTATAATACAACCACGTAGTGATGACAATTGGGTGCGAGGCCGGATATGTCGACTCATCCTTATATGTTATTAAAAAAAAAAGAGCATCGATATTTGATCTTTCACATGTAGACATAAAGAAAACACCTTGCAATTGAATGAGAAATATAGTAGAAGAAATAATTGAGGCTAAATAGTTGAAAGATAGAGTCTTAAAATTCCTTTGAGATGAAAATATGATTTTAGAAAGGTCAAAAGAGGAGGATACATGTAGATATTGATGCAAATCATGATATAACAGGTCGAGAAAGAGACGGGACGGGCTTGGGATGGGAAAGGTCGAAAGCAAAATTCATGTCCCGCTCCATGCTACTGCCTACTACGAATCGGTAATACCCGCCCCAAACAAGTCGGGGCAGGTCTGGTAGCACTAGTTAGATAATATCTTCCCTAAACAGGATTTGTACCTCGAAACAACAATACTTTAGAGCATAATGGAAGGGCTCAAATTAATAATGTCATTTCTCCTACTAATTTAAGTAATCATTAACGACACTCAAAGTACGGGAAGTATGTAGCACGTAAAAAAGACGAAAATATCAAAGGTCGCGACCTAACAATAAAGAAGGCATGAAGAGTTCAAAATTGTATTTACCTTAAAATTGACGCGTTCTAATCTTTGACCCACGATCGGTTGTTAGAGAAAGTGTCTTCAGACACTAAGAGTTTGAAACTTATTTGACTCTAACGAACGAATGACACCTATATCCAACAATCAAAGTACACAACAAATATTGGAAAATGAGTACAAAAATATGAGAGGAAACAATGACCGTTTATCTAGAAACGTATAAGAACCTTGTTATGATGAAGAAGCCATAATGCAAGTATGAGAAACTTGATAAATGCGTCGAAATCTCTTCTTAACTTGGAAGATGATGAACTTAAGAAGAAGAAGAATGGTTGGACGTTCAACCTTGAACTCAAATAGAAAATTTCTAATGAAGCATGGTTGCCTCCTTCATCCATGACTCGTCCATTCACTCTAGTTATCTATTTATAAAGATTGCATGAGAACTAATATATCATAATTAAGGAAAGAAATCAAGTCCTAAACAGTCATAATAACATATCATACCCTAATTCTACTCAAATAAGGAAACTAATTATTCATATTGACATATATCCTAATTATTATACTATGACAAGGGAAATAATTAATAAATATTATATGAGAACTAATCTAGGACAAGTAAGGAAGGAAATCAAGTCCTAAACCACCATAATGACATACCATATCCTAGTTCATCTCAAAGAAGGAAATTAATTATTCATATTAAAAAAAAGAAACATATGAGAATTCTAAATAATCATAATGACATAGCATAGTATATAGGATAAGTAAGGAAATCAAGTCATAAATACTGATAATAACATAATATATTCTGCTTCTTATCAAATAAGGAAAATAATTATTCCTATAAAAAGACAGATATGAGAGTTTTAAATAGTCATAATGACATATTATATCCTAACTCTATCATGACTAGGGGTGGGCATCGGTCGATTCGGTCCAAAATCGGACCAAACTATCATTGGACCGGACCAAAATTTCTTCTAAATCAAGGACCAAAGTCGAATTGTTATTACTTCGATTCGGTCCAGATCAAACCATATATGGCTCGATTCGGTCTGGACCATCCCATTGGACCGAGTAATCTTTCATTCGAATAAAATCACTCTTAAAGGACAACACAAGAATTAAAAAATGTAACAACATAAAAAGAAGTAATCAAATTAGGGCTAATACCACTACAACACCCGAACTATGACAAAAATGCCACTTGTGTCCTATTCTTTTCAATATTTCATTTTTGTCCTGAACTATTATTCCATGAATATTGACCGGCGTTGATTGTTAGTATTTAACAGAAAATCCAGTCAGCGTTGACGTGGCATCTGACGTGTTATTTTTAAATAATTAAATAATAATTAAAAAATAAAAATTCCTAATCTCATCTACCCGATCTCCCTCCCGAGCTTGCTCCACCCCTTCCTCTTACCTGGGTCCGCCACCACCACAATCCTCCCACTCCGCGGCCGCCGACCCTGCCCTCTCCTCGCTCAACTTCAACCATTACAGCTCCACCGCATACATTTTCATCACAATGGCCATTCAGATCTCATATTTGTCGTTGCTGCCGGTGATTCAAAACTTCGTTGCCGCTCCATCGCTGCCAGATTCTTTAACAATGCAGGTGAAACCCTCCTCCATCGTGTCGCCATCGTCGGTGAAACCCATTACCCTGTTCAGAAAGGCGACGAAATTAAGAATGGGTGAACTGTAAGTTTTATGGATCTGCTCAGTTTCTTTAAATTGGTGGGTCTGATTGAAAGCTGGGTTGCTCTGCTTCTGGGTGAGTGGAATAGTGGAAAGGAGAGGGGGGTTGAAAACCCGCCAGGCGCCAACTATTTCCGTTTAATGCCGCGAGCAAAGGATAAATCTCTATATCAACGCCAATGGCCACCCGCGTTGCCAGCTTCCTCAAAGCCAATATTTTTTTTCTTGTCTTTCGAAGAAGGAAGTGGAGAAAGCTGATTCCAAGAAATATGACGATGATTTGATGGGTAATTGGGACGAATACAGATCGACAAGAACCCAAAAAACACATATCCGATTTTGTCACTTTCCCAGCCACGAAAACTATCTCTCTTCTTCGGCCGCCACCAACTGTTGCTAAATTGTCTCTACTTCTTCACCTCCACGTCGATCTTCGAATCTCCTACCTCTGCGTGGATCTACAGATGCGCCCATCGCCTTGGACCAAACAGAGACAAGATCTATGCTTCTCCGGTGGTCATTCTGATTGACAGAGGAAGAAGAAGAAAGGGAAAGTGCAAAGTAAAAATTTTCACTAATGTTGAGTTTACATTTTTTGAGTTTTTTTAATATTATTTGTAATTTAATTTTGAATATAAAATATGAGGTGTCAATGACGTGGCATTTATGTTGCTGCCACATTTTTTGCCACGTCAACAAAAGTCAACTTTGCGTTCACCACCATTTGGTCAACCGTTATCTTTAACGGTCAACGAAATTGACAGGATACAAATGACTAGGGGTGATAATCGGTTGGCGGTTTCTCGGTTCAACCGAAAACCGCCCCGAACCGAAAACCGAAAATAGCCTGGCGGTGTCGGCGTCGGTTGGCGAATTTGGGTTATAATGCTAACCGCAAACCGCGAGTGAAAAACCGAGCTAAACTCGGTTCAACCGAAAACCGACTTCTCACCCCTAATCTCCCCCTGCAACCCCCAGTCCCCCACTCTCTTCCTCTTCCTCAACACGATTTTCCCTCTCCTAAACATGATTTTCCCTCTCCTCTTGCAGGTCTCTCCCTTCTTCTCCCTCCTCCATCGCTAACCCATATCCTCTCCCCTAGCCGCTCTCCGCCTCTCCCCCTCTCTTCCTTTCCCTGTATCCTCCAGATCCAAATTCACAAAGCGGCGATTTGGTTCTCCTCCGCCGATAAGAAAGCGGCGATAGTCGAGATTCAGCGAATAAAGGCCAAGAAGGAGAAGAGGGTCGTTGTTGGAAGCAGCCCAATCCTCTAACTCGTCGCCCCCCTCACTCCGCCTCCCAATCCAGAGGTCGATTTCGAAGCGGCGATGACCGTTGCTCCACCTCCGCCTTGCATGTTTCGAGCGGCAACGGATTCAAATCCACGCCTCTGCCTCTCCCGCAGATCAAGAACTCCGACCATGTATGCTCGTCATCGCTCCTCCTCTGCCTTCGGCGACGGATTTAGATCCAAATCCTCCTCTCGACGCTCTACCTCTCGACGGGTCTCTCTTCTTCCTCTGCCGATGGTTCAAAATTGGGATTTTTCGGTGACATGCATAGCGATGGTGGTGGTCGGAGGTGGTGTGCGTCGGTCTCTGAATAACCGTCGTTGAAACCGAAACCGACGGTTGCGGTTTTCGGCTAACCGATGGTGCCGTCGGTCGCGGTTGCCGATTTTACCTCTTTCTCGGTGTCGGCTAACCGCCTTTGCGGTTCGGTTGAAACCGAAACCGCACCGCTAACAGGCCTACAAATGACACAAAATATCATAGTTGAGGACATGAATGGAATATTTGATACAATAGGACACAACACAAATGACATTTTTTCGATAGTTCGGGTATTGTAGTGGCATTAGCCCATCAAATTATCCCAATTTAAATACTCCACAATTCTTAAAACCCACATGTTCCAAAATATTATGGAAAAGGGTTAATACCTTATTTTGGCCCGAATTATGACCATATAATCAACTTTGGCCCGTGATTTCAGAAATTAACATCCTGGCCTCAACTATGCAGCATATAGACTCAATTGGCCCGACACATAGTTTGACCGTCAATTTGGACGGTCAATTCAGTTGACCGTTAGTCAACACGCCATGTCATTGCCTAGTCAGCCTAAAAATCATTAAAAAAATGCAAATTTCAAATTATTTTTCTAATTTTTCTTATTTATTATTAAATTAACCAAAAATAAATTATAAAAAACATAAAATAAATTTGATTTTTTATTTTTTGGATAATTTGAAAAATGATGAATTTTATAAATTAACCAAAAATTATCAAATTATTTTATATTTTTAAAACTTCCCACCAAAATATAATTTATATCATAAATTTTAAATTTATGAAATTTTATTTGATAATTTTTGGTTAATTTATAAAATTTATCATTTTCAAATATCACAAAAAATTATTTTATATTTTTAGAATTTTATTTTTTGGTTAATTGTAAAATGATAAATAATAGAAATTAGGAAAATAATTTGAATTAAAATTTTTTAATAATTTTTAGGCTGACTAGGCAATGACATGGCATGTCAAATTGACAGTCAAACTATGTGTCGGGCCAATGGAGTCTATATGCTGCATAGTTGAGGCCATGATGTTAATTTCTGAAACCACGGGCCAAAGTTGATTATTTGGTCATAGTTCGGGCCAAAATAAGGTATTAACCCTATGGAAAAAGCTAAACGAGAACTAATTAACTAAAAGCCAAAAGTCTTTTTATTCAATCTCAAAGTAATCTAACTAATTGCCTCTCTAATCTTCCATTTTTATTTTTAGAGTGCACGTTGGACCTCCCAATATCCATAATTTTCACTGTTCATTAGAAAGGAGTTTAACAAAATGGAACTTACTCCAAGAATGAGTACAATAAAACAAATGATTCTTAAACTTGCTAATTTGCAGTGGTGTTGTTAGACTTGGCAGAAGCATCTGTGGTGTCATTTATTCACATCTTCTCCATATATGAAACAGTATACAAGAAAAGAGAACAACAAATAAATACATGGTTCACAATGTAGGTAAAGTAAGGAGATCTCTTGATTGAAGCAACGCGGATGAGAACTTTAATTAGAGGGTAGGACTATAGGAGCGACGAGTCGAAGTCAGGAAAAGTCAATCATATTTATAGGTAATTAAGTGACATGTAGGGTATTATGGTTTTCAACTCCAAGTCGACTTTCCTTCTCAGAGCCTAATAAAATAGGCAATTAATTTAATTACGATTTGGTCTGATCCTTAGCTTGATTTTACGGTTTCAGTCTGATGTGAATCAAATCGTTACCCACCCCTAACCATGACAAGGAAAACAATAAGTTATACTAAAATAAGCAAAGAAATAAATCACAAATCTAAATAGACATAATGAAATGAACAAAATAACCTAATTCTACTAAAAGTCTAAAACAAAGAGAGTAATGAATTATATCAAAAGAGGGAAAGAAATAAATAATAATTTAATAAATAATAATGATCAATCATATATTAATTTTATTAGTGAATTCATAAAAAAAAAAACATTATGGTCGCTTTTGATTGTTTTTACTCATTGAAGCAATGCATTCAATCAACCAAGTTAGATAATGCAAATGCACATGACAAGGTTGATTGATGATTTTTTACACCAACGATGCAAAAAATAACTATTACATGTATATAAGGTTGAGGCATGTTAATCGATTCATCTAGTCAAATCAAAATTATCGTTTAGCCTAATGAGGATGGGAGTAAAAGAGAACACATTGGTTGCTATATTGGGTATGAAACTGGTTGCTCAACATGAAAAATATTTTAGCCTACCAAAGATTGTGGGAAGGGAGAAGAATCGAGTATGGAAGAAAGTTAAAATGTGGAAAACAAAATGTTACCAGGCAGAGCCAAGGAGGTATTGGTCATGGCGAATTCTCTATGCAATGTCGATGTTTCAGATTCTAATGAGTGGTTTACAACAAACTAATAATTTGATTGCAAATTTCTGATAAGGGCACAAGAGCATAACTCCCTCGATCAAATGGAAGAATTATGCATGCCTAAGAATGAAGGAAGATTGGATTAAAATACTTGCTACGTTTAATGTGGCTCTGCTATGAAAACAAGTGTGGAGCTTGTTTGGTAACTTAAAATACCTAGTTGCTCGAATCATGAAGGCAAATTTCTACCCTTGTAGGTTGCAATCCCCATCATATGTAGAGTTGAAAATAAGACACATATAGACATATGGAACGATCACTCTGTAGTCTGTTCCAAAGCCACCCATCCCAAATTGGTGACATTACTATTTGGGAGAGCTAATATACCATACATGATACATCCAGAACACGAAGAAAGGCAACGGTCTTGCATACACATTTCAATACGATATATCGTGTTAAAATACAACAAGTTACTACTCAATAAAAACCGACAATCGACTCGCCATGTTCGACAATGAATGAAAGGATTGATTTGTTAAAAACTAATAGTTGAAGCCTGTGCATATGACAAAATATTAGTACAGGGGCTAGAGCGGTGACATCAACGAATAACCGCTGCAAAATATTAAACGGCGTCAGAAGGCGACGTCAAAACTCATACCAGAATTCAGAACTCGTCGTCACATTGGCGTTTCCGTGACCTAACGGAAATCCAGTCGGTCGGCCCAGACTCCAAAGTCCACTGGCGGAACAAAAAATTAAAAATAAAGTTATAAAGACCTCCGAGATAACATCACCAATAACCGCACTCTCTCTCGTCAGTCGTCATCTATCAATCTCCGGCAGCAAGAATGGCCTTGGTACCGGCTGGGAATCCTATAGTCGAGCAATCGGAACCTGATGTCCCTCCAGGGATGACGGTGGAGGCGACAGCGACGGCGGAGGCAGAGCAGGGGATTGAAACTGTAGGAGAAGCGCCGGAGGACGCGGCCGCGGCCGCGCAACCAGAGGCGACGAAGTGGCCGGGATGGCCGGGGCATAACGTGTTCAGGCTTATAGTTCCGGTGGCGAAAGTAGGTAGCATTATCGGAAGAAAGGGCGAGCTGATTAAAAAGATGTGCGAGGAAACGGGAGCGCGAATCCGCATCCTCGAAGGGCCCCTCAGTATTCCCGATCGAATCGTCAGTATTCGTTTCTTGCCCTACGAATTGCAGAGTTTGCTCTTTCTTTATTGTTTACTCTGCGACTGAAAGTTTTGAGCTTCGATTGGGTTTCTTTGTGCGATTGTGAATTGAGATTGCTCATATTATGCAAACCCTAGTTCCTGATTGTATTTTCCAGTTGTGGAAATGAGGACCACCAATGGCACCTGAATGAGATAACGGAAATTTGGGTTTACATACTGTATCACGGTTGCTAGTTGTTGAGCGATAGTGAGCTGGGGCAAAGCCGTTCCTTTGTGCTTATTCAGATTATGGAGTATCTGATTCCAGGGTTTCTAGCTTGCTCTAGGATTTTTGTTACTCGGAAAATCATGGTTGACAATTGAGTTCAGCCTGGCTTGATTTGTTTCAGTCACTTGAGTTTAGAAGAAAACCTTTATCTCTTTTTTGCCAGTTCTGTGCTTAAAGTTCCTCTACACAATTATTTAATGCACCTATTTTTCGAGAGCCCTCTTCCCTTGTCCTGAATTTCTCCTTATTCTTGTGTTCAGATTTCTGAAAGAGCATTTATATTCTGGGTAAATTGTGGGGATCACTAATCTTGTTGAATCAGTTATGGGAACAATAGGTGAACTTCTTTTTTCATTGTTCATCCTTGCTAGGTTTTGATATCCGCAAAGGAAGAACCAGAAGCACCAGTATCACCAGCAATGGATGCGGTGTTAAGAGTGTTCAAACGTGTCAATGGTCTATCTCCTGTTGAAGGCGACAGCACAAATGCTGCAGCTGCTGGCGCTGCATTTTGTTCCATTAAGTTATTAGTTGCAAACTCGCAAGCAATTAACTTGATTGGAAAGCAGGGATCCACAATAAAATCAATACAGGAGAGTAGTAGTGCAGCTGTGAAGGTGTTAGCTGAAGGTGAGTCACAAATAAAGTCCTTTAACTGTTCTTCATCTTCAAATGCATTAGTTCAAGTTTTTTGGGTTGAATTTTTCCAATTCCAACATAACAACTTAAGGCTAATTATTCTTCCCTATTCTCTTTACTCCATGCTTGACTAATCATGTCTTCGAACCTATGTAGGGCTGTTTGCAGTCAATTTAGCAGAACATGTGGGAAAAGATGTTTGTACAGTTTTCCTTTTCCATGAGCATGTTTAGCATCAGCATGGCTTTCTGTTGAAAACTTGTACTAATTTAAACTCAATACTTACCTGATCAGTAAACTTTTCGATCCATTGTGGCATGTTAGACTTTTGATTTGAGCATTAGTAGATTGAAATTTTTTGTCTCGAAGTCTCTGTCTGCTTTGTGCTGTTTTTATTTCTCGGAAAGGAAGCATCTTAACACTCATGCTTTTCTTTGTAGGCGACTCGCCTTCCTATGCTGCTTCAGAGGAGCGACTTGTGGAGATACATGGGGAAGCACTGAAGGTTCTTAGCGCACTAGAAGCAGTAATTGGACAACTGAGGAAGTTCTTGGTTGACCAAAGTGTCATCCCCATGTTTGAGAAAATTGTAAGTAGTACTATTAGACCTTAGTTGATCTTGGTATAGGAATTAAACTACCGTTTATGCTAATACGATCTGTTTGTTGCAGACACAGGAGCGTTCTGCTGATTCCAAGCCTGATAGAGTTCAGCCCTCACTGCAGTATTCTGTTTCTGCTTCTCAGACAGGGAGTATCAGTTCCGACTATTCCCTGTCAATAAAGAGGGATCCTTTGCTATTTGAACGTGACACACATATCGAACAACAAAAAGTTCTACAGCCTGGGCTCTCTCTGTATGGACAAGACCATGCACTTGGGTTGCGTTCAACAGGTCTTGCTCATGCTAATGTCCCCATAGTTACTCAGGTAGAGTCTCTAATTGGTCGTGGTTGTCCCATTATCACAGTTCAAACGATCTTTCCACCTTTTGTTCTGTTAAATTGTTCCCCAAGAAATCTGGAACATTCAAGTGACTGATATGGGCTTTTTCTTTCAGGTGACACAAACTATGCAAGTGCCACTCTCGTATGCGGGTGATATCATTGGAGTTAACGGTACACATATTGCCTACATTCGCCGTGTCAGTGGAGCAGTTCTCACAATTCAAGAGAGTAGAGGTTATCCTGATGAGATCATAGTTGAAATCAAGGGCACTACTACCCAAGTCGAGAAGGCTCAACAACTAATTCAGGTTTGATTTCAAAAGTTCCCTCGATTAGGATGACGTCAGAGCTGGTATCGATACAATCATTCTTTTGCCGTCAGAGTTGCTAAAACAATATTGGTGGTGGTAATTTGTTTTGCAGGAGTTTGTAGGTAATCACAAGGATCCGGTGGTGGCACCACAGAGTTCGTATGGGAAGATCGATGCAGGATATAGTTCATACTCGCAACAGTTGCCGGAGACCAACTATTCATCTTCTTACTCTCCTGGACTAGGTGGAGGAGGAGGAGGAGCTTATGGATCCCCTGGTTTAGGATTAGGAGGCTATGGCGGTTACAGATATTGAATCGTACCCGTGTTGTAATGTAATCAAATCTACTCTGCTGGATTCACTCATGGGCGCAAATGCAATGTTTCAGTAGTGGCTAACCGGATATCGTGGTTGAGTCGCTTTCGTAACATAGAACAGATCTTTGTAAATCATCATTCCTTTCTCTCTAAATTTGAATTTTGGATAGCGAATTGTTTACCCCGTTCTATTGCAGGTGCCAAGGTGATTGATGAAATTGACGAGATTGCGTAGAAATTTTGGTTGATTGTTTGACGAAATTAACATAGTTGCGTGAGACAAATATACTATACAACTTCGTTTTTTCTCCCTATCCGTCGAACTACTTTGTCCGTCTTTCGGCTCGTAATACTCTACTGACTGGAGTGAAATGATGGGGAAAATTGATTTTTAATGCAATTTTGGCGAACATTTTATCTCGTCGCGCTGCAAAAGATAAAAACCAGTAAACCACCTCATTTCACCTTGCCGTCGCTTAAATCCCCTACTCCAGCGCTTTACTTTGTGCCCGCGCCTCTTCAGTCTCGACGACAGCCCTAAGGCAGCCCACCGCCCGCCCGAATCTCATCGGCGTCGGACATTGCCCGTCGGAGCCCCGTCTTCCTTCGTCTTTCAGTTGCTGTTGCGTCGCTCTTTGTTTCCTCCATCGGGAAATCAGAATCTAGTCCGCCGCTCTTTGTCATATCGCAAAAACTACGGCGGCCGCCGAGTGGTTATGTATTCATGATTATTTCTCTGTCCCGACGCAGCTGCTGGTGCTTTGGTCTCTCGCGCATTGCATATATAGCTCTTCATCGTCTCAAGAGGCGGGTGCGGTTGCCGCCGCTGGTTTCTGAATTTGGTTCATAGTCAGATTTCAATTGATTTCTCTCAATCCTAACTCCGGCCGGCGTTTCTGTGACCTAATTCCAAGCCCCTGACGAACTGATTCAGCTAACGGCACGCTGCTGGTGTCTTTTTCTTGCTCTCCTTTATCATCTGACTCCGGCGACGATGGCCCTGGTACGTTAACCTGAATGATATTAGTCTTGGAATCCTGTAGGGGTGCGGTTTTCCGGTGTATCTTAGACTCTGTATGCTAAATGCGTGGTTGTTTTGGCGATTACAGTTATTATTGTCTCGTGGAGAATCATCAATGGCGGCAACTCAAATCTCTTTCATTCAGTTTCTGGACCAAGCTGTTGGCAACATCAAGCGCAAGTTCGATGATATGATCGCCAACATTAGTTGTTGCAAAGCTATCACAGATTCATATACGAGGTAAAATTTGCTTCCATTACATTCTACCACTGAATTAACATTTGTCCTGCATTTCTGAACCTCAAATACTCTCAGGCATGGCAATGTGCTTGGTAATGGCTCGTTGGACGACATCATGAACTCGATTGGGCGTCATTGCCAGTTAAGATCTGAGGACTGGTTCTCAAACAAGAATGAAGATAATAATGGAGGAAACTCACCCGCTGTTTTCAGTGTGTTGGATGATATGCTAAGGGAACGTCTGGAGCGGTTGAAATCGATGAGGTGAGGGCTGGTCTTTTTGGATTCCCTTTTATATTACATGGTTTGTAGGACGAGTCATCAATTGAAGGTGATATTTCTTCATTGAATGTTCTGGATTACTTGCAAATTGTTGAATTAGAGAAGTGGTAAACAAATTTAGCCCCTTTTCGGTTAATTTTTGCAGGGAAAGTATGTCTCTGACGAACATTGATGTAGTTGCACATATCAAAGAAAACATTGTTCTAGATGGAATCACTACTGTCGGTGTTAGAGAGCATTCATCTACAATTAGGAATTTATGTCTAGGGGGTAAGTTGGGAGTTGCTTTGTTGCTGAGGAGAAAAATGATGCAGAATGGTTTCGTGCCAGATGTTTTCACCCACAATCATATTGTGAATGGACTATGCAGGATGGGGGAGCTGGACATGGCAGGTAGGCTTATTAGTGAAATGTTGGAGCAGGGTCCGCTTCCCAACTCTGCCACCTATAATACCCTTGTCAAGGGTTACTGTCTCATGATTAATCCTCAAAGAGCTTGCAATCTTCTCTCTCATATGAGCAGAACTGGCTTCAGGATGAACACTGTTACAGTTAATATACTCGTGGATGCATTCTGTAAGGAGGGCATTTTTGAAGAAGCTTACAAATTTTTGGACGAGAATGTGACAGCGAAACCAGATTCGGAAACCTTTACTATCTTCATGGATGGCTACTTCAAGAGCAAAGATTTTGGGAAAGCCCTAGGTGTTTGGGAAGCAATGTTGGAAAATAATCTCCAGTTGGATGTTGTTGCCTACACTGTTCTTATCCATGGACTTTGCTTGGCCCGAGAGATGGAACTTGCATATAGCTATTCTTGTCAAATGCTAAAAAGAGGTATACTTCCAGATATCTTTACATACAACACCATCATATCTGGCCTTTGTAGAGTGGGAAAATTTGATGAGGTGAAATACATACAGAAAGTGATGCTAAGTATGGGTGTCGCTCCAGATCAAATCTCATGCAAAACGATTATTCGCAGCTTATGCCTCCGTGATGTTTATCAGGCGAAAAATTACCTAATTTATATACAGAAGGCTGTAGTGCTAGAACCTCTGGTGTGGAACCTTGTACTTGATGGTCTTGCTAGACTTGGAGATCTTGATACAGCAGACGAAATTCTGAAACAGATGCTGTCGAAGGGTGTTGAACCAAATGTGTATACATACAATGCATTGATTCTCGCATGTATGAGAAAAGGAGACATCAACACTGCAATTACTAGGAAAGAAGACATGCTTTCTAAAGGGATTAATCCTGATGTGGTGACCTATAATCTCTTGATAGGCGCCGCTTGCAATGGTCAGGATATTCGGCGGGCATATCAATTACTGTATGAAATGCGGCTAAGGAGCCTGGAACCGGATATGATAACTTACACAAAACTTATCCGAGCTCACTTTATTAGTGGTGATTTGAATGCAGCACGGGAAATCTTTTCCTACTTAAGGAAGACTGGTTTAGCTGTAGATCATGTTTCATCTCTGATACTTACCAAGAGTTATAGAAATATGAGACAGATAGGACGTTATATAAAGTGGCGGGAGAGGAATCATGGAATCTTGGCTCTTCCAAAAGAGGCTGTAGACACTTCTAGTTAGACACTCGCTGTAACTGGCTGAGCTATAGACCGTGTTTCATCTCTGATACTTGCCAAGAGTTATACAAATATGAGAAAACTAGACCGTTATATTAAGTGGCGGGAGAGGAATGGTGAAATCTTGGCTCTTCCTGGAGAGGCTGTAGACACTTTGAATTGGACATTCGTTATAACTGGCTGATGGCTACCTTTTGTAGCACTATACAGTGGTGGGTTTTCTGTATAATTTATGCAGTTGTTCACTGTAAGCTTTCTTTGCGACGAACCAGTTAAAATTTCTGCTCCCTTTCTGGGCAAATGAAAATTGTAATGGTGGAATTCTTGTCTTCTAGATAAGTTGGCCTCTTAAGCTGCTTAAGATGATAGAGTTAAAGAGATTCATGATGCAGTTTCAAGGTTAATCTCTAGTGAAGTTTCAAGGTTCTAAAGCATTGAAAGCATTGCTAACTACTGAGAACTCAGGAGGATTATTGCCTCTTCATCCCTATTTCGAGAAAAATGTAAGTATCATACCCAATATTTTCATGAGCTTAATATCTTGAGAATATAAACTAATCGTTGCTCCTTTCAGTGCAAATCAACAATGATACCTGAGTGCTCTGCTCATAGCAAGCTGATAATTGTAAGTCCTCACTGCCATCTGTCATTGCTTTGTGGGTAGGGATTACGCTGAAGGGGCTGGTGACTGTGAAATTTACCAGGAGGGCCATTTACATTCTCGACAGCGTTTGCATAAGTCATTTTGCCAGTTTTTTTTTTAATTCGTGTCCCTTATGCAACATAAGCTATTCGGCGGGTTAACAATTCTGGTTGCAGTTTTGGCTGTACTAGACACACAGTCTTGTTTAAGTTTTGGGCTTGTGGCATTCTCAAATTTCTGTTTCCCCCACTGAATACAGTTGCAGCTCAAGATAATATGTGGTGACGACGTGACGTTTTTTCCACATCAATGGACTGCTAATGTGCTTTTGTTTACAGGAATTTGAGCTACAGTGCCACAAAAGTTAATGGATTGAATATTCCACCTTAGAGGTAAAAATGCACGCATTGAACTTGGCTTTCTTTGTTGGTTCTCTCTCATCGTGTTTTCTCCATACATGAATTTAATCCTTTAGTTATTTGTCCGTAATCAATTATGCTTCAGGTGGCAAAACCATGCAGGAAGTTCTCTCTCTCATATGCAAAGGATCCCTTGGAAATTTATGCTTCAGCTGAGCAGTTGACACAATTATAGAGAGTAAGAGAGCAGCCAGCAGTTCTGAGGTTTGAGATGGCTTAAAAGCTTACACAGGTACATAGTTTTTGCTGGTTAGCATGTCAGTGAGCATATCAAATTAGCCTTTCCTTTTCGACCGTAGATCAGATCAATGCACAGGACCACCTGCAGTGGCAGGTTTCATCATTCAAATTAGCCTTTTCATGCTCGAAAATTCTTCAAAAATCTTGGGTTACCCTGTATGTCTTTTGGTGCTTGCATCTTCTTGATTGAATTTACTTTCTCTCTGTATCTTCTAGCAAAACCAATGTGGTAATTTAAACAAGCATTCTATAATAGTAGTTATTATCTTCTGTTTCCTTCTGATGCCATATGCGCAAGATCTAAGAAAATCGCGTGGTCATCTTTTGTAGTAGTTCACAAGGACTAGTGCCACCAAGATTGTATCAGATGACATCTCAGTAGGTAGTAAGCTGTGCTCTGAAAATCAAATCGTAGGCTAAATTTAACACTAGAGATGATTTCAATTACACGAATTGGAGAAAGGAGTGGATCAAAGTTTCAACATTACAGTCTTTTTCTTGACATTGTTTTGCAGATGGATCATCTTACAACGCTAAAAATCAACCCCATAAACACTCTGCCCAGCCGATAACCTCACCAAGCTTCAATGGCACTTGTACACGTCGCAGAATGTCTGAACACCTAACATCACCAACAGCAACACAGCAGCCATCACCTTAGCAACATCCCACGAAACCTTCAGATACTTCTTCACCACCTTCGACATCTTGATCTTCCTATGGCTGTTGTAGAGCTCATTCACTCCCTTGACGTGATCATCAAAACCCGTCTTGTCTTCCGGATTACCACTCCCTGCCATCCCAGCAAATAGCTCCACAATCTTCCCATCCTCAGTATCCGTCGGAAGTACGATGATCCTCTCTTCCTTCAGCATCATCACGTCGGCTGCACTCCTGACCAAACAACTCATCAGCTGAACCCACCGGTTCACGATCAGATTCTCCGACTTCGCCATCAACTCGTAAGCCACAAGGTTTCTGATCAGCACCTCGCAGTTGGGGTTCCAGGTGAACGCCGGAAGCCACAGCATTTTCAAATTGGTGTCGTAACGGAGGCTTCGGATGCCATCTCTAGTACAGCCAAACTGTAAGCCGACGCTTCTCAACTGGGAAGCCGTGGGGAGCAGAACCTCTTCCTCGTCCTCTCCAATCGCCTTCCTCAACCGGTCGGAGATCCCCAGAGCTTTCGACAAGCGGACGACACGATCCACTGGCGCCGCCACAGACTGAATCAGACCGATGTTGGCATCTTTCGCTTCGTCCCAGAGATCGGCGACAAACTCCTCTGCTATTCTGATTGCAGCCTTTGTTGTCCTCCCCATTCTCGCCCGTTCATCCAGAGGTTTGTCTTTCAGCCAAATCAACTGGTACATAACGTCCAGCAAGTGCCGCGGCTCGATAAGGCCGACATCCGGGTACGTCTCGTGCAGGTCGAAAGGCGACAGCTTGCAACAGAAGTCAAATAACAGCACAGTTAAAGGCTCGGAGATGGAGGAATCGGCGTACTTGGTTTCTACCTCCATGAGCAGGGAAAGAGGGATTTGGTTTTCCAGCATCAGGACATCTTTCACTACGCTATCTCCGTTGACCTTTCTCTCGGAAGAGTCAAGGAAGTGACGCCGGGAACTGTGACGGAGCTCCCCATAATTGTGCAGATAGTCGAGCAGGAATAAACCGTCAATCGCCAGGATCCACGCCAAGGCTTCGTCGGAGATTTCCAGGTGCTTGTCGTAAGAGCAGCGGATCGCGGGCAGTAATGTGGACAGGCACCGGACGAACTCCGGGAATGAGGGGAGATGGAGGGAGCTGTGTGCCCGTTTCGCCGCGGCGAGCTTGAACGTCTGCATTGGGTAGAGCTCTGGCTTGAAATGGTGGAGAGGGCCTATGGCGATCAGCTGGGGAGCGTAGGCTTCTGGGTTTTGGGATCTGAGGTTGCCTGGGACTTGGAAAATGCTGAAGGAGTGTTCTGTGACGCTTTCGAGGTCTTGGTCGAGGCTGCCATTGACGTGGGCGACCCAGTTCTTCACTGTGAAGCTCGAGTTGATCACTGAGTCTGCAGAGGATGAAGGAGCCATTGGAGGTTTGCTTGCTCGTTTGGTTTGTAGTAAATGAAGACCAGGTGAAGGCTTCTAGTAGTTGGAGAATTATTTACCTCGTGATGATTTGGACTTTGGAGTCGAGTCAGATTATCAGCAAAAGCTGACGTTTGACGACGACGATACGTGTCAGAAAGTCGGGACGAAGGACGATTCGACAGCCTATAAGTCACGGCAACCGTTTTTGTTTTTTTTAAGCGGGTTTTGCTTTACTTTAAGGGGTGAAAATAATTTTACCCTCCCACACTATTGTTGCATCTTTTTTTTTTTGGTGCTGTCTTGCATGATGATGGGACTACTAACTGTGAAACTCTAAAAAGTCTTCTTGTGTTTTTTTTTTTCTCAGTTGGTCATGCTTGCAAAGTTCGTGCCATTTAGAGTTGGTTGTAATATGGTTTTGAAGGGTATTTAGCGTTTGTTAGGTGTGAAAGGTGGGTGCAAGTTTGTTATGTGTGAAAGGTGGGTAAATTACATAGCGGATCCCTCCACTAAAAGACAAGTCCATTCAAGAAAAAAGGCCCAACCCAAGGACTAATGGACGGGCCCCAAAAATTAAGGCCCAGCTTCTAAGCGCCGAATGAACCAAGTCACCAGCGAAAGGCTTTTTTCCGCCCTTTTTGACAGTCCGACGAAAAGCTTAGCGGTGAGACTGGTGTGTTGTCGAGTCAGAACTTTACAGGTATCCTTTCCTCTGTCGCTGTGTTCTTCATTTGGCGAGCCTCTTCCCCGTCCAAACTTCTCCGTCCGCCATCGCTCTGCCTTCTTCCTTTCGTTTTTTGCAGCTTGGCCATGGTGTGTTAATTGTGAATTGTGATGTCGCTCATTCCGATACCTTACAGTATCTTGTTATCTGCTTCACCCTCCCTATGATTTTCCCGCTCTTTTGACTCGAAGTAGCTATACGAGAACGAGATCCGCCCTCGAAACATTTCTGTGTTCCTTCGAGTATCATCATTTGCTTATTGGTTCGACTTCTTTTCGTCCCAACTAGAACTCTTCATCTCTCTCACCCGTTTGGCAGCTAGGTTTTGAGTTTTGACGATTCCAGTATCGTTAATTTTGGTGGATTAGATAGTTCTCAAATTGTGTGCTGTATATTGGTGCCACTGTTCCTTCAATTGCCATTGTTGTTTGAACACGCTGTCTCTCTCTACAAGACCTAGCTGATTGAATTACTTGGGTTCTCTTCCGTTTCTGTAGTCCTGACTGAATACAAGGTGCTGAAGCCTCAGTTGTGCGAAGAAGAAGAAGAAACCTGTAAGTAATCTCTCTCAATTATTCACTGTGGAGTTTTTGAAGCTTGTTCATCACTATTGTTGCTTAATCCTTGTTAGCATTCGTTTGATTCCTCAGTTTCTTCACGGAGTGCTATTATTTGTAGATTCAATTATTGAGCCTTTGGATTCCTAGATTTTCCAATCATCTCCTGTCCAATATGATTGCTTTAATCATTTCTGCTCTAATTAAGAATAGTTTCAATTAGTGGAACCCCAGTGCTGCAGAGTCAGAGAGGACCCGGAATATTGTTTTTGGCAGAACTCATAGTCCAGATAATATAAACTAATCTAAATACCCGGCGGGGATATGCATTATGATTAATAAAAGTGTGTTATCATCATAATCACTCTACTTTATTAATTTTTTAAGAGAGTAGGAACAAAACAACCGGAAGAAGGAGAAGAGAGGAGCAGAGACGGAGAATATTGGGGGTCTTGAAATTGCAACCATCATGGCAGAGCTTTGCACACTAGATTTGTCATAGCCGGGGAAAAATATTATGGGTTTATTGGGTTTAGCCAATTCATCATCGCTTATAAATCTCAACGTTGCTTCTTCTACATCTTCCCTCCGGCCTTCTTTGCCTTCCCTGTTCCCTTCTCTTTCTTCCTTCCGGATTCAACCTCTCTCCGCAGGTAAGTTCATATAAAAAAGCTTCCTCTTTTATGTATCCTTTTAAGTGGGCTGATATTCAGTCCATGGCTTTGTTATGTGTGTTTCGATTTGGCAGGGAACAAGAAGTTTGTGGCCCTAGTGCAGAATCTCGATCGTAATTTGGATAAGGAGCTGCTGAGTGAACCGATGGAGTCGGACAAGGATGAATCCCAGGGTGGTTTGAATCTAGGCCTCTACCCTCCTCTTGATCCGTACGATAGTGGGTTTTTGAAAGTCTCTGATCTCCATTCCATCTACTACGAGCAGTCTGGGAATCCTAGTGGCCATGTCGGTAGCTCGTTCCTTCTGCCTTTGACTTTCCCCTCTTCTTTGCTGTTTTGATTTTGCTCAGGCAATATCACCTTCCAAATTCAAATAGATACGTCGAGCCTGAATGGGATAAACTTGTGAATGGAATCTTTGGTTTGAAAGAAATTTTGGCATTGCATTCAGTTCATTGCTAGTGATGCGAAACTCTAGCTTTTGTTTCATGATGTTATTATTGTTTCTTGCAGCCAGTTGTCTTCCTTCATGGTGGACCTGGTGGAGGAACTGCACCGAGCAATCGAAGGTTCTTCGACCCGGAGTTCTACAGAATAATCCTCTTTGATCAGGTTTATGATTCTCACATCTTAGAATTGTGCTCCGAAGTGAATAGATTTTAAGGGTTGCATCCAATTCATGGTTATAATTGTACACTGGTTTATGCTTGTACTTCTTTGGTAATATTCATCATTTCAAACAATCTTTGAATCCTAAATCTTCATTATTCTAGAGAGGTGCAGGGAAGAGTGTACCCCATGCTTGTTTGGAGCACAACACTACCTGGGACCTTGTCACTGATATTGAGAAACTAAGAGAACACTTAAAAATCCCAGAATGGCAGGTGATGGAAGTTTTATTTGATTCATTATCAATTAAGAAGGCTCGTGTTTGCCTATGTAGGAGATGATTATCTTTTGAAGATCATTATTTTCATCTTGTAGGTGTTTGGTGGTTCATGGGGAAGCACACTTGCGCTTACTTATAGCCAATCTCATCCTGACAAGGTGCTTTTCCTTGCCTCGTTTTGCAAAACAATTAGATGGAAACGCAATAAACAAACATGTCTTCTTGTTAGCTATCACCATCATAATTATCTTTTCCACTGAAATTTTCTAGGTGACCGGCTTGGTCCTCAGAGGAATTTTTCTTCTACGAAAGAAGGAGATTGATTGGTTCTATGAGGGTGGTGCTGCAGCCATATTTCCTGATGGTATGCTACGCACAACTCACTTGACTCCACCTATAGTTATATGTTTTTATTTTCTCCGTCTGTTATGATGTACTGTTTAAGCAGCTTCTTCTGTTGCTATTAAGTGAAGCTAGGATTAAGCTCATGTGTTTACCTTTTGGTTGTTCTTACGTGAATTGCTTTTTCTATCCCTTATGGAAGAGTTGAAAGAAGACTGGGAAATATGGGGTTATTGTTAAAAAAAAATACTGTCTTGTTGCCTGAGGCTGTGAAATCACCGTAGTCTTCTATATTCCAGGAACCATACTAAGTTGTAAACTGGTATGCTTTGTCGTCAAAATTGATCTTCTGCCAAACTCTCAAGTCTCTCAGACCGATTTATGTTGGAGACTGGAACGTTTTATCCTTCGTTGATTACAGGTTGCTTTTCTATTGACGTGCTCAATCTAAAAGCTGTCATGTGTTTGGTCTTGATACAGCTTGGGAGCCATTCAGGGATCTGATTCCAGAAGATGAAAGAGGATCTTTTGTCAATGCTTACAGCAAGAGGCTGAACAGCGCCGACATGGAAATTCGAGTAAGAATTCTGAGAGCTGTCTCAGTGTTCAACGAAAACAGTTAACATTTTATTGGTCTAGCTTATCTTATTCAAGGGTGAAGCTTTCTAGTAGTGTATGTGTGCATTACCCTCCTTATTTTTTAGTATGCAGCTGCAAGAGCCTGGACCAAATGGGAAATGATGACTGCCTATCTAATTCCAAGTGAGGAGAGCATCAAGAGAGGTGATGACGACATGTTTTCATTGGTAAGCTTACATAAAGTGAAGCATTCCTATTTTCTTCTTCTCTTTCTAAGTGATGATGATCCGCCCCACATTCCATGGCACTCGAAGTTGACCTTTCGCTTCACCCGTCCCTTTTGTTTCTCACAATAATTGTGTTGTGATCCCGTTCAGGCATTTGCAAGGATTGAAAACCACTACTTTATTAACAAAGGCTTTTTCCCTTCGGATTCATACCTGTTAGACAACGTGGATAAGATCAGGCACATCAACACTACAATTGTCCAGGTGTGTTTTCACCATCTCATGTCTGCTCCCAACCTAGAAACTCTACTTTCTAGCACCTTTATAAAATGGTCGGTCCACCGCGACTCGCTTTAGTCCCTGCTCTCCACCAGCAGTTGTATAATTTTGCTTCCATTTGATTTGGATAATTTTGTAGGGAAGGTATGATGTTTGCTGCCCCATGATGTCTGCTTGGGATCTGCACAAGGCATGGCCAGAAGCAGAATTCAAGGTAACTCCTACTAATAACTAGTTTGCTTTCGAGCTTGAGCCGAGGATTCTGGACTAACTAGAAACAACATACTTTTCGGCAGATTGTTAGGGATGCAGGGCACTCTGCGAACGAACGAGGGATTACTGCAGAGCTTGTTGCTGCAAATGAGAGGCTAAAGAATATCATTAGGAACAAATCGTGAGAGCCAAAGTGATTCAGAATCTGGATTAGGAGAAAAACAAAGCAACCGGGAAGTCGCATATGTCTGAAGAGTGAACCAAATAATTAGCAGTACAATGCCAACACAAAGACCAACCTTGTTTGTTATCGGAATCCGGTTTTGTGTTTTGCACTTTTTATTATGTTTTGATTATATGGCTGCCATGGTAAGCACTCTGCACCATCGTGGTAAAACGACGTAAACAAATTTCGAGATCGGAGTTCAAATGAACAAGATATATGAGCGAAAAAAGAATAGAGAGAGAGAAACAATGAAATAGAGTGGGTAAGAACAAACGAAGGGAACAAAAAAAAAAAAAAAGTGGAGGCTCTTAAATAAGACTGAGATGAAACTTGATGCAACTATAGCCCTACAGTAACAAATGGGATACAACAAACAAGAAAATGGTCAAATTAGAGATTTAGGCACTAATAACAATGGGATACAACCAAACTCTCAACTCCAATTCAAGGTAAGACAAACGCAGCAGGAAATCTTGTTAATTACTGTCGCTCTGTCAAGAACCCCAGGCCCAGCATATGTAACACCGAACCAGCATTTGAATCGAGTCGGAGCAAATTGAGCACATAGCGATTCGCCTATGATTTATGAATTCATTGATAGTTAAGAAGAAGAAAAAAAATGTACTGAAATGAAATTCGGACCTGACGGAATTGTATCTAAATAGTTCCTTTGTTTTTAGTTTCGATTCTATCTCAATTCAATCGGGTTCTGCACAGACTCCGACACGACATATTCTCTCCATCCATCTAGAAGAGGAAGATTCAGTTCAGTCCATCAATTAAAATTACTTCTGGCACCATGCATATGGCTGGCTGTAAGACCAGGGAAATAATGCACAAGAATATCAAACCTCCAAAATTTGGCCAGAAGAAATAGTTTTTGGAATTTAGTTATGATTTCTCTTCTTTTTGTTTGTGGGTAATAATGAGAGGTCAAATCACCTGACTCTCCCTATCGTGAGCTGCAAATTGGTTTCCCAGTTTGTTTCTATGCTATCTACCAATTCTGCAATTCTGCATGTGTGGTCGTCAGGCAAGATTCCTCTTCAGCGAGCTAGCCGATGCTTTTGTTGATTCCCTTCCAGCCATTTACTGTGGGACCAACAACCCATCGTCGCCAAATTCTCTCGAATTGATCACTAAAACGCGTAACATAACGAGCGTAAACACGTGCTTACATCATAACTAGGATGGTAATCGAATCGACTCAGCATCCGCATTCTACACACCTCTTATTCCCTGTCATCCAAGATTTTGAAGCTTGATTAGCTATCCTTCTCCTGACACTATTAAGTTTCAACCTTAGAAATAGAAGCCATAGATTAGTGTCACGTGAAAGAAGAATAGTGGGATACAGCCTTTCAACTAGAAAGAATCGTATTAGGGGGAAGAATGAAGCACGTTGTTGGTGATGAGTAGTGAGATATTCGCAGCAGAAAAAGACAATTGCTTTCTGTCTTTCTGCCTTCTGGTCCACGGGGAAAAAAAGAAAGAAGAACAATGCGCAGTTAGAGATAAGTCCAGCATGTAAAGATGCTCTGCCGTTGCAGGCTCTCCAGCCCAATCAACTGAGAGCTTGGCAATCCTCATCAATGGCTGCTAAACCGGCTCCGACTTTCCGGGTTAACCGAACCATTTCCACGCTTGTTACGGTCACGGTTTTGGTTAACCGGTAGTAAAAAAATTTATAAAGATCTTCTTAATTTCGTTGGATAAGTTTTTCGGGTATATGCAAGACGCAAGGTTGTCAAATCGGTTTAAGTCATTGAGCCGGTCAAGCAAGGGGTTTGAGGTTTAATGGTCTGATCAGCAGGGTCCGGTCGGTTTGAGCCATTTTAGCCGTTTTGTAAATATATATATACAAATAAGATAGTAATTAAAGATTTAATGTTTGAAAAGAAATTTATCTTACATATATCTATTTAAAATTTATTTTCCACAAAATAAATCCATCTAACCTCCATGAGTCACTTACCAATTACCATCTCCCTTGTTTCGTTCCTCTTCCTCTCTTCCCACTCTCTTTAGGAGTCAAACCAGGGAGCTTTCTGGAGGCCGTTTTAAAGCACACCTTAGGTCGGACTGGATCCAGCCGGAGATCTGATAGGTGAATATTAGTTAAAAAAATGGCAAGTGGAAAAAGCCGATGGAATTAAAGTGGACACAAGAATTGAATCTTTATTGCTTCAATTGATCATTAGGTCTAAGTACGATGATTACACCAAATCAGGCATTTTTAAGGAATCAAGAAGAATGTTCGACGAACGAAAACGACAGCGTTTTGGAGTTTTCAAATCAGAAAACAAAACAGTTCTTAACGGCTGGCTGACATTTCTACAGAGAAGCAGCCGAAGCAGAAGAAGCAGGAGGAGCCAACGACGACGGCGGGAATAACATTTTGGCCACACCAGCGGCGGCGGCGGTGACATTTCCCGGCGAGCCAGGAGGATAACGGAAAATATCGATGACTACGTGGAAGAAGAAGAAGAGCAGGAGAAACAGCGCCGCCAGAAACGTGGCAACTTCCCACACTCGCTTCCCCAACCTCGTCGCCAATTTCCACACCTCCAATTTCCGATTCCCGGCGTAGAATTCGTTCACCGCCTCGATTCCCCCGTCCAGCACCGTTCTCTTCCCTCCGCCGCCAATCGCCGTTCCCATCCCGCGCCCGCCGCCGAACACCTCCAAAACGGCATCGCTTCCTCCTCCTCCGCTGATTATAATTAGTTCTTCCTGCTGCAGCAGTTTCACGTCCTCTGCCGTCCGGCAAATTGAATTCATCAAGTCGGCGTACCGGCAGATGACGGGGCTGTTTTCTGGTCTCGCCACCGCCTCGTACGCCACCAGATTCCTCATCACCACGTCGCAATCGGGCTTCCAATTGAACGCCGGAAGGGTTAGGGTTTTCGTCTCCTTGTTGAAGCTTATGCTCCGGATCCCCTGCTTCGCGACTCCGAACTTCACGCCGGCGTTACGGAGCTGGGTCGCCGTCGGGATTAGCCCCGCCGTCTCTTCCTCCGTGACTCTCCTCAACCAGGCAGAGTAAAACCCGAGAACCCGGGTCAAAAAACCCGGACCCGCATCCGTCTTGGGAAAATCCCCAATCGTCGCGCCGTTTCCATTCCCATTTCCATTCCCGTTGGCTTGAAATTCCTCGGAAACTTCTGCAGTTCCCTGCTTTGCCGCCGGCGGTTTGTTATTATGATGCAGAATCAGGTGGTAGAGAAGATCCAGCAAGTGACGGCCTTTGACATCCTCCGGATCCGGGTCGGATAACCCGAGAGGCGAAACCTTCTTACAGAAATCCACCGAAACTGAACCCAATAAACCCCTGCTGCCGGAATCGCTGAAATTCGTCAGAATTTCAACGAGCACGAAATTGGGGATCTGATTCTCGAGCATGACAGCGTCTCTAAGAAGAGACTTCCGGCTGGAAGAAGGATAATCGAAAAACAGGGGATTACTGTTATCATCACGAGAATCGGCATAAATGAGGTGGAGTAAGAACAGAGCATCGACGGCAATAATCCAGGCGAGGGCCTGGTCGGTCATTTGCAAGTGGCGGTCGTAGCAGGCGCGGATGCCGGGGACTAAGCGGGAGATACCGGCGACGAAGTCACGGAAGTCGGCGGGGAGATGGAATTCTCGCTGTGCCCTTTTCGCCGCGGCCAGCTTGTGGGTCTCGGCCTGGTAGAGCTCGGGCTTCCAATGGTGGTAAGGCCCCAGGGCGAGGAATTGCGGGGTGTAAGCGTCGCGCTTGCTGATGCGGAGGGATTCAGGGACATGGTAAATGCAGAGTGGGGTCTGCGCGACGACGGCGTCGAGGTCGAGCTCCAGGTTGTGTTCCATCTGGACGATCCAGTCTTTCTCTGAGAACTTTGGGTTGATTATGATGGAATATGGGGAAGCCATTGCTGGGGCTCTCTGTTGAGAGTGAGCTGTTTTGTTGGTAATGGGCAGAAAACAGAGTGGTGGGAAGGGGAAAGCGCAGAAGCTTTGCTTTTATCATGTGGGCATGGGGATAGCGCCATAGTGGAGAGTGTTTGTGGGGGATAGATGATGAGAGGGGGAAAAGAGAGAGGGGAGGGGAGTGGGGTTACTTGCTGTTTCAGAAATCTGCTGAAGGAGACCCAAAAGTGTAGACTACAGAGTGTGATGGACAGCAAAGATTGCTACCAAACATTTGTTTGTCACACATGGTTGAAAGTCGCTCGGATTATACGATAAGCATTTGGTAACACTATTGATTGGACACGGTAATATTTGATGTAATGTAATCATGTTTGGTATTGTTTGTTATACATGATTGAAAGTGGTCGGATCATACGCTAAGCATTTCGTAACCGTTGGATGAGCGCAGTGACATTTTACTTATCATATGATGCCCAAACACCTGATTCACCGACTCATAACCTCTTTGAACATGTTCTGGGAGATCGTATTGTGAGCACAATAGCTGAATTGGCTTAGATTAACTCAGCTTTCCAACGAAAGGCCCTTCATACTTCATGTTTGGAACTGTGATTGACTATATTGGGTCTCTGGTCAGGTTACTTGATAACCATTGGTTAGGAGTCATACCTAATGTGAATGGCAGATTGGTTGTCCGTCGTACTACAGCGGGGGTTGGATCTTTGAGTTGTTTCTGGCTACGATACATATGTTTCAACCAAACAATAGGGAGTTGCAATGGCAAGAAATGGTTTCTGTCTTTAGGAACCAGTATTTGTTTGTTTCTTTGTTATCTGAGTAACATGTGTATGTGTCCTTGAGAAAGTACAATGATGTGAAAGTGGTCGGTATTCATCTACCTTTCCCCAAAAAGATCAAAGAAAATGCCATCAATAAACTGAAAGAATTCTTCTGCCAGTTATTAAGAGGATACATAGTGTTAAGCTTCACAAAATTGATAGGCACATCAATGTTCATAAGCAGATGCAAACTGCACCATATGCAAGGGCAAACCAGTCCCAATGCTATCTAATAACTAAACATGAATGATATAGATGCAACTAGTTTGAATTTCAGAACAGCTTACGCTCAAAACGGTCAACTGCTAGAACCTGCAATCCGTCTATACACTGCCGTGAACGTCTGGCCTCCATTCCTAGCAACTTTCTGTCCTTCCTCCGTTGCAGTACTCAACAGCTTAACGACGGGATCGGCTTCAAGTTCTTGATCTGTCAGGGGCTCAAACATGGGGTGCTGCTCTAGACAAGCCTTCATCCACTCCCCGAGCTCTTCCACGTCAGTGATGGTGTATATGATCCCACCAACCTGGAGAACATACGCATACTCATCCAAGAGATGCGGGCTGATCACTCGCCTTCGGTGATTCTTCTCCTTGAAGTGAGGATCCGGGAAGAGGAAGAACATCTTGGACAGCTGTCCTTTCTCAAAGTAATTAGGGATGTACTTCATCGAATTCGTCCGAACGACTGAAACGTTTCGGTACTGTCCAGGGTTCGTTACCCTCAACGCCAAGATTCGTTCTTTCACATACTCTGTCACCTTGTCTCTGAGTTCCATCCCCACCATCAAAGTTTCAGGGAAAAGGGTGGCCAGACTAATCAGCAACCCTCCAAACCCACAACCGACATCTGCAAACTGAATCCTTTGGGAATTACCGTCGACTTGATCGGATGAAGGGAAGAGTTCTGGGAAGTGAGCAGAGTAGTCGACATGACGAGGAGAGACCGGGACTGGGAAATGCGAATCGCTTAACGGGTTGCTGTGAGCTCTTGCTCGGTAGAATCGCTTCCTAGGGAGGCCAGTGGACTTGCTGAATGTTGGGTTAGTCTCACTTTCTGGCATTGCTTCTTACCTGAAATTCTTCGAATGAGAACATCAGGGCAATCAGCAGTTGAAAAACGAACTGAACTACAGTAACCAACTAAATTACACCCGGTTCTTCGTTTTCAACGGCATAACCAATTCCACCAACAACTCGAGATCATTCATTCTCTACAAGACTAAAGCTAACATCTAAGAGTCCTATTACTGCTTGAATCAAGCATTGGCCGGGAAGAAACTACCAGTAACGGTTGGAAGCAAATAATTAGAAGGAGAAGAAATTTGGTTACCTGATGCGAGGAAACAGACTGGTGATTCACGGGGAAAGCTCTGAGCGACGGAGACGGTGAAGCCGCCGGAAGGGGATTCGGGATTCGATGGCGGGGGGTGCTTGCTTGGGAGATTAGGGTTTTGCAAAACTTTAATTGGTAATCTGGTCTTGCTTCTAGTGTTATGGAATTGGAAGGAGAAGCCATGAACTGGAACCGCGGAAGACTGTGAGATATAGAATGGGCCTGTGGGCTGGACTACTTTGGGGCAATAAGCGGAGGGGTCATAGAGGCCCAATAAGTTTTCGTTCACTAAGTCTGGCCCGGAATGACATGTAGGTTGCCTGGGAAGCTCAGCAGTTTCGATTATTTCGATTTTTTTTAAGGGAGCAAACTGCACCACTTAGATTTGACAAATTACAATCCGATTCGTTGATCCAATCCAGATTCGCCCGAAATGTATAATTTTATTTAACTCGAAATTCGAATGAACGAACCCGATAACTTGTAATTTTTTTGGGTCAGGTTGGGTGGGTTAGCGGGTCGACCCGTTAGACCCGTTCCATTTTATATATAACTTTCAAAATGATAAAATCACTTATAAATTGGTGAGATATTTTAAAAAATTCACTTGGATTTAAATGACATGTTTGGAGTTTAAGGATAACCAAATATCATGCTCTTCTTGTAGTAGCATTACTCTTGTGATTGTTTTTTGACGATTTTCGTAATTTGTATTTCATTTCATTAACATGGAAGAATTTGTGAACATGTTAATTGACATGTGTTAGGTAAACTATTGTCATACATACATATGTGAAAATTTGTGCTCTTTAAGAAAAAACGAAGCTTGTTTGATAGTGTTTCTGAGAGCGCTAATAACCTGAAATGACCTGTAACCCAACTCAAAACCGAATGGGTTGGGTCAATATTTGACCCGAAATCAGCCAACCCAACATGACTCGACCCGTAACCAGAGGCCCAACCCGAAATTACCCAACCCGACCCGATTGCCAGGTCTAGCACCACTGTCTTGTATATAATTAATCGAAATAGGCTTTTATTCTTGCAAAGTCTTTTACAATCTTGATCTCGAGTTGTTTAAATTACGTTTTCTGAATTATTCATTGAGTACTTATCTAACCTAGTACCAACTGGTTACTGGTCCGATAGTTTAAACTAGTCGCAGATGTACTGAGGAATGAAGATTGAAGCTTGCGATGAACATGCAGTAAAGCTATAGAATTGACGAGTTGGTCAAACCTAACGTATCTGATTCCCAACGATCTTTCAGCCATTTCTTACAGACCAAAATTGCGGTTGAGTGGAAGAAATCAGGCACACAAGCTTAGCCAACTCATGCAAGTAAACACACCCCGTAACGTGCCCAAATTGTGCGCGAAGCTGGAACTAAATTAACAGTATATATATAAAGCAGATCTCCAGAATGTGCAGCAAAAGGTTCTGGAAAAAAGAAGCAGATCTAGACAGCATGAATAATGTGCGTACGTACGTACTATTGGGCTGCCCCTTAATTGGGCCTAGGGCCTGCCTCCCTTCTCTTATCTCCGGGTTGATTAACTCAAATGTGGGGAAATTCTAAAGAGGACAGAGTGAAAACAAGCATAGTCGTTTTATTTGGACCGTATTAGAGGCGATAACGAAAAAGTTTGTGGTAGATTATTTTGTACTAAAATTATGGTTTGATTATAGTTCAATTGTTTGTTGGAGGAGGGATATTCATTGATCAATAGTTTCTCTATTTTAACAAACAATGATCATTTTTTATTTGATTATATTTGGGCCACATTTCAATTCTTGAAATAAGATTTCCAATATTCATTCGACAATCTATATCACACAGCAGATTACATATTCCTCAACCTCCAATGCATCATGCCATTTTCCTTAGGGGTGGGCATTGGGTGGGTTGGGTGGATTTTGACCATAAAATGCACCCACCCGCGCTTAAACGGATTGATAATTTTTAACCCACCACCCACCCACATTTAGTCTCGGGTTGGGTCGGGCGGATGGTGGATGATGCGGGTGGGTTTGTGGGTTCACCCACATCACAATATATATAATATAAAGGAGTCAACTTGACATGATAATAGGTGAAGAGAATCATCGAGGGTAACCAGAAGTTGAAATAGGGCGAAAAATGTCGAATTAGTTCTTAAATTGGATAGAAATTCTATTATGAAGAGTTTTCTACATATTGAGACGATTATTAGATGCAAGGAACTAAGGAAAATAATTCCACAAAGGAAAGAGCGGTGATCTAGGCACAATAATTAGAGGAAAAAGTAATGGGAAGAAGAGGGGATCTCTATTTGGAAGGTTGGCTTTGAGGTTCAAACTCCAGAAGCAGTCCGAGTTTATATCTAACGTCTCCACTCTTCTCTCTCTAGCGCCAACGACTTTGATTTTTTTGCTGTTGGGTTGAGCGGGTCACCCGCGCACTCACCCACAACCCACCCACCACCCGGCGGATGGCTTCCAGCGCAACCCGTCACCCACCCACAGACCCACCCACTTAACAAAATTTGGGTCAAATGCGGATGGGTCGGCCCAAACCCGCGGATGATCCGCCCACATGCCCAGCCCTAATTTTCCTAGCCATACTCTTTTTTTTTTTGTCATTACGAATAATTAAAAGATATCAACCGTTAAGACGCCTTCATTAACTATAGCATTCTTCAATCCCTTCAACATGTCGCTCGACATCAGCCTAAATGAGTTTAAAGAGGTCCCCTTTAGTACTCGTGATTGTTGACAAATTAAATCAGTTGATCCATAAATACTCAAAACTCGAAACTTGTATAAATACACTCGTAAACAAAGTATGTCCTACTAGTCAAATCAGAATAACGAATAGTAACGATTTATCCCTTTCTATTCTAACGCCGACTGATTGTCATCCCTACTTGCTTGCTACTAACTATTTCACTGTCTAGCTAGTTTGCCAGCACCCCAAGCAGACCAGAGTGGCTTAGCTTGTCCCTGAAGTGGCATGGATTGAGGGTTTGTAATTGTACGTCGAAGACTGATCAGAATTTTGGGCAAAGAAGTGGTCGAAAGGGACAGGAGCTGCACGTGGCGAAGAGAGATTACTTGGTGCAGTGACCATAAAAATGGTGCACCGGATTTGACCCACGTAATTAAGTTGAATTCCAAATTATCCAGATCGACCGACGTCCCGTCATTTTAGTTATCCGGTTTGGATGAATACGGCATTGGTTAAAGTATTTGTATTGCTCCGTACGTACAATACTCTTCATATACGTTGAATGTACGCCTGAATGATTCTCAGTACGTAGTTACTATTTAGGTCAAATCTCTACATCCTCAAAATTAATGTTTTGACATGCATGTTGGCCTGCATTTATCATGGTTCCAACACAAAGTAGAAGCAGTCCTTAATTAGAAACACAAACTATTTTTTTTTTCCTTCATTAAATTGATTTCTGAATATGGTTTGAACAATCAGTATTTAGGATTTATGGCCTAGATATAGATATCTCATTTAAAGTATAACAGTCTGATCACCTAAACCTGTGCTCGAGAGGTAGCAGTCCATACACTGATAAGGGATGTATGGATTCTCGAGAAGAGAGGAGCCTTGGTGGTCCCTCCCGGACCGCCCGGATCCCACGAGTGAATAGAAAGTTGGATCTACGTTGGATCTCACCTGAATCGCCCCATCTATCCTCCTGAGTAGAAGTTTGGTTTCAAACCCCGGTTCATATGGAGTCCATGATACCCATGGTAAATCTAAGTGTACCACGCACTCTTTGTAAGAAAGTATTTGTTATCCAGACCTTGGATTAATTGGCGTTTGACACATAATATTATACCCTAAATAAAAATAATTATCAGATAGCGTATTGAAAATATTTTTTTAGACATGCTCGTAATTGGCGTATGCTAGGGGTTGAACAACTTGTAACATGTAATCGTTGTATAGTTTGTGATATGGTACTATATCCTAAATCCTAAAGTATTGAGAGTAGCCCAAGTATGTAGTGAAAAAGGAGGAGAAAGGAATATGAATATTATTATTCCATATAAAGAAGGATCTTTCTTCATAAAGCTTATGGTCCAGGAAGTGTTGCATTCAAGGAGCTATAGCTCCTTAATTAAATGTTAAATTTTTTGGAAGACAATGGATGTAGCCACCCGCCCGTCGAGAAGGAGTGTTACATCTCTACACTCATTTAATTTCCCCAAACCACACACCTTCTACCACAAGACCCAAAGTAGGTGAGAGCTTCTCAAGTACAAGACAGTTTTTTTTCTTCTTCTTCTTCTTTCTTTTCTACATATATATTGCCTCTCTTGATCTCTCTCGTCATTTACTGGTTTTCTTGTGGGTTTTCGTTTGTCACTTGAGATGATGATGAACGATATGCAGCAGCAGCACCAGAAGGAGACAGCAATAGGCTGTGGTGATAATAATAATAAGAGCAGCAGCAGTAGCAGCAACGTCAAGGTTGGTAGTAATAAGAAAGACGCCGGCGGCGGGGAGAAGCTGCCGCCGGGGTTTCGGTTTCATCCCACCGACGAGGAGCTGATCACGTACTATCTGGTGAAGAAGATCGCGGATGCTGGTTTCACCGGACGAGCCGTCGCCGACGTCGATCTCAACAAATCCGAGCCCTGGGATCTTCCTGGTACGTTTTAATAAATGAGAATATGATGAAAACTATCTTATTAATGAAACTCATGGTTCTAAAAAGCCGCATACACACACTTTTAAATTCGTCTAGGCGCAAATCAGAGAGAAAACTGTTCGCTTTGACAAAAAATAATGGAGAAGGCGTTACAATTATGTTATGGATTTGGCGGCGTCTCAAATTGATGTCACGATGTCTTTTTTCTTATTTTTTTATATGCTATTAGGAAGGACGATCTTGATTTCTCTATAGTACGTTAGGCTAGGATATATAGTTAGAAACAACTATCTTTAAACTATGTTCTTTTTTTTTCTTTCACTTCTTCGTCTCAATATGCTTCGTTATTTTCCATCTTCTTCTTCATTACTTATTTCTCCACAATACAGTTTTATGTTTTACCGTTGACGAATGTTTAGAAATAAAATGTCGTTGCGATGATATTTGGTTCATAAACTTGTGATTCTAGGCAAGTGACGAGAGATATTATACTATGTCTATATTTAACGCGCTTAGGACAGAATATACTACTCGTACTATCTGTACTCCGATAGATATGACGGTGGGACGGATGGGTGCAGGGAAGGCGAAGATGGGAGAGAAAGAGTGGTACTTCTTCAGCCAGCGTGACCGGAAGTACCCGACCGGAGTGAGGACCAACAGGGCGACCAACACCGGATACTGGAAGACGACCGGGAAAGACAAGGAGATATACAACAGCGTCACGTCGGAGCTGGTCGGGATGAAGAAGACGCTGGTTTTCTACAGGGGGAGAGCGCCACGTGGCGAGAAATCCAACTGGGTCATGCATGAATACCGCATCCACTCCAAGTCCTCCTACCGCCCTTCCAAGGTAACTCATAATTATTATCTTACTAATTACTTACTAATCACTCTTAATACGTACCCCCTACCTAGCTAGATTCATACAGCTGCATATGTGCTTCATAAATTAACTTCCTATATACTATAAACTAGGAACGACAATTTTAGTTTGAACGAGTATCTCGTTATTCATATATCTGATTCGTGGGGTTCTAGTAATATTAGTTCGGATATATATATTTTTTTTTGGAGTGTAGGTTGAGGTGGATTGATCTGTTCGAGATGTGTTTTAAAGAAACAAATACTTGAAAGATTGATTTTTTTTCATCATCAAAATAATCGAGGCGCAAACTATGACATGATAAACGTAGTTAAGTTATTCGAGGAATTGAAGCTGTCACCGATTACAAACTTTATTATAGCAAAAATCTGCTGTAATTAATGCAATATTTTGAGTAACGAGCGTAAAATCGGATAAAAACATATCAATGATAGGTTGTTCAAGCTAGTGTGGGGTCGAGTCCAATCAGAGTACGCATGCCACGCCATTGCCCCACACCCCGTCTATATATATCCGTTCCAAAAACAGGTCAAACAGGTCGGTACGAAGAGCCAAACCGAAATCGTAATGCTAATATAAACTAATTATATGATGGATGATTGATTGTATAGCCTGGTGAATACTTGTGGCACAATTAATGGAGATCGTCAGGGAGAAGTAGTTAGCTAGGTCTAGGTTGTGCTAGGAAGGGGGGAAAATGGTGGGCGTTTGTCTGTGGCGTAGGAAGAAAGGCTTTTTTTGGCTGGATTTAAATCTTATATATACCTACCTACCTCAACCATGCCATGCTAACTAGCTAGTCCTTGCTTAGAGTCAATTTCGATATGCAGTCCGTGCCCTAGATATATCTACGTCGCACTACTAGGGCAGAATAACATATAAAATTTCAACACAATTCCCCCCCTAATTATCCCTCAATTTGGATATCTAGCAAACATTACATGTGACAACGTTGTCACATCGTTTGGATACATGCGCGGTGTCGATATTGTAAACAGTTGACTCGACATACAGTTTACCTTATAATTATGGATCTACGCACAATCAATTTTATTTTTATGGACGTACGACTTACGTCAAATCTGGTAAGAGTAGTAGCTCGCCAGATTCCTGCCATATTTATATATCCGGTCGATCTATATTAGTCTAGCATAATACCATAATTAGTTTCTATCCTGATTAATTAATCATTCTGAACATCGTATGTTTAGAGGAACAAATCATTTTGACGACATATATGTCACAAAATTAGGTTAATTTTTTTTTATGTGGGAATTTACCCAACTAATTTGCATGGATATGAATACAGCAAGACGAGTGGGTAATATGCAGAGTCTTCCAAAAGACCACCGGCGGCTCACCATCCAAGCACAACAACAACAACAAGTACCCATCCAGCTCCTCGACCATTAATCACCACCACCATCAACCAAGACCTCCGATGACGTCGTCGCTCAACAATCCCTACACTTCCCTTCACGAGATGATCGCCGGAGTAGGACCCACCAACGCCGCCGCCTTCCTCCCTCCTCCTCAGTTGATCAACCACCAGTTCCCTCCTCACCATCTGGACGACCACCACCACTTCGGCCAGCGACCGACTTACAACAACACGATGACCAACTCCGAGCTGGCCGACCTCGCCAGGGCTTTCCGCGCCAGCACTGCCACTCATCAGCAAATGATGATGAACAACAACAACAACAGCGGCTACCAGTCCACGTCAGCTGGTGGAGGTTGTTTCACTTTGTCCGGGCTCAGCTTGAACCTCGGAGCAACAACGAACAATAACAATAATGGTGGTTTTACTGCTGCGGTACTTCCTCAGACGGTGCCGTTTGTGAATCATCAGCAGCAGCTTGTAGAGGAGCAACAAGAAGAGAACGTGGGTGGAGCTTCTTCTAGTATCATGATGAGTCATCAGTTCCCCGGTTTGACCGACGAGGGGAGCGGCTACGGCGGCGGTGGTAACGCCGAGCAGAGCATGGATTTCGACGCCTACTGCTGGGCTTCTTACTGATCACTACCTAATACTTAGGAGAAACACTTTCTAGATGATCGATTGTGTTATTATTATAATTGTTGTCGATGAGTTGATCTTGATCTTAATTATTATGTACGTAGCATAATGCTTGTAGAGTATTGGATGAATGTTGTTTGTACTTTCATACATTAGATCTCCACGATGATATATGTTTCAGTTCGGTTAGGGTTTTTTTAATTTTGACTTAGGGTTGGTTTGCTTCAAGGATTTGCATTATGGATTTCGTAAAAAAAAAAAAAAAAACCATCTAGGATTTACACACAATCCGTTGTTTGCTTTGTCAAAAAATATTTAGATAAATCTGTGGGCCCCACGGATTTGAGTTTTTTCTCTCCAAATCCATGGGCCCACGGTTTTATAAATCCCACCTCATACCCTGAGATTTGGAGACAAACTGAAAAACCAACAAATCCATGATAAAAATAGCTTAACAAACAAATGATTTCCTCAAATCCATGATGCCCAAAATCCCTAATAAATCCTAAGGTTTTTAATTAGAAAATCCATGACAAAATCCTCGTTATAAAATCCTTAAAGCAAACGAACCCTTAATTGATCATTTGTATTAGGGCTGGGAAAATAGACCAGACCGTTAGAAAAACCGTGGTCCAAAACGTACCGTACAGTTTGGTCCGGACCGTAGATCGTGAAGTATGGTCTGGTCTGGTCCATGGTCTGTATTATTTTATGATTTGATCTCACTACAAGAAATTCAGCCTAGTATGACGAGGCAATTTTGTCATATTAGATACCCATTTTGTCATATTAGCTATAATATGACAAAAGGTGTTGTCACAAAGGTTTGTCATTTTATCGCCGTCAGGATAGGTCAAATGTGACAAAAATTTAAAACAAGGTTGTCACATTTGCTTTCAGTATAGCTGAGATTCTGAGTTGTCTATTATGACAAACAAAAATGTTATGACAACATAGTTTGTCATTACGATTGTCATAATCTGGTGATTTAAGGAGAATTGTTCGTCATATTACTCAATTTTATTTTGTCATAACTGTATATTGTGACGACTACATTTTATTACTAGTGTTTATTGTGACAACACTATTTTTCATAACTGAATATTATGACAAATATATTTTGTCATAACTGCATTTTATGACGAGTATAGGTTATTAGGAAAGGTTGTTTATTTGTCTCATGTCTATTATAGCAATGAATCTTTGCAGGGGAGGAATCCAGATCGTCGTCAACCCATCTCCCCTCCAGCAACATAACAAAAAAATGCAACTTCTTTAGAAACCACAAAAACGCAGAAACAGAACCTCTCAATCCAATCCAAGAACTAAAGCACCAAGGAGAAAAAATCACAATTTAAATTTGATTCAACTTTCTCAAATCAACGCCCTTGCCAGAAATCCACAAAGCTTCTTTCAAATCAAACCCCCCAAACAGTGCCTCAGGCCATCACAAGCCTCCACCGCTCGCCACCTCACCACCACCAATACAATAATCAACCCGTCGATCCTTGTCGAAGCCGTCTACAGATCAACATCAATACCTTTAACACAGAAAACAAATACGGAAATCATTTAAAAGCTACAAAATAAAAGAAAATTCATTGGACAAGAAAACTGGGGAACAAGCAAAAAACGTAGAATCGGTAGGGAGAGCTCGCATGCAGAGGGATATAGGCGATCAAACGGTGTTCGGCGGTTGGAAGAAGCTTCTCCCAACTCACCAATAACAGTGTGCTTAAACATAATAAGAGTACAAGATTCATAAAAACATAATTAACTGACTGGATGTAACTGAGTAGCGTGCTTAAATAGAACAAGATCCATAAATTACTTCGACAACTAGTTCCAGAATCACAAATTATTCGCTTGAGCAATTGCAACTTAAATGATATTCAATAAGCTAGATTCATAACATACATAATCTCATAATCATCTAAAGGACCTTCAACCAAATCCCCTAAATGATGACACTAAAATTCATCTCCATGGCTTTACCTGAGGAGAGAATAGAACCACTTGAAGAAAGGAACTCATTCCTCTAGACTTCACCTAAGGTTTCACATGCTCACCGCGACAGAGAGTAGTCATTTTCCACTTTTTCAGCTGCAAACCATAAATATCAAACAAACGAAATTTAGAAATAGATAGCGGTCGTTGTTGATGCAGAAGTCAGCAATATCAGTCATTCTCCGAGAGCAACAAATTTACCAACAGATCCTACCGGAAAAAGAAGTTCCGTAAACCTAGATCAGTGAAGAGTGAGATAGAGAGATCAAGGAATCAGAAACTTCCAAGGGAAGAAGATCATGGAAACAAGACTGAGCTCGAGGCAGCGCCTGTCGGGAGTAGCTCTCTCGCAAAGGAAGGACCAAGTAGGGAGGGTGAGGAGTAGATCCTTCAACAGCGGCGATATTCGGGCCGCCGCTGCTACCGTGTTGGTGACGGTCCCTTTGGTAATGAAGCTGTGAGGAGACGAAGGAGAAGGCATCGCAGTAGCTCTGAAAGGCACTGCGTTATTCTCAACCCAAGACTCTGTTGGCATCGTCGATCTCCATTTAACGCTGCGATGAGTGCTGAGAATCGGAGCTTGTACCCATAAACAACGGGCTTCTACTTGTGGTGGACGAGACAACCTTCTTCAATGGCGGTCGAGCAACGAGAAGGAGCAGGAAGGAGGAGACGTAATTAAAAATTAGAGGACTGCTAGGGTTTCTTGAAAACCCAAACCGTCTGTTTATATCCATCCAAACCGTCCTCTATGAAAATTTAAAACGGAACAAAACGGAAGGAGAAGAAAATTTCCCCAACACTGAAAAACCCGCCGGCCAAACTCTAATTTTTAGCCACTAAAACAAAATGATATTTTAATTGTGCCTAATAGCTATTATGACAACCTAATTTGACATAATAAAAAGCAAAACCAATATATTATGACGAACCTGTATTTTGTCAGCTCGCCATGAGAATAATAATGTCTATTATGACAACAGGCTTTGTCATTTGAACATGTCATGATGGTATAATATGACGAAAGCTATTCTCACAATTAACTTTGTCACTTTTGAGTCTCTCACATCCCGATTTGGGATGCCTTTTTTGACAATATTATTTGTGACATAAGATATTTGTCACAGTACCCACCTATTATGATAAACTGTAATGATAAAACTCAATGTTGTCACAATAGGTACACCTAATAGGACTACGTTGCGTTTTGTCATATTACACACCCTATTGTGACAATATGGAAATGACAAAAAAAAAATTTGTCATAATAGGCCAAATTTGTTGTAGTGTCTTTTGGTCTAGTCTGGTCTAGACCGCGGTTTACCGGACCAAACCGTGGACCCAAGTGACTTGTCAATACGTGTTAACAACCCATTCGACCACTCTCCAAACTCCCACAACAACACCCAAGTCTCAACCTTAATTTTGTGAATCTCTTCCCTCCTTCATTCACAACCACATTTAACCAGAGAGTAGAGATAATAATAGTGTCTCCATATGACATTATGTTAATGTTTATGATGTTATGGTGCAAGCTGGGATGTTTTTACTTTGTATCTTTGTTATGTACTAAGATTTAGAGTATCAAAATTATTCATGCATGTTAGGATTAATGTTTTAAGGCAAATAACAATTATTTTTCTTGGTTATTGGTTCAATTTTTTGTGTGGTTCCCTAACAAATTATTCATTTTTCGTTGAGTGTGGTCTATCTGGATCAGACCAGACCGCACCAGACCGCACAGGCGTGATTTGGACCGGACCGTATAATCTGTGGTTTGGTCTGTGGTCTATACTTTAGCCTCTCGGTCTGAACCATAGACCGTATATATGGTATGATCTGGATCAGATCGCACCATTTCCCGGTCCTCATTTGTATTCTCTTGAATTTTCACTCTGCTAATGAGTATGGTGGGGAAAAGGTTGGATAGAGAAGAAATTGGGCCTGGGCCTCGGAGGGGGAATTGGTTATTGATTCTTGGGGGGTATGAAGGTGGGCTGGACCTGATTAAGGTTGGCCTGAAATCTATCTATCGCAAGCGTTTTGAAATTCTGGCCCACTAGGAAAAAACTCAAAAAAGCAATTTCCATTCACTCTAAAGAGAACTGCCGCCGTTCAGGACGAGGGAGGAATTGGGCTAGATTTAAGTTGGGCTTTGACGGGAAATCAGGACTATTGGATCAATTCGTGTGCCAACCAACACTCATTCCAAGCCCATTTCACGTGGCGGGAAGCCGACCGTTGTCCATTTGGCGGTAAAATCAGAAACCTGCGCTCTCCGTTCCGTTTCCAATTGGGAGAAGGAAATCCCTGTTCCTTTCCGATCAAGGAAAGGATTCCATATTAGTTTCGGTAAATCATTTACTCTATAATGAAACTCCCACTTACTGAAAGTACGAATTCTTTCCGGCAATTTCCTTTTCTTTTTCCGTTGGCCACTACTCTCTGTTCTCGCGCAGCCGCTCTCTGTTTCTGTCTCTCTGTTTCCAGCCGCCGTCACGATGGCTCTTCCGCCGTGCTGGAATCCAGGGAAACACAAGGAGCTTCTCTACAAGCCGCAACCGGAGTTATTTGAGATCATAGAGTGCGCCATGTCCTTAGCGGCTATCCGCTGGCCGGAGCAGCTCCGGGCTGAAAAAGCCCGGATTCTCAGCGCCTTCGACATGTCTCGGCGCTCCGCCGCAGCCAATGAATCGATGACGGAGAAGACGGAAAACCCCATCAATGCCGTCGAAGCCGTTCAAGAAAAGGAGGAAGCAGTGGAGAAGCCAAGAAGAAGCATCCATGTGGAAGTCGATTTGCGAGATCGCGATCGCAAATTGACGTCGTCCGTCCATGCCAAACCGGCGCTCCAAAAGTCAACAACGCCGGCGACTAAGAAGACGACAAAACCCATCAACGCCGGCGACCACCGCGTGCAAGGAAAGGAGGAAGCAGTGGAGAAGCCAAGAAGAACCATCCATGTGAAAGTCGATTTGCTAGATCGTGATCGC